TTACTATTATTATTATTGTAATCCCATTTTTTATTGCTCAAATAATCACTCAAATTTTCATTGTAAGCATGTTAAACATGAAGGCAGATATTTTAAAATTATTACATGTATTTCCCGACCAGATGCTGCCGTCTTCTTTTTGATTTATCTTTCAGCTTGTCATCACCCGGAGGAATCTTACTATTCTTGGTAACCTTCGGCACACTACAGTCCCATCCAATTGGGTATCGAACCAACACCACGTTGATTCTGGTGGGAGAGTAGTGTAGTGGCATTGGACCATAACCACACTATCCTCAAAACTGAATACGAGATTACTCGGAAAATAGGTATTCAATATTTAACGCGAAGAAATACCTAACGATGGAGAAGGCGCGAATAATGAATTGAATAGGCTAGAGTTGATCGAACGGCATGGCTCGGCCATGCAGGCGTGGTCTCTGCTGAATGTTACCTTATATCTTCTTTTCATATTAAATATATTGTTCTTTCTCTAGCCTAACCTTGTTCTACATCATGTATTGGTAATTGATGCGATACAGTGAGTTGGTGTAGTTGATGGTGTGACTTCCACGTAAGATCTTATAGATTAGGCAGTCATATCATGACAAATCCACAGATTTAGGATTAGGTTTATTATTAGAGCAGTACTAATATCATAGTAGACCATAAGTTCTACAACGTTTCGCCCCTTTGATATTTCTGGCTAAAACTTCAGGTGAACGCTGATTGGAGGAAACGCTTCTTAGTGTTTCCTGACCCTTTGCGAGATATTTACTGAGTCATCCCAACAATATCAGATTCTATCCTGTTGGGAATACTCATACTAATCACCAGGCGTTAAACTCCCATTTATCAACGACACTTTTGTTTAGTATTTCGTCTTTTACCAGGCTGTACAGTCTGTACCGTTCGAAGTATTTTGTAAGCTCGATGAAATTTGTTTTCTTCGTTAGATGAAAACCGAATAAATTAAGTACATATTTTGCGTACTGAAATAATTTAATGCGAGTGATTCAAGAAGGCCTTGGGTTCTGACCAAATACTGGAAGTTAGGTTGTTACACTGCGACTCCTAAACCTTTCCGAATAAGTCAGTTATTTCGATGTCTTTTTTTAGAATAGTATTAATGTACGTCGATGATTTGCAGTGGTTTAAAGGTTTAGGTTTTTCGAGGCTACAACCTAGGTTGATGGGTCATTTACCACGGATAGATGATATTGTTTAAGGTTCCTGGGTCATATGTATATGTAATCCCTTTTTATCGCCAGTCGGTGGACATCGTTTATTTCTGTGCTAATAGACTAGGCTATATATGCGCACATCACATAAATGAGAGGTCAAACATTCAACAAAGTAAAGTAGTGGATTTATCATTTGTAGCACTCGTAACGATATTATTATTGGATATCTTGATACTTTTACACACCATCCGTGATACATCTACATTTCGTCTGTTTCTTTCTATATTGGCATCACGTTTTGCATGATGAGGCACATGAATGAAATGGAATGGCCAGAACGCTGCACTGTAAAACTGTTTTTTCTACCAAATATTTTACAAGGTCAGTATTTCGAAGTAATTCATAATTTTATGGGAGTCATTCCTTCACTAGTTTTAGTTTAGGAATAGGCCAAGTAGCCATATTATTCTGTAACTCACCATCTTGGTCCACGCCAACCTTAGTACACAGGTTAATTTACTTCCTTAATTTAGTTAGACGACAGAAAAAGTCTTTCTAGACGGATTTGTATTTAAATGAAATGATAATAAAAAGGTAGTGATATTTATTAGGATTATAAAATAAGTAGTGTCAGACCACTAGTTAAACTCTTATCACGAGTGACAATGAGTAGTGTAACTAAGATGACTATAGTTACCGGGCACTACAAAATTGAACTCTATTTGAACTGTTCTCACGAAAACCTGCATATTAATCCTATCAGAACCATTACTCCGGACAAAATACCAAGTCGTCCACACAAACAAATATAAAATTTTGGGATTCGATGTATTGTCGTGGTAACAAAGATTAATGTACTAATACCGGATTACATCATAATGTACAAGTGTTCGAAATGAATTTTATGACACTGGACAGGTGGGTGGAGAGTAGGGCTGGATGGAAAGTATCGCACAGTACTCAGAAATAAACCATAGAAAATGTGATTACATTGTCTTTGATTACTGTCGCTGACTGTAAACATGATGCATAATAAAATGAGTAACCTTTGACACCTCAGCTAAACAGTACTCCGTTACATTCGGAATTTCTGTCTATGAGGTAGTCTTTAATAAGTTATACACCACAGAGCAAGTTAATATTGTGGCGTGCAGTATCTTTAATCTGATACTGATACATGGTGTGCTACGCGCTAAGCTACTAGCTGACTACTTTAGCGATAAAGTGTATTGGACTGCGGAATGAAGTGTACAAATGCTCATTCAACGACATACCACTATATCGTTGGAAAATTGACCCGTTAACCCAATAAAACGCACCTGAAATTTTCATTAAACTACTTCCGATTTTCCATATTGATACTCACACGAAGTTGGCGTTAATCACTTCAGGTTCTTCGTGTCTGAAACGTTCTTCTAGTAGCCTTGGCAGCATTCACTTCCATGACCAGTTTTAGATGTACGACAGTTCTGTCGAAACCAACAGTATCCTATCTATCACACGTTGCAGAATTAAAGTTACACATACTAACAGGATACGACATTTTCATAATCATTAAACTTCTCAATCTATTCAGTGGAATTTCCGCTAACATCCACAACACCTTGCATACCCTTTATTATCTCTTACTTCTACCCTTTATTTTCTTTGTTGATATATTCTTCTTCCTAACTATAAACTTATTTATGCATTTTAGTTATTTATATACCTTGAACTTGTACCTTTCTCAACTTCTTTTTATTCCAGTTTTGAAACATTTCGTATTACAGCAACGTAGAGTCAAGTGATAGTAACTGTTAAGCTTATGTGGGGCAGATGAGCTTATCTGTGTTTAGGAAGTACTAACCTTTGAATAACTGTTGGATCCAGTGGAACTGCTAGGTCTTAACGGCCCGACCAACAACGATATCGACGCCGCTAACCTTCTGGCTGAACAATACTCCCAGACATTTCAACCGACCGACATTAACTTTACTGATGACAGTCTCGTTTGTAATTCCACAGGACTTTCCGAAGTGAACCTAAGCGCTGACTTGGTGTTTCGGAAACTGCAGCACTTAAGATTAGACACTTCTCCTGCCCGGACCTGGCCCATTCCTCTATACTGAGGGAAGAAGCCTCAATCTTGGCAATGCCTCTCAGCATGATGTTCTCACACTCGCTAAGTCAAGGAAAACTACCGGAAAATTGGAAGCTGGCTCACATCACACCAATTTTCAAAGGTGGTCGACACAGCGAACCTTCAAGTTACCGACCGGTGGCTCTTCTCTCCATACCCTCAAAAATCATGGAGTTCCTGATATGTGATGGTATAAACGACTGATTACAGTCCTTAAATTTCTTCTCACCCAAACATCACGGTTTCAAGAAGGGTTACTCTTGTATTACCAACCTGCTGACTGCGGTGGACAGATGGACAAGCATCCTTGATCACAAGGGGAAAGTTGATATCATCTACCTAGATTTCTCAAAAGCTTTTGATAAGGTTAACCATACATATCTTATCAATAAGCTCAAACGATTGGGAATCGATTGTCTCACTTCGTACCTGAAAAACTGACATTTTAAGGTCAGGGTTAATTTCACTTTCTCTCAGGCTATGGAATGTCCTAGTGGCGTCTCCCAGGGCTCAGTACTAGGTCCTCTTCTCTTCTTGATCTACATAAATGATCTTCCTCAACAGGTAACGTCAGACTTATTACTTTTTGCTGACGACGTGAAACTTTGGAGAGAGATACGCAACCAAGACGATATACAGGCACTTCAGGAGGATGTGACTCGACTTCATATTTGGGCAGACGATAAGGGACTTACCTTTAACACTTCAAAGTGTAAAGTAGTCCATCTGCGACATGTTGCAGACTACAGTTATAACTTAGGTAACTCCCCTCTAATAGTATCTCAAGTCGAAAAAGATTTAGGAGTATTGGTGCCCTACGATTTAAAGTCTTACGCAAACTGTGACAAAAATGCCTTCTGAGAGAACCTTGCACTGGTAACATTGAAGCGCATTTTCGGCCAGTTTGACGGAAGAATTTTCCATATAATCTTCAATAGTTTTATCCGTCCTCATTTAGAGTACGGAAACATAGTATTTTCCTCCTCACTCCAAAAGGATAATGACACCCTGGAGCGTATTCAACGGCGAGCAACGAAATCAGTTCGAGGACTCAAATTTAAACCTTATGAAGAGCACCTCCATTCACTTAACCTTTACCCATTAGAGTATAGACGTCTTAGAGGTAACTTTCTGATGGCTTACAGTATCCTTAACACTTCTGGACATCCTCTCATACACCTATACAAGCTTAGTTCCAACACTAACCTAAGGGGTAACGCCCGAAAACTGGAGACGCAACATAGCAGAACGGAATGCAGACACAACTTCTACTCCTTAAGAGTTGTCAAATGCTGGAATTCGCTGCCGGCCGAGCTAGTCCAAGCGACTTCCCAGGAGTTCTTTAAGAGGTAACTTGATCTATTCTTAAGGACTAAAGATAGTATCGCACTATGATTTATGAATTTCCTTTCCTGTTTTATTGTTAACATACCTAGGTTCCTGCCTGGAGGATTCGGTGATTCCCTGCTACTAGACACGGAAGCCTGTTAATCGAAAGCTTCTTCTATTCCGTCACAACCATTTGAACCAACTCGCTAAATTAACCTCATCGAACGATAACAAGGACTAAGAACCTCGCCACAAGGTCGAGTAGCAGAAGTAAAGAATTCAACTGGTTTCAATTAGCTCTTAACAAAGGTAGTGGATAGTGGAAGGAACTCACAGGAATTGACATTATTCGAGTACGATGTCGGGTTACTTTTCTACGCGCCATGTGTAAAAGTGTTCGCTCCTTTCTTTGCTGGAAGTATTAGTTGTTTACTGTCTATGTTCAGGAGTAATTATAATGTTGAGTGTATGCCATCCTTATGTCTTCACATACTTTTGTGAGTCTGAGTGTTTACGTCTCATTTAATCATTTCGTTCTCTTGTGGTACCGCTTAACCAATTCGTGTAACTGCATAATGTACTTGTAGTTTGAGGCATAAAAAACCTAGTTTCTGTGTTCTCAATCAGTGGATTTTACATAGTGGTATACTAATAATAAGTTCTGTGCCTAGAGACTAATCATTCCTAAAAATCTTTTCTATTCTGTTGTCACCACTAAAATATTTTCAAGTCATGGAAAATAGACGAGAAACGTTAAATACTTGGCGGATTCCTAATGTTTATTTTATGGATCGTTACTGCCTACTTTGGCTTTTGAGTACCAGGTAAATAGCTTCGCTCCCACGTCCTGATCATTCGTAAAGGTTTGATTCGTGAACCTAATATTGCGGTGTAAACCGTAATAAACATTCAAAGTCTTATATGGTATACGACAGGGTAATTTACATCCTCTACTTCGCTGAAAACCTTTGAAAACTTCAAAGTGACTTTGATGTTGAAATTTTTCATCATAGACTGTAACAGAACCAAGCTTTTGCTCCACGTATTAGTCATCAATAATTTTACTTACAATGTCGTTAACTTCGTATATAATCGGTCTTTTTCAGCAAGCTAGGAATTTTCGACTCGTTCTCGTTACTATTACTAAGTAAATACACAAATCTTGGCAAATATAGCTATTCGCTCTTAAGCAGTATCTGATTAGGTTTTTTTATTATCTTGTTAAGTTATGCTGATATCTACACATATTCTTGTACCATAAATACCTAGTAAACACATTCAAATGAATTTTCAAAGCATTTGGTAACAAAATTTAGATGATTTCACTAGTGCATTCGATAGAGTTAAACTTTAAGGATGAACTTGAGCGACACTAAGTCTATTTATTTATTTGAACACATAAATATTAGTACAAGAGGGCATCAAATATATTTGCGCCGCACAAAAAATGAGAATTCGAAGAGAAAAACAGGAAGGTAAGGAGTGTAAGAGAAGAAAAAAAGAAAAACGACCACATTAGTGTAAGGTAGTGTAATAATAATAGTAATAATGGGGGAAGTCAATAACTTGGACGTAATCGGAAGTAGACTTATCCCTCGATAGTTGTTACAGGAAAAACGTGAATTCTTTTTAAAGATAGGGACAACTATCGACTCATTCCATGATGTTGGTACACTTTCTAGCTCCCAAACCTTTGTAAACAACGTCGTCAGTTCCTTAGTTAGAAAGTCACCACCATCTTTAAAAAGAGCCGTAAGTCATCTGGGCCCAGTGATTTGTAGCGCTTTAAGGGTTGGAGTTCCTTGAGGAATTCCGCCTCATTTGGTGGATCAGTCGTCACCGGCCATGGAGGGCAGGACAATCTGACTGATGTTGCCGGAGCAACAGGCCAGTTGAACTGCCCTTCGAAGAATTCTGCCCATCGTCCAAGACGTCGATGGTTATTAGTGGTTGACATTCCGTCATCCTCACAGATCGTTTCACTCACACCAGTCTTCTTGCTGCCAGTGGCTCGGATGGATTGGAAGAGCTTCCGGTGGTTCCGAGATACAGCTGCTGCTTCCAGCTCATTAGCACGCTCTGACCACCAGGCTTCTCGGTCCTTATGCAAGTTTTGCCCGATTTCATTACGTAACAGCCTTCGTTTGTGGTCAAACTCATTTTTATTTTCTGTTTTAACACATAAATATTAGTACAAGGAGGCACTAAATATATGCGCCACACATCTCATTTGATATGTGTGTGGGGGGCTGTGATACTGTCCGGGTGCCCAAACTCACGGTCACTCGGAGTAGACCGACGGGCTTCGATGAGTTGTAAGGAGCCTGAAGAAACACAGTGCTTATAAGCGGGACGTTTCGCGAAGGCAGGTGGTAGAACTCATACTTGATCGCATCCGGGCTGGAATCTGTCGGGGCATAGGCGGAGATGACGAAAAGACATCGTTTCACGCCGATTTCTCACTTTGATGGAACTTTCTAATCTAAGAGCACATAACTGACTATTAATGGGGATCCAATTGATTAGTGCTGCCTCAGCTATAGCGCTTAGTGCGACACCAACGCCAGCAAGACCAGACGAAGATGCCATAGGGTCCCTGGATAAACGCACATAAAACAAGCTTTTTGAAGCGACAGATGGAGAGTGAATTTGTAGTACTTCACTAGAGTCTTGAATACGGGTCTCGGATAGACAACAAACGTCGATATTAAGACTTCCCAAAGACATAGCCAGCCCTATCTGTTGTCCGACCTGCATAAGTGTGCAAACGTTGAAGGCAGCCAGTTTGAATGGTGCACGTGGTTTCAGAAAAACTACTTCAGTCCTCGCATTCGGTGGTAACATACAATTTTCAACCGGACAATGACTCGAGAACGTTTAGATAGAACCGAGTTTCCACCATAGGCGAGTTGCTGTATAAGTCGAAAAATAAGGATACATAAAGTGGGAATAAAAGAGAGTAAATAAATGACGTAGTAAATAACAATAATATGAATCGTTTGATTGTTAATTGAAGCAAGACAAGTATTTTCCATAAATATAGACATTTCGTCATATTTGTGTGTGGGCTGTGATACTGCCTGGGTGCCCAGACTGAAGCAGGTGGTTTTCTTAGGGGACCACACCTCGAGCCTTCGACCTAAAGGTCTGACCCACAAGGCAGTGGAGCATCGTGGGGAGATGCAGTCCCATGGTAGCCGGTGACCAACGATTGGTTCATAGGCCATTTGTTCCCTCAGGATACCGGGGCCCATGTGCACCATTGGTTTGGGATCCGGTTAAAGCTCTGGAAATTCCCTTTTCATAGACAACACCCCTGCCACAAGAAGGCAGTGAGTACGACTTCCGTGGCAGAGGCTGTATACGCGTGGCCGTGTGAGAGCATTTCGAGAGGGGGCGGGCCCACCCCATTCTCGGCTATACCAGGGCATTTGGGGACACTAAGTAGTTCTTGACTACATTCAGCTGGTAAAAATATGAAGGAATGACTCACGAACTCAGGATTAGGATTTACAGTTAAGATCATGGTTCTAGGATCCATAATTTTGGGTCATAACTAGGGTCGGCATTGCGTGTGTTGCGGATCTAAGAATATTATTTACTGTTGGAGTGTACAAAACTGAGGGTTACATTTGAGATTGAGGCAGTAGAACTGTGCTTAATGGACGGAGCAATGAGGTTAAAATGATGAATTTCTTTCATGAATTTCAGAACACTGTGACGGATAGCTCAGTCAAAATTACTCATGTTTAGTTCTTAAGATATTTAATATTGGCAAATATATCTACTGTAGAACTGTACGGTGAATGTAACATAGTGTGTGAGTTGAACTGCAATAAACACGTGCTGCTCATCAAGATTTTGTCCGAAACTCTTATTATCGGTTGAAGGTACTCGGTATTACTCGGAGAATTATCTAGGGTGTTTATGAGATCTCGTAGTGATCCGTGCATCACGACCTAACCGGTGCAGAAAAATAATTAAACATTAGTTGATTGTAAGTGATATAATCACCGGGTCACCGTTCGTGTTGGTATTAATGCTTAATCAGTGCAGTTACGATTAAAGAACCGCATATAGCCTTACAAAGGTTCTAAAGGTAAAATGAACTCAAGTAATATGGACGAAATTCCATATCACACTGAAGTTGATTTTCATACCTACGAGCCGATTACGGACTCTAAAAAATTTATTAATCATGCGCGAACCGTATATACATTTTAATTTTCTGGGTTTTCCTTAATAACTTATTGATTTGTATCATGTATTGTTGTTGGCCAAAAGGTCTGAGGGTCGTCCATAAAGTATAGTTCTACTAGTCGAGGCCATAACTAAATATTAGTCTCAACCTTGAGGTTAATTATCTAAAAATGTTTTTGTCATCAAAAACTATTATTTATGCTTGATAGACATTTTGCTCCGATATATGCCCCGTGAAATTCGATTGACTTGCTCGTTCCAGATTGACTCGCCCTAACAGTTCAACTTAGGTCTTTGTCAACTTCATGAAGAAACGCTTGTATCTGCATTTGTAGGTTAGCACAGATTGAGAATATTGATTTGGAGTTGGGACCCCACATTCGTTCCATAAGTTTCACCATCTTAAAGAACGTAGGCCATATCATTATCACCTAAGTCGATGTTGCTTAATAGCTTTATCAACTGACTAGGACTTCTAACCTGGCGCCTTACATTTGACCTCACCTCTAAGTCCGTGGTGTCATTTGTTTTTAATTCGCCTCTAAGGAGTCTCGACAGTTACATAGTATTAATTTTGCGACCTCCCTTTCGTATAAGTTTTGCTTTTGATGTTTACCACTAACGATTATCGCACTTATATTTTTATGTCTACATATGGGAATAATTAAAGAAATCTGAATATTGTTATATTTTTCGATTTGAAAGCCGCATTTTGCCTTGTTAGCTGCTGAGTTTTATGGTAGTGGGCCATCAGGTGTACTGAAGTTCTAAATGCTTTTCGCTCGAATGAATATATATATATATATATATATATATATATATATATATATATATGACATAATATCTTCGTAAGTTGAATAATAGTTGACTGGTAGTCAATAAACTATTTTCTTGTTCTATTCGGTATCCGGTTATTGTCCTATGTATGTATGTATGTATTTTTTCCTGAAGTAAATTTGTTGAAATACTTTATGCAAAATGAATCTTAAAAAAGTAAGGTTTTACACCTCTTCGATAGCTACAGTTGAAAGCTGCACAGAAAACAGGATTTTACGTTTATCTGAAATTGTTACTCTTGAAGTAAAGTTCGCGTATTCGTTTGCAATCAGTTCTCTTCATTTTATTTTCGTTTCCGCGCCACTCAAAATCGTCATGTTTCCTAGTTTTTTAAAATCGAAATCTAATTATTTCGTTTTCATGACGTCTTATTAAATACATCTTGACGTTACTATATTCTTTTATTAATTAAATACTACCACTTTTCATTTTTTGTCTAGTGGTTTTTAAAGTTGTCAAGCGTTCTCTACACCACAACACAGAACGAGTTAATTTCTATGTCTTGAAAGAAAGTTCCATTATTGCACGTCTATAGTCTATTGATTTTAAGCAATTTCATCATTCCTTTTTTTAAAGAAAAGTTTTCTCAAAGATCTTTAATGAAACAGGAAATTTGTTTAACATTTATGAGAACATAAATTGATTCTTTGTAGTTGACTTCTGATCACGAATTGCCTCCGTTCTAATCGAACTAAAAATTTTACTTGTTAATCAGGTTTTAATTTTTTGTACCAAAATAGTAGTTTCTCAGGGAACTTACTTTCAGTTGTCTTATAAGCATTTAATTAGTTTAGTGGTTCAGACATTCAGACATCACAAGTTGAAACTCATATCATTTGATTTTGCTTGAGAAACCAACTTGTATTGTTAGCTACTGTGCTGTTTACAATTTTTAGTGCGGTAACGCCTACATATGGTCACTGTTATATTAGTTCTTCGAGCATCTTTATCATTGTTTTGAAGAGTAGTTTTGGTCATTTAGTATTGTTGGTGTTGTGTGAAATGCTATAGGTAGAGAAAGTCGATCATTTGTAATGGTTAACAACTTAATGTATGTATGGTTGTTGAGATAAAGTAATGTATATGCTTGACTAGTTGGCCTCAATCTGTGTTGTTGACCGAAGTATAGGTAATGGTAAACAATTTTTTATTATCTCATCAGTTTACGAAGTCAATGATTGTTACTGGGAGTCCTTTCTTATCAATCCAGTTAGTGTAGAAGTTTAAATCAAATATATTACAATTTCTAAATTTTGTAAACATGTTGTCCAAAATATTCAAACTCTATTCATTCAATTTTAGTTTATGGTCGTCTGGTTTTAATAGAGTGCGATTTATTGTCGTTTTAGTGTTTGATTTACTACATAAATACCTAGATACAATTCGTACAAAATCTATAACTGTTTTCAACATTTTATTAACCCAGTTGTTTCATTTATTGAAATTATATCGACTAGTTGCACTGTCAATCCTACATTATTGTTAAGATAAGTATTTATGAGTTTTGTAAAAATGGCTAACATATTTTTCATCACATTAAAGAAAATCAATTAAGTTTTGTAATTTTTCTCTTTAGAGACCCTAAGTAAAATAAAGGATTTCAGATTAAATTCAGTTATTATGAGAAAAATGCGCAGACATGTGATTATTTGGTCGTATCATTAAAGGATTAATCAACTTATGTTTAGTCATGTGTCTATAAACTATCATAAACTAGTAGACAATAGTGTACCATCAATCAATTAATTAGTTAACATATTGGCATAATAATCTGGAACCCTGAGGAAATGTACAAAATCAAGTTATCATAATCTGTAGCATCTTAATGATTATCAAGATAAAAGAGAAGGAATAACGAGTAATGAAACATTCAAAATTAAGAATGAACATATCTGCATCATTGTAACAGGTTATAAGCTGTCATCTAGTGTCTCGAATCGCTGACTTTCATCTTCTTGGTAACTTTTTATAGAATGTCTTAACTTTTCTATACAATTCGGACTAACAAGATGATGACTACAAGTTTTATCGTATTATTACTATATTAGTCGATGGGCTATTAAGTAACCTTGCGTTCTACCTGACATAGGTATGAACAATATTTGAAAATCAAAACTTGGTGTCGCATCTATTTTCTCATAGTAATTGTGAAGGCCTTAGACATCTCGCTTTCTATCCCTAAGATATTTTGATGTAAACCAAGTTATTTCGCACTATCTGGCGTTCTGTAATGCGAAATTAGTAGATAACAAAGGATCCTTCATCTTGTCACTGTATTAATGACTTGTATTGTCCGTTCAGTTAATGTTGTTCAGAAGTAACTGCTGCGGGAAATGATGATTCGATATATATTGACCTACATTAGTATGTTTGCTGTAATTTTGAACATTTGTGACAAAATGTATGTCTAGCGCACCCACTTTGTTTCCACACCAAAAAGCAATTTATTATAAAATCTTACATGTTAGCTTGACTAGACTAAGCAGCATGTTATCATCTGAACTATCCTCTATCATGCAATATCAATATTTGAAGGTGATCTGTCGAAATACAGTTTATACCAATAGGTATTAATCGATTAGGTCACAAAAATCCAACTTTCTAATCACCAACTCGTTCTTCATACTCATGTTATACATGTTCTTATGAGTTCTTCATTTTTTGTATTTTGCCTAGTAAAACATACTTCAAGTGATCTGGAGACTCCGGTCTAGCTAATTTCTGTTTTTACCTTGGAAATTAAAGATCACCGATAGCAATATGTCCAACAATAGTGGATTAGATATAACAAATTTGGATGATTTACGTGATCCATCGGGAATCTTTTCACTCATCGAAGTTGTGGGTAAAGGTACTTATGGAAATGTATACAAAGGACGATACACGCGAACTGGTCAGCTGGCTGCCATCAAGGTTATGCCAATTACTGAAGAGGATGAAGAAGAAATTAAGCTGGAAATTGATACATTAAAAAAGGTTAGTCTTTCGTCTCATTTGTAGATTAAATAATTATGTTTTGAAGCCTGACAAAATTAGGTAAGATTTAGGTTATTTTGGAAACTATTATATCTATTGGTCGTCAGACAACCGTTCCATCATATTTTGACTCACGTTCTAAGCATGTATGTAGTTGAAATTCACTTAATTCATTAGGGTTGATGCATTTATTCAACTGTTACCTAATTCTGATGCGCCTGAATCTATTTCCTAATTTCATATGTACTGATGATATCACGAAACACTGTTAATCTCAGAGTCTATTTTAGTTAATTGCATCCAGAAGCTTAGTCTATTGATCAGTTGCTTCAGCGTGTATTATTTATTTTAACTATTACCTAAAGGGTTTACTTTTGCAGAAATCGATAGTTTTTTGTATGCTTTTTCATATTAAAACATCTTTTTATTCTGGTTATTTCACACAGCCTTTTTCAATTTTCATTCTGAATCTACTAACAATTTTTTTATCAACAGATAAGCACACTGTTGCAAGCATATATTTATTTATTTGAACACATAAACATTGGTACAAGAGTCAGTCAGTCAACTACAACGTAAGACCAGGCATATATATGCATCGCTCCAAGTTGCCATACCTCATTAACACAACAACAAGATGAACGCCGGATCCATAGCAGTAGCTAATTCAATGGTGGTAATATATAAAAGAAAGATTGCATATAAAGGATATCGTACAGGAAGAAAGAATTAGTACGTAGAAAGAAAGATATGAAGCGATTTTAATCTCATAGTTTAAGGGAAGATAGAGAGTGAAAACACCTACGTCATTGTGATCAATTCTGATCTGTATCACCCAGATTCTCCAACCATTGGTTACGATAGTCACGCGGACGCCAACCAAGTAGTTTGCATCTCCCAACATGACACAGACTAGAAGTTAGTGACTTCAAGCACTGATGCCACATTTTGGTTTGGCTGCCCCTAACTTTCTTCCAACCATTTCCAATACCGGTTAGCATTGCGCGTCATGGTAATCGGTTTTTAGGAATACTCAAGACGTGGCCCAACTATCTCGGTCGATGATGATTCACAACCTCATCAACCGATTTACCATCATTCCCTAATACCCTACGTCTAACCTTACTATTACTTACTCGGTGACCCCAGCAGATGCCAGTAATATTTCTAAGGCATCCGTGGAATGATCATATAGTTAAAATACAAACTACATTTTGCGTAGGACAGTTATAAAAGCTCATCACTTGTTCTATCCACTCTTGAGAACTATTTATGGATCAATACGATACACATATTTTTATTGTATAACTATTAAGTAGCTAAACTATGCATATTCATGTTTCTCTTATTAAAAAGGCTTTATTTTGGCCCATAGACTATTATCATACGATATACCGTTCTTGAGTTCTACCCAGTCTATTAATTATGGTCTCCCACATTCGCAGCCACTTTTGGCTAGATATTGTACAAATATTATTTTCTATTTTATGATTCGATGTGATCTGTTCGGTTTGTATACAAACCCAGTATGTTTGAAATACATGAATCCATTTACGGAAGCTGAGATTGGTGTTGTGGACTTAACAAGCAGGGTTAGGCAGGAAGAAGGACCGATAAAGACTCTAGACTGCTCGTGCGAGTTTACGTGTCATTGGTCCGGTCGATAAATTATTGTTCTCTAATTGGCGGTATCATTGCGTCATATATTAATAGGGCACAAGGCCACAAGTTATAACACTTTTCAAGTCCTCTTTAATGTGACAATAGGTCTGACGTTAGGGATCAAAATTTTAATGTATGTCTCATCATGATAAATTGAAATCCAGGATTTTATTCAGAGTTATATATTATTAGTTTCTGCTTCCTTATATACTTCGGTTTGGGCACCCGGGAAGTATCGCAGCCCTCACACAAATCGAATGATTTATGTGGCGCATATCTATTTGGTGCCTCCTTGTACCAATGTTTATGTGTTTAAATAAATAAATAAAATAAATATACTATCGACAGGATTCATTAAGTTAACTACACGATCCAGGTTAATAGTCATTGTGAATTTATAGGGTGTTCTCATATTTTTCTCCAATCACTTTAATCCTTCATATCCTCTATTGTTTCATTCGGCACTGTATGTCAGTGATATATAAAGGATAAGCACTTATAACACATGCAACCTCTCTAGTTTATCCGAATTTAGTAAAGTTTTACTAGGTGTGAATAGGTGGGCTTTTAAATTATCATATTTCACGTCGGAAAGAGGTATACAGTTCCTAGGACCAACTTTAAAATAAATCAACGAAAGAAACAAACAAAAATATACTATGGTTATTGATTAGCAAAATTTTTAAGATTTAAGGAAGTATAAATGTTGGATTAATGTGCACCATAACTATAGTCTAGGGTTTTCAACTATTCATCACAACTTCCTTGTAGATGTCAGTCAGGCAGCATACTATCTCACTTGTATCTTGGATCAATGGGTAAAAATTTTATGAACTAAAGTGATAGTCTGATCTAACATCGTACTCTCACTGCAACCTTCATTTAACGAATTAATGTGTTAACAGGTATACGCAGAGTTAGTTGATAGTTGCCTAAAAACTCATCAACTGATTTGTATTCTTCAACAGTTATTGTTTTCTTGATAGTTCGGGAACTAAATTAAAATAGTTCTTTGAAGGCACATATTACTGACCACTTGTTATTTGTTTTGTTCTGCTTTCATGATCCGTGTTTGATATCTGTATAGTGAGATAAAATGAACTGTTTGCCAATATACTTATTCTTTGTTAAGGATTCAGATTTATTTCACTTGAAGTCGTTCTTCTAAACTTAACGCGGATCTACCATGATATATGTAGGTATCTTCTGTGCTTTTAATGTGCTGGTTATTATTGTTTCTCGCTACATATTTCAGGATATAACTAGAGTCAACTAGAATATTTTCTGAAGTCATGTAATACCAAAAAAATATCTCCAATTTTTTTATTTCTGGTATTGGGAATACATAATGTACTTTGTTACTTTATCATAGAAAATGTGATTATCAACGATACTCAATGAATTTAAGGTGAAATCAGATAATTCTTAGCTTATACGTATACATTCAACGTATAATATTAATTTTGACAGGGGAAAATGTTATCTCACGGTACTTTGATAAATTTTTATCGATATAGCTTTTCTAGTTTATTCTGCTATTTCATCCTGTACATTCACTTGATTTATTTGTCTGTTATTCACTCAATGAATCACAGATTACAATATTGTTTATGTTTACCGAAATTTAATCAATCAAATAGTACCATTAAACGTTATGTATGATAATAACTTCAATTATTCATATTCATTATTTAAAATAATGAACAATGTATTGTATGTAGCATTATTTAAACTGTATTTAGTTAATTTAAAATCAACATATTAATTTGTAAGATGTATTTTTTCTTAAATTTTTTTACATTAAAATTTGTCCGGTTCTTTTTGTATTCACTTATTATTGCTTATTTTCTTGTTTTTATTTAGTTATCAAATCATCGAAATATTGCTAGTTATTATGGTGCATTTATTAAAAAATCTTCACCTCGTGATCATCTTTGGGTAAGATATTGTTTTTTACTAATCATGACAATTTTAAATTTTTAATAAAGTTATCACTATGTTGAATTTGTTCATTTCGTTTTTTACAATTACTCTTTTTGTTTTATTGTAAAGATTATTCTGTTGGTTGGTTTTAGTGTAATTCGTTAGTTAAACAAATCTTTCGATTTAGAAATTATTATAAACAGAGCAATAGTAATGAAATATATAAAACAAAATGATTTCAATCGTTGTCAAATGTTACCATCCAACTACAGTTAAAACAAATATGGTTGAGTTCGAGATATTTGATTTATTAGTGAAGTTGAGATGCAAGGTATAAACGAATTAGGTAGTCAAATTGTCAAGAAACATTACAAAATTAAGTAATATAGTTGACATTGATACATCTTAATATCTGTGTAACCTATTTACGTAAATTCAGGGATGTAAGATCATAAATAATCATAGTAAAAATAAGTGATTAGATGACTAAACAATATAATTAGGATAAAAAGTAACTTAATGTGTGATTCACCAGTGACTGAGTTAAAATCTAATTGTGTTTAACACGCTTTCATTCTGTTTACTAAAGTTGGAAATCTTTGATAACAATAGGTTATGAAAGACTAAGTAAATGCGACATTTATTGTTTAAAGTTCTTGGACAAATCTATTTCATGTCTGCTATCCTTTAAGTGACTGAGAATCGTACTTATTAAGAATTTTGATTGGCTTAATGAAGATTTGATGTTATGTACCAAAAATAATTGACCTGGAACAAAGTACCATTTGAGTCAATTCTCTTCTTTCATATCTTAAAATATCCCCACTGATTGGAAGGCGGACAAAGATTGATTTTTCACTGATTACCATATATTAATGACTACTAGTATAGCTCATTTTTATTTTGTTATAGATTCCTCAGGGTTATAGTTAACAAAAGACTTTCATTTTACCACTAAACACAAAATTTTTATCATTTTCTACAGTTTAACTTTGACTACTTGTTTTCGTATGATTATTTATTCTGTCAATTTATGGTGTTCTCACTTATATTCAGACTTTAACGTAAATGAACTCAAGAAAACTAAATATCAAGCAGCTAGGGTACATGTAAACACAGTACGTAATACGATTGATCTCATCATTACAAATCTTTGGAATATGCAAGAAGTGTACAATGTTTAATAGTTTTTTCTTATTGTACTAATATATATATATACATTCATTTCAGTAGCCTGATTTTCCATTTGCTTAGTTTTATCATTGACTTCGCTCCTAACATATGTTTGAATATCACTTGTACGACCACAGAACTCATGTCAAACCATATCTTATCCTGTTCTTTATGAGTAACACCTAGATCATCAGTTTTCGTGTTTATAGTTGGTCGAAAGCGAATCAGACTATCAGTGTTTTCAAGCTATTCATTGTTTTATATGTAGCCTCAACAATGCATTAGTCACAAGGTCGTACTTCTTTTCCCATCTAATCTTTGCGTTGTGGACATAGAAATTATGTCTGCCATGTTTTATTCACCTGTCTTGTAATGGAACAAAAAAAATCAAATCAATCAATAGCTTGACTCATTAGTATAGTACTTGTATGTATACTTTGGACAAAGTAGTGCATTCCTTTTAATTTCTCTATCTTTAAGGTTACACACATATTTCTGATTATTGTCGTGCGTATGTGTTATTTATACAATAATGCGAAGATGCATCCCACTCACCATGATGGTAAGTGGTGGACACATAATCACATAGACATATTTTGTGTTTATAAAGCAAATATGAAAAGTTTGTGACAATTTCCAGTTTTTTTCTCTACTCCTCCCATAATGTTTGTATAAATATTGAAAACAATTCTATGTTTATCAATTTATCAACCAGTTCATCCTCTTCATTGTTGTCATTATTATATCGATGGTTGTCTGTTAATGTCTGTTGGGTATAAAGGGAAGAGTACAAACAGACAATGGAATAATATGGTAAAACTGTTTCACAATATCTTTCCAGTTCTTTGTGTTGTTACAAATTTATGACTGATTCTTCATCTATTCTTTGCTATCCATGATAATGATAATATAGCTTACTAAATAGAAAACGCAGAAAATCAATCAGGCATCGTTAAGCGAGTGATACCAAACACTATGTCCTATGATGAAATTCAATCTATGAGGTTCATGTTTATATATTCGTCTTTGTAACACTTTTTTCGTAAGGACTAGTGATAATACTAGACTACTTCTACCAAAATTAACTCAAGCACAGAAGCAACAGGACCAATACTATTGTCCACTTAGCAAAATAAGAACTTTATTAGCGAACAGTCATTTACTACTTTTTAAGTCAGTAAAGTTCTCAATTCTACTGAATAGTGTATACAGCTTCTTACACAAAAAGGCTCTTACATAAAATGCACATGTACCGAAAAAGACTGATCAAAATTCAGTCAAGATAATCAATAACAGGATAATCCAAATCCCTTCTAATCATGATATGAAAATTTCACCCGTTCCACTCTTAACTGGTTATCTGAACTAAGTAGCTCAATGGATAACTCGTTAAGCGTTCGAAGCAAAATGAACTGGGTTCGAGTTCTGGTGTAAAGACTAGCACTGAAATGCAGGTCCGATCAGCTGACTCGGCTCAAATAGGACGAAACGCTCGTCCCAGATTTCTTTGTTAAGCGCGATTCAACTATTTCATAAAGCTTGTAGGAGGGGCTGACATTAAAACAACTATGGTTGTTTTTTCTTTAGCCCTAATGATAAATTTTGGGGCCATAACCATATGTATTAACACAAATCATGGTCGATTTAATTGTTATCGAAATATATACTCAATATGTCTAAATGCACACTTTTTTTCGCCCAAATATATAGAAATTATAACATACTGAGAAAAAAGTTATCTCTGACTGCAACCACGTTTGAACTTGAATCTAAACTAGTGATTACTAGAGCTCATTATCACGATAATCATTACACTAATTATTAGCTTTTATTTCCATCTTAAAGCGACAATAATAATTGATCATATCATTCTTAATATTATATTATTAGGTGACAGGTTTGAGGAGTGCACAGAGGGAAGCAATAAAATTTGTTCATCACGCAGTGGTGTGTGAATAACAAATTCAAACCACAGTTGTTTTAACGTTGTTCCATCCTTTTTTCTTTTAACTAACCATACAACAATAAGAGAATATGTTTTTGTTTTTCAATTTTTTTGAAGATTTTCCTTGTTCGAGTTTGTTTTTCTTTTTAGTGAAACAAGTGTTTATTTTTTAATTTTGTTTTTAAACAAAACTTAATTTCTAGCTTGCTATGGAATATTGTGGTGCTGGATCAGTGGCTGATTTAATAAAAAGTGAGTAGTTTTTTTAAAAATTTAAGACAAGAATAGGAATAATAATTTGTATATTGTCCATTGTTACTTTGTTATTTCAATTCTCACCATAATTTCTTTTTATGGTTAAACCAAACGGAAAATAACGTAACGAAAACAAAGTTATCAGTATTAACAAAGAACTAGAAGAAAAACTATTAGACACAAAGGAAACGCATTTTGAGAAAAGTGCGCTTATTGGTTGAGATAGTATTCAAAATGCTAGGAAAGATAAAGTATGATGAATTCATTTGAACCATGAGAACAAATTCTCTGTCTTATTGTTGTAATCTACATCCATCGAACATAGATACACTTGGTGGATCCTAGTCACTTATGGTCCCTTATCTAACGTGGATCAGTGGTTAACAGCACTATAAACTGAACTAAAATCTTATTCTGTGATATTCATTCACCTTTTCTTAACCTTTTGATATTACAAGCTGTCTATAAAGAGTTTGCTAGTTGACAGGTGTGCATGATACTAGTCAATATCGTATCAGTTAATGATCATTTTAAAACTCTATAAATTCTTTTGTTCTCTTGATGAGTTAATGGATACACTTGAGTAGTGCTTCGAAGATATATATATTATCGATTACTTTTAATGTGCTATTGTATTTACTTTCAGGAAATATGTCTTACATTTATAGAGTATAATGTTATTATAACAATGAAACATTGTTTTTAGCCGTACAATCAATTGATTACCTCAACTGTTATTGAAATTATCAGCTGAAAATTTCTCATGAATCTTAAATTATTAATGCGTTGCCACGAAAATGAGCTAACATCAGTAAACTGTATAACTAGTGTGAACAAGATAGATTTCCTTTTCCTCTGAAACGACACTTATATACAAGATAATAGACAAAAAACAGTTGATTAACAGTTACATAAGAGTGAGTAAATATAATTAAAAGGAATTTAATGCAAAAATGATTGTATGTTACAAATTTATCAGTGATACTACCTAGGTACATAAAGTCTTCCACCTCTTCCACAAATTTGGCTTATATATTCTCTTGTATATATATTTTTTGTCAATGTCACCTTGTTGCAAGTAGTAGTGTTTATTTATTTAAGAGTATTTCTTAAAAAGGTTTTTGGTTTTAGTTCACATTATTAATTTTCCAGACGATTCGTCGTCTTGTTAAGACATTCTTTTCTCTACTGTTTTAGGTACTCGCACGAAATCACTCAAAGAAGATTGGATTGCTTATATTTGTCGAGAAATTCTCCGAGTAAGTAGATTATTATTATTCATGTGAACTGATTGAATATGAATAGAACTTGACTACTGTTTTAGAGTATATATATTCCCACTGAAACACGATAATGACCCTAGTCGAAAATACACTGATTTATGTTAATCTAATACTAATACCAAGAATATTGTATATTGAATAAACATCATACTGTAATATATCAATGTTATGTTGTATAAAATAACACATTGACAATAAAATAAATATTACACTAAGTAATCATCATATTAAATTAAAAATGGAAGTAATCTTGAACAAATGTTATAACAAGTTAAAGACGTAATTTCGTCTTCTTATTTTCTCATATCAATATTTAACTTTCTATATATACGAATATTATATTGAATTTGTATATGTTAAATAATGAATATGACTTACACCTTAACAAGTCAGTTAGTTACATTGTAGAACCTGGTACGTATGCATATCGGTTCAAGTTGTCAAACCCCATTAGTACAGTGAGATGAAATTGTAAGGCCTAATTCCAGAATAGAAGAGGTAGTAACATTATGAGTGATAATAGGAAAGATTAAGCATCGAATATAAAACTCTATGAGAAAATATAAATTGGTGAAATATAAAAACACAAGAAGTTAAGGGGAGTTTAGCGGATGCACCTGCACCATCGCAAACGATTTTGAATCATGTCAATCAAAGTCACTAACCATTAGTAACGATAACCACATGGACCCCAACTACGTAGTCTACACCTATTAGAATGATTCAGTCCAATGATCACAGTCTTCATGGACTTGTGCTTTGTTTTCATTTGGCCGCCTCCCTAGCCTTTTCCAGCTTACTCGTACACGAGACAACATCGATCTTCGATGTAGGCGGTGGTTGAGTATAAGCCACACTTATGTTCCGACCACCTCAGTTGATGATGTTTTACTACCTCATCTATCGATTTACCATCTTTACCTAGCACTATATTCTTAAACCGGGCATTGCTCACACAGGGTTCCAAAAATACATGACCAGTGCTTCGAAGATACTTATCAATGAATATCAATAACCTAAGAATATCTTTCATTTTTAATTGTCATATTTTATATCCATAAACTTTAGCGGAATGAACAACTGCACGGTAAACTCGTCCTTTATTTGGAAGACGGGTATCTCACCTGCTCCACAAACCCGACCGGAGCTGCTACCTTGACGCAGTGGTCGGGCTTGCCTATCGTGATGACCCAACCAAGCTATATTGGCTGGAACATATGTTCCTGTAGGTTCTACCATGCCAGGAAGGTCGATTGGAGAACGGTAAGACTAAAAGCAGCAACTCAAGGTCTGACGGGCGAAGTCGTACTGCTGACTGTAGAGAGATGTGACATCAGTAAGGTGTTTCCCTCGGACAACCAGCATTTGTAGCGATGCTGCCTTCCCAAAAGGAGAGGTGGGGTTAGAAAAGGTTGACCCTAAAAATGTCACACCTCACCTTACCTCACAAGATTTCGTCTCCCGCGGTAAGGCCCTTTGAAGAACGGAGCTAACAGGTCAAAAACCTACCACAAAAAGGCCGTGCGCGATCGGCCTCAAGCAGTTGTCCCTTGGGCCCTGCGGTCACGCTCCCAGGTCGTCAAGACCAACACTAATCCAATTTCCTTTTCAGGTTCCTCAAGAAATACCCTTCCACGGTGTGGGCAGCCGGGAAGTGATTTCAGCCCTCATACCCGTAACAGCACACGAGACCAAGTTGGTCACATTCAAATCCTTCCTACATCTTCTAATACCTCTCTTATCTCCATGACTAACCCTCCTCACGTCTCTTTATCACCTCGCACCGCTAGGGCAAACGATTCGAGTACGTGGAACGCCATTCCTGGTCTCTTGAAACCACGCTCTAAACTACACGTAGAGCTTTTAAAGTCCGAACACTGTGCCAAATAGGACAGCAGGCCTCCTTAGCTAGGACTTTAGAATCTCGCGCCATCGATGTGTGCTGCGTCTCCGAAACGCGCATACAGGATCCGAGTAGCGTCATTCATCTGACCTCACCATGCCAAAATAAAGAACCGACTCGATTTACACTTCGTGTATCTGGAAGCCCTGATTCTGCTTCCCGTGGCCTCGCCGGCGTCCTAGGGCAGAACTAGCTCTCTTAGAGTGGATCCCAGTAGACAGTCGTTTGTGCGCTGTCCGACTAAACGGAACAGTAAGAATCCGAAAAGATAGGGACACTCATCGTTGCCTCTTCGTCGTTTCTGCCTATTCTCCCACTGACTGCAGCGCAGATGATGTAAAAGATGAGTTTTACAGAAAGCTCTCCGACCTTCTCCGAAAAGCTAGGCGCTCAGATGTAGTAATAATGACCGGTGACTTTACTGCTCAAGTAGGTAAACTAAGCGATAGGGAAAGACACCTGGATGGATCTTATAGCATCATGGCACAAAGAACAAATAATGGCGACCGTCTGTTGCAGCTATGCTCGGATAACCGCCTCTTTCTTGCAAATACCAACTTTAGGCATAAGGAAAAACATCTTTTAACATGGAGACTCCCTAATTCGTCCCGGCGTTGGACCCAAATAGATCACATCGCTATCAGCCACCGATGGAAGGGCTCGATAGAAGACTGTCGCTTATTCTGGAGCACATTCTTAGATTCAGATCATGCTCTAGTGCGAGTGTGTATCTGTCTGAGTCTTACTGGACGTAAGAAAGACTCTGCAAAGAAACTTCTTATGGCCCTACTTAATGATAGTCAATCTAAGAGTATATTTCAGGAACAACTAGGAAAACAGTTAGGCAGCCATGTATGGGATGCCCACCCTGAGGCAGCATGGAATTATATCCGAAAAGCTGTGGAAACAGCAGTGATATCTGCTAGTACAGTAACCCGTAAGGTTAGGAAGCAACACTGGATCTCAGCAGTACTGTCGCACTGATAGATGCTCGAAAACTCACCCCATCTGGCTCTAAACATAACGAAGAGCTGAGTCGGCTTAAGCGCAGGCTCATAAGAAGCCTACGCAATGATCGCGAACAGTGGTGGTTAGCGAAAGCAAGAGAGATGGAAAAGGCAGCGACAATAGGTAATAGCAGACAATTGTTCAGACTCGTTAGGGGAACCGGTATTAGGAAACCGACTGTTAGCGAAACACTCTCAGAGAAAGATGGACATATTATACACTCTCAATGCAGGAGATTGGATCGATGGGCAGAACACTTTAGGGATTGGTTCAACTGGCCTTCAGCCACACTTCGATTTCACACGATCTCTAGTCAACCTGAGTGGCAAGTTAATGTAGGTCCTCCGTCTCTTTACGAAGTTGAAAAAGCCATAGGAAATGTGAAGCGAGGGAGAGCAGCAGGCCCTGACAGATTTACTCCTGAGATTTTTAAGGATGGTGGCCCAGTATTAGCAATGAGATTAACCGAGGTCTTAGGTAGAATTTGGGAACTGGACGTAATCCCATCTGACTGGTCTCAATCACTGATTGTGCCAGTTTTTAAGAAAGGACAAAAGTCCTCTTGTGACAATCACAGAGGAATCAGTTTGACTAATATAGTGTCTAAAATATTAGCTTCAATAATACTTCGACGCCTAACCAAAGCTCATGAAGAGCAGACTAGAGAAAACCAGGCTGGTTTTCGACCTGGACGTGGTTGTATAGACCAAATATTCACACTACGTCAGGTTCTAGAACACAGACACACGTTTAGACACCCCACAATGGTAGTATTTCTCGACCTTAAGGCGGCATTCGACTCTGTTGATCGTAAGGTTCTATGGCAGTGTTTGTCACTGAAAGGAGTACCAAAGAAGTACATTGACTTTATAAGGGCTATCTACTCGAACACAACTGGTCGATTGAGAACTTATGGTGAAGTGTCATCAAAATTGATTACCTCAAGTGGTGTTCGTCAGGGCTGTCCACTCTCTCCTTTCTTGTTCAACTTTGTCATTGACGTACTTTTAGAGATAACACTTTCCTCATCTAAATTTCCAGGGGTTGAACTTCTACCAGGAGGTTCACTTGTTGACTTAGAATATGTTGATGACAAAGTTCTGTTTGGTGAAGACGCTGACAAAATGCAGAGTCTTCTGACCACTCTAATCAACAATGCAAGCATGTTCGGGATGCGATTTTCTCCCTCGAAATGCAAAATGTTACTTCAGGACTGGGTTGCATTGACACCTGAACTAATGATAGGGAGTGTAGTAATTGAGCGTGTCGATCACTTCACTTATCTTGGAAGTCTCATCAGCCCTTGTGGTCTGGTGTGTGACGAAATCTCAGTACGGATACAGAAGGCTCGACTAGCTTTTACAAACTTGCGTCATTTATGGCGTAGGCGAGATATCCGTCTGTCAACCAAAGGACGTGTTTACTGCGCAGCAGTTCGTTCCGTCCTGCTTTATGGCAGTGAAACATGGCCGGTAAGAGTAGAGGATATTCGTAGGTTACTAGTATTCGATCATAGATGTCTTTGAAACATTGCTCGTATATCCTGGGACCATCGAGTAAGTAATGCAGTTGTTAGGAAACGGGTACTAGGTAAGGATGGCAAATCGATTGATGAAGTGGTGAAACTTCATCAGTTGAGATGACTGGGACACATGTTACGTATGCACAACCACCGACTGCCTCGACGTGTGATGTTCAGTGGTATAGGAGTAGATTGGAAGAAAGCTAGGGGTGGCCAGACCAAAACATGGCACAAGTCCATGAAGTCACTGACAAGTGGACTGAGTCATGTTGATAGGTGTAGACTACTTGGTTGGGGACCGCGAGATGATAGCAACCGATGGTAAGAGATCTTGAATGACATGGCTGAAAGTCGTTTGCAATGGCGCAGGTGCATCCACTCTTTGTGTTATCCCAAATTTTGATCTCCTGATCCTCCCTTGTCTCTTTTTTTTCTCTTCCCAAGTTTATTTCACTGTATTGTATTCTTTAAGTAACATCTTCAAACACTAATCTTTCCGATTACTGCTTATACTCTTATTACCTCTACCACTACGGGATTTGAATCGACCACTGCATCTCTGTGCTAATGTGGTGTGGCAACTCGAACTGATGTACGTACGTACGAAGTTCTACGTTGTTACTGACTGACTGACTGACTACTCCACAAATGACGCAAGTTGGTAGAAGCTAATCAAGCTTTCTGAATCCTTACCGAGGTTTTGTCAGATGCCAGACCATTGGAACTGGTTAGACTCCTAAGATAAGTGGAGCAGTCGATGAGTTCAACCATTTCACTCCCGATAATTAATTCATGGGGTGACGCAAGCCAATCTTGAAGTCACATTTTACATTAGGAGGAAAAGAACCTCATCTCAATCCAATGCTATTTTCGTCAGACGTTCTGATGCAAGTTGGCTGTTTTCAGTTAGTAATCAATCCATGAATGTGGAAAAGTGTTGATCAAATTGAATGTTGCGATGAATATAATGAACAACTAATTATTAATGTAGATTATGTATCTTTAGACACACGATAAAATCGTTTCAAATAAACTTTCAATTGTTTTAACAAAACATAAATAAATAAATAAACTTACCGTTTAAATAACAGTTTTCATAAGCAAACTAATTCCAACGTTACCTGAACATTATAAGGGTGAATACATAACATACTAATCATGATTATAATCTAGGTATGGCGTCCAGAGAAATTAGGCGATAAATTTTTCATTTATGATGTTCACATTCTATTCTATGTGGGCCGAAATGTTTTTCTAAACATTCAATTTATCACTGTGTGTGTATATATCTTAGGGTTGTATGGTTTAAATCAATACTTTCATAAGATACAATTAGTTTTATCTTGAAAAACAAATAATACAAAGTTATTATATTAGTTATGAGGACACTGGAAACCAAATGGTATTGATCAATCTTATGCAATCACAGACGCGAATTTCGCATTTCTACAAACGATATTTATTTCCAACTGATTCTCAACTTATGCTCATATTTAGACTAATTGTTCTTCAATCATTTCATAAATAGAGATTACTATACAAATAATTCTCTGTCAAATAATTTCACTTTGAATGAATTTTAATTAAACAATGTCTTTTCTCATCAGTAATTAAAATTGTCTTGTAAACTTAGTTTAACAAGGTGGATTGTTTTCGTGTTAAGGAAAGCATTTAAAATTTGTTTTACAGAAAGAGACAACAACAAATTTTCAATACAAAAATGAATTCATGGTTTGCTGATTTTTAAAAAAAAAGTTACTACTTCCAATTTAATCACATCTCTACCAAAAAGATTGAAATTTCAACAATAAAACAGAATAGTTTGTGATGTATCTTTAGTGCAAATATATATTAATCTTCTAATAGTGGTTTTGAGCTTGTTAGGGTATCGTGAATCCTGGTCAACTGAAGTGGTCGGAACATATTTGTCACGTATACTCAACCACCGCCTCCATCGAAGATCGATGTTGTCTCGTGTACGAGTAAGCTGGAAAAGGCTAGGGAGGTGGCCAAATGAAAACAAAGCACAAGTCCATGAAGACTTTGATCATTGAACTGAATCATTTTAATAGGTGTCGAAAACGTAGTTGGGGTCCATGTGGTTATCGTTACTAATGGTTAGTGACTTTGATTGACATGATTCAAAATCGTTTGCGATGGTGCAGGTGCATCCGCTAAATTTTCCCTAACGTATTGTGTTTATATTTCACTAATTTATATTTTCTCATAGAGTTTTATATTCGATGCTTAATCTTTCCTATTATCACTCATAATGTTATTGCGTTGAACGAGAACACAGGTGGGAACAATCGAATGTGTTCGAATACAGAATTACAGAGCATTTTAGTAAAATCTGAGAACCATACAGTAAATGTCAATCAGTCATCTCATACTCCACTGTTCCTTCGTTTCTAAAGCAACCATTCACTGTCCTCGTTCTCTTTTCTTAGATCTTCTTAACCCTTTAGTGCTAAGTATTTCAGTTTCGTTTGGTCATACGTACTACTTATATCTATCGAAATCAGTAGCACACACACCACATTACTACTTCTTCTATTCCGGAATTAGGCCTTACCATTTCATTTCACTGTACTAATTAGGTTTGACAACTTGAACCGATGTGCGTACGTACCAGGTTCTACGTTGTAACTAATCGATTGAATATGACATATAGTATTCAAAATCACAATAGCTTTTCTGAGAAAAAACATCAGTGTGATTCGATTCATCTGTTTTTACATTATGGGTTGCTATTTCATTCCTATGGAGAAACATTTATATGCGATAGTTAGTAAATAACTGTTGTCTTTTCAGTTAATGGTGAGTTTTGAAATAGATAAGACTTGTATTTAAAAATCCTATTTTTTAACTTACAGTTTGATATGTTTCAATAATTTTTCTTTGTTTTTAAATTTTTGGAATTAAAAATTCTTTAACTGATACTATAATTTATTAAAATATTATGACCTATATCTGAAAGGTCATTGTTTTATTTTTGGTAAACTTGTTTGGTTCTTAGGTTTGTTTCTTCCTCCTTATACATTCCATTCATTTTCTGAAATATATTTGTTTTAAATAAAATTTACTTTCTTTCCTAGGGTCTTATGCATTTACATGCAAATCGTGTGATTCATCGAGACATTAAAGGTCAAAATGTATTGCTCACTGATAATGCTGAGGTGAAACTTGGTAAGTTCACTATTATCATGAATGTGTTATCATCATCATCACTGTTGCCGTTTTGGTTGTTGGTTGTGTTTATAAATTTTATATTCTTTGAAGGATATCTAATATAATGTATATATTGTTTCAAAATAAATAAATATACATAAAAGAAACGTTCACTTACCCTAACCTATTCTGATTTCCCTTGAATTGTACTATAACTGATATGTAGTGGTTTTCCCATTCACTAACATTGTTCCTGGATTTTAATGTAGTAGGTATCTAGTAAAACTTCAGTCACTAAAGATAATATTGTTATTCGCTTCTTCTATCTTATTTTTATGATTGTACCTTGGTATTATGATGACCCAGTTATGCTACTTTGGCTGGAACATTTGTTCCTTAATATCCTAGCACACTAGACAGGTCGGTCAGAGTGGTAAAACTAAAAACAACAACTGCTGACTGACTGTAAATGACTGTGAAGGCAATAAAGTATTACCCTCAAATATCTGTCATTTTCAGTGATGCTATGTTCCCAAAACGTAAGGAGATTGGTGAAGATTGACCCTGAAAACAGCTTATCTCACTTTGCTTCAGATTTACATAGTCGGTAGTAAAGCATTGAAAGTAGAGATCTAACTCATTCATAACTACTCACAAAGAGGTTGTATGTAACCGGTCTGAAGCATTTAACCCTTGGACACTAAGTTCACTTTCCCGGGTAGTTAAAGCCACTTCTAACTCAGTTTCCTTTTCAGATACTCCAATAAGAAGTATTCTTTCATGGCGCAGAGGGAAGTGAGAGAAACTCCTTGAACTGAAAGATGTTTTCCTGGTTGTGCTTTTAACTGAACTTTATATTTTACGCTATTCTCATTCGCTTCTTTTCTTACTCATTTATTTGTTGGGATTGTATTCTCCGCCTTTATTTCGTCACAGTTTCATTCTTTTTATGAGATGCATATTTGTTTTGGTACACAGTTGTGTCAATAAGTTCATGTCACCAAGCTAACTGTACAACTATATTAGAATTAAAACGTATGGATTCTAGTTTTGGCCAATGATTCGGGAACATATGGGATTTCCAAAGATAAAATCACCTATTCAAACCTTTCTAGTTGATTTTGTTGACTACTACTTAATATCATTGAGTTTTATGTAACAGGTTTGCTCCATAACCTAGTGGCTGATTCCTTACTTTCTATTGTTATTGTAAATATTGTTTTTTATGCAATGTGTTACCCATATAACGTGTATTAAAATTAGTTATCGTTTTTGTTTGACTGTAATGTGATTTGTGCCTTATGAAAATAAATTACATGAGGCTTCTGTGTTAAATTTTTTTGTTTAGTCTTAGTTACTAGTAATTATTGAACAACAAACAAATGCAAGACATTATTCAAAATTTTGTGATTTGCACATTTACCAACGACAGCATGACGTATCCGAATCTAAATAAGGTTCATAATGTATTGATTTTTTGGTTAGAACTGACTAGCAAACAACAATGTTTTATCGGTTCTAATTCGCGTCACATGAAGTTATATAATACTAAGCGAAAGACAACATGCCTAAAACTAGAATTGTCGTTCCGAAATATTTTTAAGCGATTATCTAATGGTAACTACATTGTTTTGCCTTATTTTTAGGAAACAAATTATTATTTCCTTCTGACGTTTACCAGTTTAGAAACTTGAAATTACAAATATACATACCTGTATGAATCCTGTATTGACTGACTTACCAGACCATTAGCGTGTTATGATTTAATGTCATAAAGGTGTTTTCAGTGATGTCCAGGAGATGTGAATTTTTTTTATATTGATGACATTCTTTCACATTTGTCGTGTTCACCCTTTAGGTTATCACTTACACTTCTCGTTTTGAAACATTTTACGATTGGTAGATTTTTATTTAACCACTTACGGTGTCCTTCTGGAAATAGTATATACTGGCAATCATCAGTTGCTGTATTTATAATATCTTTTATTTATTTCAACACATAGATAATGGTACAAAGAGGCACCAAATACATATGCGTCACACAAATCTCATTCGATATGTGTGAGGGCTGTGATACTGCCCGGGTGCCCAAACCGAAGCAGGTGGTTTTCTTAGGGGGCCACACTCCGAGCCTTCGACCTGAGGGTCTGATCCACAAGGCAGTGGAGCATCGTAAGGAGATGCAGTCCCATGGAAGCCGGTGACCAACAATTGGTTCATTCGCCATTTGTTCCCGCAGGATACTGGAGCCCATGTGCACCATTGGTTTGGAATCCGGTTAAAGCGCCGGACATTCGCTTTTCGTCCTCTCATTTTCGTAAACAACACCCCCGCCACGAGAAGGCAGTGAGTAGGACTTCCCTGGCAGAGGCTATATACGCGTGGCCGTGTGAGAGTATTTCGAGAGGGAGAGCGGACTCTCCCCACTTTCGGCCGTACCAGGGCATTCGGGGGCTATATATATAATATCTTTTACCGTATCTCTATTACTGGTTTGTTGAGTTGATGTGTGATGTCATGATATTACAGAGAAAACGCAAAAAAATCTTCACATTGTTCACATTTGGAAATAAACTAAGTGATTTGCTTATCTGCATACGTATATGTGATGACTTTCGTTGCATTTTAGTTGCAGACATCCATGGATTGACATCACTCTATTATCTTTGACTGAACCATGTAAATATGTAGAGATTACCTGACTTGGGTCCACGTGATTATCATAACTAATGATTAGATATTATTAATACTGTTTTTACCTCTACCACTCTGGAATTTACCCCGAAAATTTAATCTCCCTGTGGTAACGGGGTGTTAGCTACTTGAATTGATGTACTGATGTGTCAAGTTCCACGTTTCATACTACTGTCTTCATCCCAGTACATAAAAAATATTTTTCAACGTGTCAGTTTACCTTCATTCTTAGACATTTTAAAATTGTAAAATTTAATGAATTATAGGTTGGTTTAGTGTGTTTGTTGTGTGACTCGAGTAATCCAAATAAGTTTCAGTAATGAGTTATAAGGGCGATTATTTAGCGTGACATTCAATCTAATGATACTATCTAACTCTCTGAGTTTGTTTTACTATCAGTAGCACAGAGCTCATGTCTTTGATTTCTTAGTATTTAAAAGACAATTGACCAAGTTAATTAATTCATATTATTATCTTATCACCACAAAGATTTTTTCATGTTAAGTAGTTTAATTGTTACATGTATTAACCGATAATTAACGACTTGTAACCAAAATAAATAGGATTGAGTCCAAATATGTTATTAGGTAATCAGGTAACACTTGGTTACATCTCTGAACTGTAACTATCATGTTATTGTATGTTTGGGTACATCAAAAGTGTTTTTTTTAATCCAATGCTTATCAGCTTATGATACTGATAAATTTCTGTTCAGTGTCATACTTAAAGTCTCTGTTATTAACACTTCTAATTGTAATATTAATTGTTTTTATTAATTCAGATTACACCAGTTTGTGACTTTTCTGTGTTTTTTTCTCTTCGTTTCTATTCCTGTTCCCACTATGTTTAGTCGATTTTGGAGTGAGTGCACAATTAGATAAAACATTTGGTAAACGGAATACATTTATTGGGACCCCGTACTGGTAAGCTGGGTTTTTTTAAATAACAAAAAGAATCATGATATTTCAGAATTTAATTGTTAGTATTTCATAGCCACAGTCATTTAGGCATAGAATGTGCAATCCCTCAATTTTATTAACATATAATCGTTCTATTGTTTGTAACCCTGTCTTCTTTACCTAGATCTCATAACTTTTCAAAATAATGTTTCAAGATATACCATTGAGAATTGTATTACTACCAGTTTGTGACCTCTGAGTAGTTCTAGAATCCTATTAGATAATATCCCAGCTATTATTGGTTTCTGACATATATTTGTTTTGGCTTTCTTTTTTTTTTTTTTACAAAAAAGCAATGTGATTGTTTAATTATTAATTCTTGTCTGTTTTGTATAAACATCATTTGATTCTCTTTTTTCAATTAATTGTCATCGGAGAATCGATACAATGTGATTGAGTTGTTAATTATTCAGTAAATGTTTATAATAAATTGAAAATATAATACAATCCATTATTTATCTAGAATAAAATTGAATATTATGTTCAGTTTATGATGATAGACAGGATTATGTAGTTTTTCTCAAATGTATCGTGTATTACGAATTTTAGGCCAAGCTTTAATAAATATTTACACCATCTGAGTGTTATTATTCTTTCAATTATATACAATTAATATTACAAGGTATATAGGACAGAACACTTTAAAATGGTTTGTGTTCTAAAAACGGATATAGTTGTTTAATTGATATTACTGTAGTAGATTGCTCATGTAAAATACATTAGTTACTAAGTAGGTAGTGTTCAGTTTAAACCTTAGATGAACTATAGATTGAATAGTGAATGCACTCAGCATTTAAACATTAGATAGAGCTGATTGGGAATTTTCAATACCTATGTCAGTCTAGGTGGTCGAGTGTATTGACCTGTACTTGATAATCTACATTAAATTTCCCATTCACATATTAAGTTTATAATAAATAAGAATAAATTGCTCGCATGTATTTTCGAGCCTGAATCTACTGAGATGTTTATAATACATGTTTGTCATCTTTCTCACCTAAACTAAGCTACTAGCTGAAAGGATTACAATAAAAATGAAAAATATTTCATTTCAAGTTGATAAGATTAGGTAAACTATTTCATCGAGTAAGTGGTTTTTGATTTAAGTTGTACATGTTAAGTGGTTCAAGACAATCAGCAGTTAGCGTCAGTTATTTGACAAAGATCACCAAAAGTTACCTGGAACTATAAAGTAGCTACTGCATTGCGATTATTCAAATTAGTGTTATTCGACACGAAAAACAAAGACGTTGGTGCTTCTTTTTCAATCGTGATTAATCTTTACCAAATCTTTTTTATTAGTTAACTTCCCATTTTTCCTTGTCTCTTCGTATACTTCGTTAAAATGTTTTCACTTTATTGATTGTTGTTTTGAATGCTTTTTTGATATCATAATATTTGTTCTAGTAGACTTTAACATAAATAAGTTGATCAGTTATTCCTTCTAACGTGTGTAAAAAATCACATCAGTGTTTATCATGTATACAACCTTTTTCGTAAAATAATTCCCTGTTCCTTGTAGTATAAAATAACTTGCGTTACTACTTGGTGACTTTCCACTAGTTCAACTATTATGCTGTTAAAAATATCAATTATTTCATAAAGTTTCATGCTTTTTATTTTATTCTATTTCTCTTTTTAATAGAATATTTTCTTTTTAATTTATGTGACTAAATTATGTGCACAGAATTTTGACTATATAATCTTAATTCTACCAACCATGAGTGTTCATTCTACGAAAGAGATTATGCATTATTTAATTTTTGTCAGTAAATGTAATAATCCTGCGTACAATTTTTCTATAACCCTTGTTCTTATCTGATTGACTGTTACTACTTTTTGTTTGCTAACTTACTGTGCTTCGAGATAATGTTTTTGTTACTACATATACAATGTTGAACTATTCCAGCTTGTCTGCCTGAATACCAAGTTTCTCTGCAATTTCACGTTCTTCCTGGATTTCTCAGTTTCAGATTATTGTTGAAGGTTTTCCTTTCAAAAACAGTAAACAACGAAGCATATTAAATAATCATTTACTTATTTTTTTTGTTCTTACTTAACATTTACACATGCATGTATATATACAGATATTTTTTTCATTCAATACATCTATTTCATGAAGAGAAATAGATTCATTTTGGCTGGTTTCTCGTTTTTTTTTGCCCATCATATTTTGCAACATAAAGCTATTTCCGGTTTATAGTTTATTCGATAAACATTTTCTCCCTTGTTTATGTAAGAATGAGAGTTGTTTTGTATGAACCTTTGAAAATTTTATCTATTACAAGTATTTATTTATGCTGAATAGCATCTTATAGTTCCCCTGGTTCTTATAAATATCGAGTGGAAGTTGAACATCTGCATGTGTTATTGTCGATGTAATCTGGACAGAAAATCAGTCCCTGCAAATAGGTACTGTTACCTCTGAAATAACATTAATGACTTTGTTACATCGAAGTGGGATATAGGAACAACGATAATGAATGTTTCTGACTTTCATTGGTAGAATTGATCACTTAATACTTCTGCAAAATACAGAGAACATAGAAACATTATCTCAGTCGAAGTATTCTTTGAATGGAAATACGTTTCCATATAATTTGTCAATATTGTCTGAACATACTGAACACTGTTCATTTAGAAGTTCTAAATGTTTTACTTCCATCCTCCAGCATCGTTTTCGGTAACTGTTCGGAATTTTTATGACTGACAATACTCTATTTCAATAATTATCATTATGACCGCTCTAATATGATTGTTTTGTACTGTTTTTTCTCGACTCATTTTTTCACTGGTTATTCGAGTCCCAGAGTGAACAACTCTTGGATGCAGATATATCCGGCTAACGAGTCCCAAATAAGATGAAACGCGCGTCCTGAAGGCCACTGCTAGCCACCATCCATCTCTGCGTATTCTGTCTTTTTAGCTTTTGATTTTATCTGTCTCACTCACACCGTAACCTACCATGTTGTGACCCCACCTGAAAATCTCTTTTTCAATACAATTTTCGAAATCATCTCACGTGGTGATTACTAACGCATGTTACCCCTAGTCGAGTAGCATAGACCGCCCACCACGTGGTGATAGTCGTAAACTGTTTTTATATTTGTCTAAGCAATTTGATGGAAATTCGGCTCACAACTATGTCAATTGGTATTTCTATTCTATACCTGGAACTTTACATATCATTGCAAAATCTATGGTTTCGCTAAGTGTTGGCGATGCTTCAAATTTGTAATAATGATGTAATATCTGTGTATCTGGTTACATCTCCAACAAATATATACCTACGGTAAACATTACTTTGACCCAATAGATTACTTTAAATGTCATTTCATATATTCATATTATTCAAAGCCTACGTGACATTTAATACGAGATTATTCAACATTTCAGTAATATGCTTTGTCTTCTTGAGAATGTGAATACTGATCTCGTTATTTTTTTCATCAATAAATCTAATGTATCGTAGACTGGCTATATATATATATATATATATATATATATATATATATATATATATATATATATATATATATATATATATATATATATATATATATATATATATATGCTGTGTATGTTTTTTATCCTCTGTTTTTGTCTTTATGTGTCAATTACTAACAGCCAAGAAAAGTTTCTTTTTCACTCTCAATCCCCATTTTGTTTATGCATTTTCATTTCAGCAATCTGAAATCCAATTGGTCAAATTTTGTCATGACCTAACTTTAATTACAACTGTTGACCAGATTCTTTACAAGCATCTAATATGTAATTCATTATAATATAATAAATTAAAAGACCGCACTGAGTTTATCTATTTACAATGAATAAATTGGCTATTGACTTAAGGTGCTTTGTCTCGAAAAAGATCAGAAGGAAGAAGTGTTAAAGTGAAATATGGATGTAAACTAGATAGTTTAAAGAACAAGTATAAGAAAGTAGTTAAAAATTGAATAATCAGAGTTTTTGTCACAAAATGATAAGTATATTCACTGTCTAAACAGATTTTCTGCCATTACGTGTTAATGCACTGGTATGATGCAATATGGAATTAGCGTCTTCCTCTGATATATTTTTAGTGAGATTGTAATATATAATAGTGTTCAAGTCATTTAAATATTTGATTCCCAACGGTTATCTCACGGGTTGGGAAATTACATCCTCGACTTTAGTTTAAAAAATCAGGTAACGTTATTATTCACTTGATAGTTTTAGTACAATAATCTACTTAGTGAATGTTAGTACTAACTGAGATGGTAGACTTAATTGTATAAGTAAAATATAGTGTCGCAGTGGTATTGTTACGGCACTGTTATGACAGTAGTATATTTTCAGCCAGAAATATGATGGTTACGGTAGTGTATTTTGATAATGTTTCTCCATCCATATACATGAGTTTTATGATTTTTCTTCACTACTTACATCAGTTGCCCCTCGTAGATGAACATAGACCACCCACTAGTATTCTTTATATAACTCTGTCCTGAGCAATCCTTTCCAGTTACCATTCATCCTTTTCATGTCTGCTTCCATTTCTCGTCTCAGTGTGTTCTCTGGTCTTCCTCTTTTCCGTTTCTCTTCAGGATTCCAAGTTAGCACTTGCTCCGTGCTGTAGTCTAGTGATTTACGCAATTTATGTTGTCCATTTCCAACGGCTTTTTTTAATTTCCTCTTCAGCTGGAAGCTCGTTCGTTCTCTCCCACAGTAGGCTGTTGCTGCGGGTATCCGGTCAATGAACATTAATTACCTTGCGTAATCAATTATTCATAAATACTTGTATTTTTCTGGTGATGGATGTAGTAGTTCTCCAAGTTTCATCTCTCTACAGTAGAACTGTATTGACATTCGTATTAAAGATTCTGACTCCTTTTATTAAATTGTCAAAACTTGAAGTGATACACTGTTCTACTAAATTGTTTATCAGTTTAGTCACACAAAGACATTAGTAGTTAGTAACTATCGTGTAATTGCGGCAGAAATAGTTAACTCATGAAATAGAACTGCTACTAATTACTAATCAGTATCGTTAACTTAATTTTCACTCCTATTCTGCCTAAATATAGACGTGCTCAAATGAATGATTCCTCCTAATGATATGGTGTATTTTCAATCGCTATTGCATTATTATTACATTTCATTGCAAGTTTTCTTATTTTTTTGGAATTTATAGGATGGCGCCTGAAGTGATTCATTGCGAACAAGACTCAAGTTGTACATATGATGCTCGTTCAGATATCTGGTCATTGGGTATAACAGCTTTAGAAATGGCTGAAGGTCGACCACCATTGTGTGAAATGCATCCAATGCGTGCACTTTTCTTAATTATGCGTAACTCACCACCTCGATTAAAACAATCACCGAACGGATCTAGGCATTGGACACCAAGATTTCATGATTTTGTCAATAAATGTTTAACTAAAGATTTCCATAAACGTCCAAATACATCAGAATTATTTCGACATGAATTCATTACAAATTTACCAAATGAACGACAAATTAGAATTCAACTCAAAGATCATATAGATAGACATAGACGAAATAGGCAAAGTAAATTAATTAACTTTTCGTTGCTTATTATGACTTTGTCAAAATAACACTATTCTATATCTTATTATAGTGTTTTTACTTCACACCATTCACTAGAGGATTAATGACATTTTTGTAGCTTTAAAAGACTGAGTGCATTATGACAACATAATACATGATAAAACAGAACAAGTCGTACTACATAAATTTATATTTAGATCAGCAATTAAATTTTAAGTGTTTTCATTAAGTGCATTATTTTGATATTTTCAGTATTCATTTATGGATCTGAATGTTATAAGTGATATCTTTAATAGAGTCCAATTTGTTGAGAAAATATTTTTTGAAACATTATTTGAGAAAGTTATATTTGTTTATGATATCTTGATCATATTTGCTAGTGACTTTAAAATGGCTGGAATATCGATTAGTTGAGTCAAAGATAGCATAAGTTCTACTCAAGTAAATTCATTTAGGATAAACAAAGTAAAAGTCAGTCGTCAACCGAACTACACAGTTCTATTGACACTACGATGCAGGTCCGTATCCCATCGGTGGTCATTAGTTCCCTCATTATTACAGATATTCTTTGCTTCCTATTGTCTTCAACCATTTCTCACGAGTTCGGATTCGTTAAATATAATTTGTTACATTCATATAGATATTTTTGAAACGGTTATTTATCCCTATACATAATATTGTTGGAAAATTGGTGAAACTTGAGATCTGTAGAAAAAGAATAACCATTAATCTATCGAATAAAGCTTCAACATTTTCGTAGAAATAAATTATAAATCAGCGTGCTCATTTCCAAGACATAATAAAATCATATCAAGGATAAATTAGTGGTCTTTTCAGTGAAAACATTTCCAAACATTCAAATTATTGGGTTTAAAAGTCTTAGTTTATTATGATTACATTAAATAGGTGAAGGACAATCGAAATGAAATAACTTATGGTCGATCATATCGTACATTAAAGCCTATATATTGTACTTTATTTTTAAATGAAGTAACGCTATTATTCCTTTATTATACGGTCACAAACGAATGAATTACTTTTTGTTCTGATAAACAAAGCATCTCGCAATTTCTCTTTAGGTAGGTGATATTAAAATTCATTTCGATAATTCTTGATCATTTAGATTGATACTGACTGCCGAGTGATTATTCGACTGAAGTAGTTAGAACATGGGTTACGTATACTCTATCATTCACTTACCTCGACGGGCGATGTTTGTTGGTGTGTAAGTTAGAATGGCCTAGGATCAGTCACACTAAGACATGGCATCGATCCATGGAGTCATTGACAGCTAGTCTATGTCATGTTAGTTGATGCTGACCACTTAAACTAGTACCGTTTTGTGTGACGATCCACAATGACATTTGTGTATATTTTAACTCGTATGGTTCAACGCTACAGTTAGAGACTTTACTAATCGACTGTTCGCAATACATCTGACTCCTGCATGAATGAATTTTTTAAACTAAATAGTTACGAAATAATGATCATTTTTGTAATATCTATTTGTTAGTACTGACTAAATTTTATGTATTAAATTTATTTTACGATTATTTATCTAAGTGGCATAAATGAGAATAGTGAAATATTTACTTGATTAGTGAGCAAATACCACAGTTTTCTGTTAGTTTTGCTTCGTATTTACAAAGTTTCCTTATCTATAAAAGTTATCCTTTGGTGAATTACAGTTTTTGTCTGATTTTTGTTTTCTTCAATCATCAATCCTATATAGTGATACAGCAAATTAAGTAATATTTGAAGCAAGTGGGAACATATAGGCAGTATTTTTATGGTACAGGCTTCTTGTTACAGTGGCATTCCAAAGTTTGGAAAATTAATGTCTGTTAAGTAATGAGGAAATCTACGGCGAGACTATAGCATAGGGATGAGTTCAAAATAACCTCAACGAATTTTCATCCAATTTCTAGTCAGTTAGAAAGTAGCTTTTGTAAACAGATAGTTCGTGTAAAGGAAAACATCTATCAAGGTTTCCTATAGGTTACTCTAGCTGTTAATTGAAAAAAAACTACTTATAAATTCTTCCTTATGGATGTAAAATACCCATCTCGAATTTTTATGAGGATTTGAGTGGATAGGGTTAGGTATGTATAGCAAGAATCAGGGGTTTAGGAACAGGATCTTCATCTCCATCTGATGTCATTTATAATCCAAAAATGCTCTGTAGTCAGACAGACGAGCGATTTTCGTGCAAAAATACAATACGCACTATAAATCTAAAATATAATATCAGTAGGTCAAGGGATTTGAGGATAGTACCAGTCCTCTGTTTTGTACAATCTACAGAGAGAGGATTGTTCATTTTATGCGTTCAGCACTATCATCTTCACTCTATGATTTTTCGCTATCATTTTAAATGTTTTAAGCAGTGTACGAAGATACTTTGCCTTCTCTTAATAGTTTATGTTCTAATTTCTCACAAAATCCTAAAAATCGCGTTTTTTATTCTGATTTGCTTCTTCTTATACTATAATTTTACCAAATTTACTTATCCTATTATAGTAACTCACCATCAAACAGCTATGCACTATCAATATAATCATGTTCTACTTTTTTATTTATCTCATCAGCCGAAGAACATGAAAAAATTTATGAATATGAAGGAAGTGATGAAGAGGAGGAGGAGGAAACTAGTGCAGCTGTTAAAGGAGCTGCTGCCGCTGCTCTGGCTATGTCAGCTGCTGTTAGTGGCAATGGTCAAGCACATCGTCTACCTAGTCAAATTAGTCATCATCCACCTCAATTTCGTCAACCAATGGATAAACCTCCCCATAATCAAGTGCCTCGAACTAGTGGAGTTCCTGATCAGAACGAAGTAGCATCGTTTGTTTCACAACCATCTATATCTGGATTAAACTATAGACAGCATGGACACATGATACAAAGTGGGAATATTGTAAATGATAATGTACCAGTGAATGCTCGATTTATCTCACGAAATCCTATGTCAGTAGTTAATAGGTTACCTGCTGTTACGCCACAATCAATGATGCCGCATAATAGTCGGTTGCCAAGGTTAGATGAAGGTGAATCAGCAACTGTCAATGCTAAGGAACCAGGTGAAAATACACTTCGTCAAAATTTCGCTCGTTTACAGGTAAGTTGTTTGGTTTGTGTTTTTGATCCAACGTTTTCATGTGCTTTTGGTATGATTTGTATCGAATTAGTTCTTTTGTTTTGAGAATGCTTGAAAGTTATCTTTTGCTCAGGCTATTTGTATTTGTAATTTTATTCTCATATATGCACACTATGCTTGGATAACACTTAGTAACAAGACAGTTATGTTTCGTAGCTTTTAATCTCCATTTTAATATTCGTAGGTAACACAACTCAAAATCTGTGATTGAATAACATAGAAATTCTCTAATCTTAAGATTAAGTCATGAAAACATGATATGTGCCACATATTTATTCTTTTCTTTAAATAATATAAGTATTTTAATAAAAATGTGACATTTACATCAAAGCAAACTCGTGATGAATGAAATATTTACTGTGTAACTGATTAAAAGACGATTTTCTTGTCAACTCAACATCGGATATAACACTATTCGAAATTCAAGTCCTTTCTTCTTAACACCCATTAATAAGTGAGCTATTGTTAGTTGTTGTTTTAAAGATTCTTATATGATTTTTTAGTTTTTGAAATTCATTCAATATTTCCTAATCCTATAAATATGAAAATGCTAACCTAGATTTACTAATCGGTTTAATCTTCAAAGTATCAGTCATTATCTAGTTTTTAGATATTGAAGTAGGGATGCTGTCGATTCTGTCTAAAAGGTCAATGACAGCTTCATTCAGCTCAGAGAACGCAACACTAAAAAATATTATATATTGTGAACGGAACATTATTATGAGTTGAGATTTATCCCTCAGGTTTCTTTTGTCAGTGTCTATTAGTTTATTTGTCGAGAATTCACCTCATGACACTGTGAAAGGTATGATCAATTAATCTTTTTCAATCTATAAAACATGTTGCCAGTAAATATCTGTATTCACGGGGAGCTTTTCTTATCCATCATTGAAAAACTAGTCTTATGGTTCCCATACAAAAGTTAGAAAGAGGGGATTTGGAAAAGAATTTTCCCGTGTAGTAAATAAATATCAGGAGAGTTATCGGTTGATAATATGTTCACAGATTTGTTAAAAATCATTGACATCCTAGATCCCAGAATTTCTCCAACGTATGGTTCTTAATTATAATCCAGTTGGAAATTTATAAAGCTAGATTTAAGCTTAGTTTATGTTACCTGAAGATCTAATGGTCGGATTATAAATCCGTTGTGAACAGTAATAATGAGTTATTGTTCAATCTCTACTGAATATTTTTTCAAAATTTTCATAACTCGGATTAAAAATTCGATCGGCGATAAGCAAATAAAGCTAAAATCGTTTTTAGAATTATGTAATTAATCAGTGTACCTTGCAGTAATACAACATTAATTGTTTTATTAGATACTCATGATCAAATTACTTGGCACCGTTATTGTATTATGAAATTTGACCTAAAAGAATACACATTCACTTATTCCGAGTTAAGGAAAAATTTTAATAAGATAACATATTCGTCGACATTGCTGACTACATAGTTTCGTTACATTGGCATCGAGCGATGTCTCTGTTGTAAAAATACTCTGTATCCATATATTTTTGAACATAACGAAGTTGTCGAGAATAATAATTGAATGAAATGATATTATTTCTCCACCAACTTAAATTAATTTATTGTACACGGTTTCTCCGTAGTTGGAGGATAATTAGATATCTAATTATTGCCCTGATATATATATATATATATATATATATATATATATATATATATATATATATATATATATATATGCCATGTCATTCAAAGTCTCTAACCATCGGTTGTCATCGTCTCGCGGATCCCGACCGGGTAGTCTACACCTACCAACATGGCTCAATCCACTTGTCAGTGACTTCATGGATTTGTGCCATGTTTTGGTCTGGCCGCCTCTAATTTCCTTCAAACCTACCCCTACACCACTGAACGTCGCACATCGAGGCAGTCGGTGGTTGGACATACGTAACACGTGTCCCAGCTATCTCAACTGATGAAGTTTCACTACTTCATCAATCGATTTCCCATCCTTACCTAGTACCCGTTTCCTAACAACTGCGTTACTTACTCGATGGTCTCGGGATATGCGAGCAATGATTCGAAGACACCTATGATCAAATACTAGTAACCTACGAATAACCTCTACTCTTACTGGCCACGTTTCACTGCCACAAAACAGGACGGAACGAACTGTCGCGCAGTAAATCTGTACTTTGGTTGATAGACGGATATCTCGCCTGCGATATAAATGACGCAAGTTGGCAAATCCAGCCGAGCCCTTTGTATCCGTGCTGAGATTTCGTCACACACCAGACCACAAGGGCTGATGTGGCTCTCAAGATAAGCGAAGAGGTGGACACTCAACTACTTCACTACTTATCATTAGTTCAGGTGTCGATGCAGCCCAATCCTGAAGTAACATTTTGCATTTCGAAGGGGAGAATCACATCCCGAACATACTTGAATTGTTGCTTAGAGTGGTCAGAAGACTGCATTTTGTCAGCGTCTTCACCAAACAGAACTTTGTCATCAACATATTCTAAGTCAACAAGTGAACTTCCCGGTAGAAGTTCAACCCCTGGAAATTTAGATGAGGAAAGGTTCATCTCTAGAAGCACGTCAACGACAAAGTTAAACAAGAAAGGAGAGAGTGGACAGCCCTGACGAACACCACTTGAGGTAATCAATTCTGATGACAGTTCGCCATAAGCTCTCACTCTACCAGTTGTGTTCGAGTAGAGAGCCTGTATAAGGTTAATGTACTTCTTTGGTACTCCTTTCAGTGACAAACACTGCCATAGAACCTTACGATCAACAGAGTCGAATGCCGCCTTAATGTCGTGAAATACTACCATTGTGGGGCGTCTAAACGTGTGTCTGTGTTCTAGAACCTGACGTAGTGTGAATATTTGGTCTATACAACCACGTCCAGGTCGAAAACCAGCCTGATTTTCTCTAGTCTGCTCTTCATGAGCTTTGGTTAGGCGTCGAAGTATTATTGAAGCTAATATTTTAGACACTATATTAGTCAAACTGATTCCTCTGTGATTGTCACAAGAGGACTTTTGTCCTTTCTTAAAAACTGGCACAATCAGTGATTGAGACCAGTCAGATGGGATTACGTCCAGTTCCCAAATTCTACCTAAGACCTCGGTTAATCTCATCGCTAATACTGAACCACCATCCTTAAAAATCTCAGGAGTAAATCTGTCAGGGCCTGCTGCTCTCCCTCGCTTCACATTTCCTATGGCTTTTTCAACTTCGTAAAGAGTCGGCGGACCTACATTAACTTGCGATTCAGTTTGATTGGAGATCGTGTGAAACCGAAGTGTGGCTGAAGGCCAGTTGAACCAATCCCTAAAGTGTTCTGCCCATCGATCCAATCTCCTGCATTGAGAGTGTATAATATGTACATCTTTCTCTGAGAGTGTTTCGCTAACAGTCGGTTTCCTAATACCGGTACCCCTAACGAGTCTGAACAATTGTCTGCTATTACCTATTGTCGCTACCTTTTCCATCTCTCTTGCTTTCGTTACCCACCACTGTTCACGATTATTGCGTAGACTTCTTGTTAGCTTGCGCTTAAGCTGACTCCGCTCTTCACTATGTTCAGAGCCGGGTGGAATGAGTTTCCGAGCATCTATCAGTGCGATAGATGCTGCTGAGATCCAGTGTCGTTCCCTAACCTTACGGGTTACCGTACTAGCAGATATCACTGCTGTTTCCACAGCTTTTCGGATATCATTCCATGCTGCCTCGGGGTGGGCATCCCATACATGGCTGCCGAACTGTTTTCCTAGATGTTCCTGAAATATACTCTTAGCTTGACTATCATTAAGTAGGGCCATAAGAGGTTTCCTTGCAGAGTCTTTTTTACGTCCAGTAAGACGCAGACAGATACACACTCGCACTAGAGCATGAACTGAATCTAAGAATGTGCTCCAGAATAAGCGACAGTCTTCTATCGAGCCCGTTCATCGGTGGCTGATAGCGATGTTATCTATTTGGGTCCAACGTTGGGACAAATTCCGGCGTAATAATATTATTCATCTTGTAGCGCATTTTATATTGTCACTCAATAGAAATACAAAAATTAATGTATCCATTTGTTGTTTAGATTGTATTTATATTGTACAGAAAAATAACTGATCAACATACTGACGTTCGAGATTGTTCTTTTTTGTGCGAAACCAAACTACATGAGCTTTTTTCATACCCTTCCAGCTAAGTGAATAAACCCGTATGGCAATGCTTAATTTAAGCGTAGTACTATTGAATACGGTTTCTAATCAAGTGGGTTATGACATCCGGATTCTAGAGGATAGAATGAACACCCAGATATTTTCCTTCTTGAAGCACAATCTAACAATGAAAGTTAAATGCTCTCGTGTGAAATAATCATTGTGGCCGAAAAACCTGATGAATGTTTATATGAAATAATAAGTAAATAACTGATTACTCTATTAGTAGTTATTCACAATTATGTATACGTTCTGTGAATTCCCCTTGTTTCGATACTACCGTAGTGTTCAATATTTTATCTGAAAGTAATATATTCAATCAAATAAATAGTTTAAGATTATAAAATAATGAGTATTCGATTATTGTATCGCTCTATTTTTGGAGAGACAGCCTTGTCTAGATGAATAACACAACTATTCAATTCATAGTTCTCAAGACCAATTCACTGTTTTTTCCTTTAAGAATTCCTATAACAACTCAGTGTGGGAGGGGACGCAGAGATTTTAAATAGTTAATTGATGAATTTCTCTGTGTGTTTCTCTTGCTATTAATCCTCCTATCAAATTGTTGCAATGAATGACGATTTAGATAATAGTTGAATTTTGCATGTGTGTTTATCTATTAGTTTATTTTGTTTCTTGTAAATATTTGCAATCGTATTGTGTACAACTTTTGTTATACACAAGTTTGTTTTTATCACATAATGTATATATTATTTATACTGTTGCATATATTTCATATAATTTATGCGCTTTGTGAATCATTAGCACGATTACATCATCATAAGCATATATATATATATTATAGTTTTCGTTCGTTTAATCTACTCTATTGGTTGTATATTGGATTGTATGGTTTTTAATGTTGATTTCTTTCCCTTCTGTCATACCAAATATATTTTTGTTGTTCATCATATTTAATGTCATTATTTTGAGTAAATTTTGAATATTTCTGCTTGATTTAAAATAGAAATAAACATATTTTTATATATATGTTTAAATTAGATCATTAACTCTTCTTATCTCATGTGTGAACTCATTTAACTCATTACATACTATTTTTAAGGGTGAATATCAAAATATCTGTTTCATCAAATCTTAACAAATGTGACCCTGTATGAAAATGATGAAATGTAACCATCACAAAATCGTATCTTTAATTTATGTAGCAATTAAACATTATATATATATATATATATATATATATATATATATATATATATATATATATATATATAAGATGGTGGGGAAGATTTGTAGCTTAGGTGGATGATTTTGATGGAGTTTTGTTCCCTGAGCTGGATGGTTTGGCTCGTAGAGCTTTCATCGTTCTTCTGAACAACATCATCAGCACAAACTTCACTTCGATGAAAGCTCCACGACCAAACCATCCAGCTCAGAGAACAAAACTCCATCAATATATATATATATATATATATATATATATATATATATATATGCAATGAAGAGATTTTTATTGCTTCAATAATCAATTAATTGTGTGCACTTTTATTTATCTAAAGAATGTTTCTCTTTCATAATAAATTTTTCTACAATTCATCTTAATTATATCATCATCTGATTGAAAATCATTAAAAAAGAGAATTATTATTATTATTATTTATTGATAATGATCCAATTTTCATGTTGGTTTGTTTTGTTTTTCTAATGAAAATAAACTAATGACTATTTTTCACCAAATAATGGTAATATTGAGAAAATTCTACATTTATCTATTTGTTTCATCATTCAATTTCATGATGATGTAACAAAAATAGTATGGTTAATAAAACAAGTTTGCGTTTTTTATATTTTTAATGCGATTTTCGTAATATTATTAATATTAATTCTAATTACTATCATAGTTTCATACACTAGATTATAAATGATATTTGATATATGTATAAAGAATCATTAAACTATCGTAATCATATTTGGATTGAAGTTATTACAATTCATTTTTGTATAATGTTACAGATGTATTCGTCAAATCAGTAATTTTTAACTTCAATATTTTAAGTTATCAGTTATATTTCTTCATTATAATGCTATTTAGACTTTTAGATAAAGTTTTAATATCACTGGGAACTTAAGATTATTAAGTGGTTCATCAAGTAATACAATGGGCAATCAATCAATTTCAGGTACTTACTAGTAAATAAAATTAACTAGTCAGTTGGATAAACAATCTGATACATGTAAGGGGGGTTGGTGCTAGTAAAATTGTAGAGAAATATCATTTATGAGGTTTAAACAATAACTAAGTAGTGTATGTGTAGAATTTCACCATTTAGGTAGTAATTCCATATGACAATAATTCATTCTTGGAAAACAGATTGATTCATGATATTTCAGTTTACTTGTTCGACTTAGTGTAGAATATAGATAGTGTTCGGAAGGTTGCAGTATTGTTTGCTGATATTATTTATTCTTGAGCATAGTATCTACTATCTGTTACTTTGAATACTCTATTATTTTACGCTCATTTTCTATCTATTTAAAGCCTAGAATTTGTGTCATCTGAAGAAAATTAAGGATTATTTAGTATCATTTGTTCAGTTTTCAGTCATTTAAAGCTGTTACTATTTTTACTGTCGAAATTCAGTTTATTACAGTGAATTGTAAATTCTCACAATCTCCTGTTTCAATCTATGTGTGAATATTTAATAGACTCGTATACATATTTCTCGTTTCTACGGCACAGTCTTAGGCCGTGACTAACTATATTATATTTAGTATTCTTATTTCTCCTAATGTTATTTTTGGTAACATCGGATTAGTTAATAATTGAATAGTCGATAAATTTGTTATGACTGCAGATTAGAGCGCAGCGAATTATCGATCGGACCAAAGACACGTAAAACACGTAAGAACGACCTAGAGTCCCGATCGGTCCTGCTTTCCTGTCTAGCCCAGCCAGTTGAGTCCAGAACGCAAGTCTCAGCCTCTGAGATATGAATCATTATATTTCAAGCATACTGAGTTTATATACCAATCAAACCGACCACAACGTACCAATAAAATATGACACAACATTTGTACAAGAATTAGCCAGATGTGGCTGTGAATAAGGGAGGGAGGTAGCGATTAACAGACAGGGAATAATTCACGAATGGTAAATCGTATAATAATAGTTCATAGGTCAACATAAAGCTCAAAATAAGAGCGACATGAATATGAACAGTTTAGTTAAATAACAATTATACGATAAAAATATACTCATAATATCAGTCCATAATTGGATCCCAAAAGTTACCATTCATTGTTCTTATCGGGATACAACAAAATTTTAATACATAATGTAGCAACACCACATAATTAAATGTAGTTTTTAGAAAGTTTGATTGTTCGAAGATTTTCTGGTTAACATACAATAATGTATAAGAGGTTATAGTCAGATCTTCATAGGTTAGTTCATATGTGTGTTTTCTTAATTCTCACTTTGTTGTCTTAATTTTAATTTCATTGAATCAGTTTTTATGTGTATGCTTATGACTTTATTGATTTTCATGTTCATTTATCTGTGTTGTTTTTAAATATGCATATTTTAATTTCTTTCTTTTTACATTTTTGTTCGCACCACATATCTAAGGTGTTATAATATTTTTTATATATATTATAGATTTCTCACACTGTTTTCACAGTATTATCAGGGAAGGAATAAATGTGATTATAAAACATTAGCCTACTTATCCTCTGTTTTACATGACTTATACAATGACCACGTGTATTGTCAAAAACAGGTTTTATCAAATTCTGTCTGTCTATGTACGTATGTACGTATGCATGTAAATGTGTAAATAATCATGTTGATTTATCATCTTCATCCTAGGAACGTGAACACCATCCATCTGTAGGTGTTGCCCCTCAAAGATCTGCCAATGGTCGCCCACAATCATCTAGTCATCACTTTCCTCAACATTCACGACCTTTGAATAGTAGTCGTGGACCACCGGCATATAATCAGTCACAACAGCAAATGCATTCGAATCAACCGAAACTGGGTGTTCTAGCTGCTGGGAGTCGTCTAGCTGACACGGGTGGTTCATCATCTTACGCTGCTACTAATACTACAGTCTCAGATACACCTATAGATAGCAAATCTGTAACTAACAATGAGATTGTGTCCACGTCATCGTCAGTTAATAATTCGGTCACTACACCCTTATCAGCTATTGGTTCAGTTGGTGATAGCGGGCAACTTTCGCATCATTTTCCCCTACAACATCATAGAGCATCTGTGGTTAGTAGTCGTTGTTGTTCTCGTTGAACATTTCATTAAACTATGTGCTTTGACCTTTTCCCTCCTCATTTTTACTGCTGTGATTACAAAAGCTTATTTAGATAAAATGTATGCATTAAGAGAATTGGATACGACACTTTTTGATCTCTAATTAGGATATGTATATTCCATCAGTGATCATAATTGGAAAAAGTTAAATTAATTTGAAAGCTATTACTCATAATATAAAACATAATTAAATAGTTTTTACTAGTTTGTCGAGATTCAGCATGTTCTCTTGTGTTTAATACTTAGTTCAGGATTTTTTACTCTGAGTCATAATAAGTTGATTGAAATATACTGATTAAACTTGATAAAGTTGTTTCCGTTCTCACGTAACAAGATTCTATGTACAGCTTGGTAACCTGTTGTTTCCAGTTTTATTTAGTGAATTCCATACTACTCAGTAAGATTTTAGTAACTTCAGTTTAATTCATCAGATCTTATTTCTGAGTTAGCGTTTTATCTTTACAAGCAAGTTCTATCGAAGTGCTTCACTATTTGCATGATCTGTTTTTTACTAATTGTCAGTGGAATCTAAGTTATTTATTTCATTTCATCAGTATAAGTTAAACATTAAAATATTCACAAATTGTGATTCAAAATCGAATTAAATTCATTTCATTGCATTGAGAAGTGTCTTTATAAATCACAGATTAACTGATCGATAATTTCATAACTCAATATGTTGTTGCTGGACATTATCCTTCAGTTTGTTTTTAGTATTTTTCTTCTTGTTTACTATACATTTCTTGTTATTATATATCGTTAGGTTTTCGTTAAATATTATATTAAATATCGATCTTTTTTGTGTAACGTAGATTTTCTCTTAGATATTGTAACTTGCTCATTTAATAACTAGAATGTAGTTTTTCCTCTAAATGAATTTCTCTTCAATGCAAACTTCTGTTCCTTTTATTTTGTTGAATTTGTTTTTTTCTCAACATACTAAATCAAATTTATCTCATTGAAATTGTTTAGCGTTCAATTAAACTAGATTTTCTGAAATGTTTGTAATTTGTTGTATACATTATAAAAAAAATTCGTTATCATGAACTAATTCTTATAGATTAACTAAACTTAGTAGTTATTAGGTTATTCTATAATTATTATCATTAATAAGTCTAATGTCTGTCATGTTCTAAATTGGTTACTATGTTCTAATGCGTTTATATATATATATATATATATATATATATATATATATATATATATATATATATATATATATTCATCTTTAGTCAATCTGTATTCTAATTAAGAAGTTCAAACACTGTAGGCCATTTTACGTATCAATGCCAAGGTCGGACTTGATAGTTTCAAATAAGTTGAGCATTGGGTAGAAAGTTAAAAATAAATATATTTTTTTATTAGATTTTAATGAGTAGGAAATTGTATTTAAACCTGTATTAATTGAATTCGGTTATTCATTTACTCTGAAGAAGTGGCTTACCTGAAGTTCCGAAACTTCAGAAATACAATTTTCTACTCATCGGGATAAAAAAATATATTTATTATAACTGTAGAATATTAATTGTAATCAATAATTATGTACTAGTTAATTCAATAATGATCAGTAAAGCAGTTAACATTTTGCCCTGAGTTCTAAAGGTCAGCCATTTATGCTATGTATTTAATCAATCGATTTGTTGGAAAAGTTTTAGCTTAGTGTGTGTATCAAGACACTAACGATCTTAACGGTTTGTCCATAGAATGTAACTGATTTACTCTTAATTCTCGAGTATTGCTTATGTGAACGTTATTGTATTCTGTCTATTTGCATCATGCTAAGTTATATTTTCATATAGTTTAACAAAAATAAGTGAATGATTTCTCTAGGAGTATAGTTACATATAAACTAACTATAGGGAGGTTGTTGAATTTTCTAGTTGGAGCCATGGATATGCATTGCTGAAGAGTCGCATATTATTACGAAACAGTCATACAGTGCTTTTTAGTTTTAAATAGTTGTTTAATTAAGTTCAGTCTGTAATGTTAGATATAAAATATGCACACTTTTGTTAGTGAAATGAATCCTTAGAATAACTGGACAAATCTGTGTGTTCTAAAATATAGTAAGATTGTTGAGTGTAGCTAAATAGTTTCTGCACTATTCAGTTAATCTCAATAAATCTATGTTAAAAAATCATTGTATTTCGTTAACTTTCGTCAAATTGTACTATCATCAGTGTACACATTTGTTTATCACACAGTATTGGTTTATTGGTCACAATTATCATTTGAATATAGTTTCAAATTCCTTAAATAGTTTATTAAATCTCGATATTTTGTATTACTAAATGTCTACATGGGGATTTAACCGTTGAGAAAGTCATTTATTCTTGTTACTTTTTGTGTAGATGCAAAATGTGTTTTATATTTTTGAGTGTTTTTTCAGAACGTATTTTTGAGACGATTTTGATGAAATCCATAAATACATATCATATTTTGACTAAAACATTACACGCTTTGTGAATGTTGTTAGGTCACACCGCATCCAATCAAATTGGAAGTTTAAATACATCTTAATAAAATTGCGTATAAAATTAAATTCAGAAAAATAATGCAAAATCATTGTAAGGAATCCATTTTATGTAGACCCACTGTTCATGATAAGTATATCACTTTATTTTATAACGTAAATTGTCATTTTGTATAAGATTTATATGAGTTAAAGGAACCGATTTTATTAGGTTTACTATAATGTCTTTTTCTCTGTTGAGTATTCGCCCGTATTTTCGTGTCATATAGTTTATAAGGTTTAATATACATACAAAGTCAATAACCTTCTCTCGTCATTTCACTTTGTTTTCATTTCGTGGTTCTTTTTTCTTTTTGCATGTGTAAGTTTGTAATTTTAGTTTTTTCTTCTTCTTTCATGCATTATTGCTTGCTGTTTTTTGGCTTGACGCATGTTGATTATATTGATGGTGATGCTGGTACTATCTTTTGTAACAATTCATATGATACCTAATACTCATAGCCAAATCCTCCCAATTCTTTTCATCCGACGGTTGTTACTTGTTCCTCATCGTCATCACCATCGATATTTTCAAATGATCATTTGGGCAATTTACTTATTTCACCATTTCGTGCAAAACTTGCCAATCCTGGTCCACCACCCATTCCACTTCATCAGCAGGTTCGTATTAGTAATTGTGGATTGAACGGGGGATTACATAATGCTTCAGAAGTGCAACATCAAACTGATGAAGTGAATGGTTCATCTAGTATAGTTGGCATGGGTAACCTTGCTAGTTCTCGTCTTCAGCACATTGTCGCACCGAAGTTTCCATCAACCCGTCCAACAAGTCAGGTATTTTAAGTCTCTTATTTTTCCTGTTGAGTTCTCTAAACAATTATTATATAAACTATTTGTTTGTGTTTGGAAAGTATCGTTTAGTAAAAAGTTATTTAATATCTGTCTTTGTAATAGTGATGATACATTGCTGAAATATTTCAACTATTCTTTATACGGATAAATCCAAATATATCTTGAACAAAGTGGTTTCCAACTAACTATCGGGTGAATTTTAGAATTCTTATTATAATAAGCGACTGGTTAGATGAATCAGTTATGATAATAATACAATGAATGAATGTATGTAGCTTTGGTACTTCATATATCTGAAGACTGCTCTTAAATATACTAACAACTGTGGATTGTTGTGTTAAAATTATGTGATTGTGAACAATCTACCCTGATATTTGATTTGTCAGGACGCAAAAACCATCATAACGTTCAACATTTAAAAGTAATGATATTCTCAGTCGTATTGTCAAAATACATTAATGAGCCTTCTGTCTCATTTTCACAATCTTGTCAGTAGAACTAATACTTACATGTAGTGAACATAATGTTTTTAACCATTTTTTCCTTGTCGAAATTCACAACCATAGCTCTATAATATTAAAAGAATGCGTTTTTTTACTCGAACTTCGATTTTGTGGTAAAAACGTCCACAAAATGAAAACAACAGTTATTAGTTAAACCGGAAAATAATTGTTTAGAGTACAAAAGATTAATAGAATTTTGGAAATGACACTGTCCATTCCTTATGTACACTAGACTATAATTAGTTATATTCATAAATGACCATTGTTCAATTTTATTATCTGCTAATTTAATATCCCTTGCCCTTTGATAGCGTTGATTTCTCTCAGTTAAATAATTTAATTAGGAAGCTTTCATTGTCATTCTGAACGAGATTTTCAGCCCCTACTTGATATTATTCCATAAGTGTTTTATCAATTCATTCCGATGGCCTTGTTTGTCACTTTCATATGAAGTAGGCTCGGAAAATCTTGTCCAGAATTACAATGAGAGCTCTATATTCGAACTATCTAATTCAGAAAACTCTGCGTCACCAAAATGATCTTCCTGGGCTAATAATTCCCCCCACTGTTTCAAAAATATCCTTTATCTCTTTGAACAGGCTGTACCACATTTAGATCTTCGTAAACCACCAATAGAATCAGCTTTACCCCAATCAATCATCACATCAACTAGTCCAGTTGCTAACCAATCCAAGTCATCGGTAAAAGCAAGTATATCGAGCCCTGTTAATCGGTCTAGTGGAGCTGCGATGGCTTTTGCTGTTACAACTAGTACTACCACCACCACGACTACGACAACATCAGTGCCGACTAGTACAACAACAGTGACGACGGTGACGACAACAACAAGTGACGTTTTTAATTCTAACTTTGCTCGTCAATCAGCAACATCAAATTTACTATCTGGATTCAGCAATCGATCTCCAGCACACCAAATATCCTTACTTAGTGAAAATGGTTAGTTTTAATAGTTCTTTCAGCGTATTATTTGCGTGAATATGTATGTAAGCTTCATATAAACCTAAATACTACCCTCTCTGCAATAAAATTATGTCTCCTAAATATAGCAGCATATAAATACTTACAATTACTATCACGTAGAACTAAATATTAAAATCGATTTGCATTAGTTCAGTTGTCTGTCATAGTCAACATAGAGGCCTGGCATTAGTGTAATCCATGTCACCCAACTCCATTCACTGATCACTATAATCGCGAGTACCTCAACCAGACGGTATGCATCTACCAACATGATTCATTTCAACAGTCACTGATATCATGGACTGATACCACCTTTTGATTTGGTTGCCCATAACTTTCTTCCAGCCTACTTCTATGCGAGCAACCAGCTAATCTGTTAGTTGGATGAATTATCCTCAGTTTGAGCTATAAAGATCCGTTCTCCTTAAAACTGTTTCCTACAGCCATAGAAGTATCAATGTTTCTATTCATTTGAAATTGCGATAAATAGGAAGGCTGTTGTTTTGTGCATATTAATAATTAATAAATGCATATCCCAAACTAATCAAAAGTAATTAGATGACAAACGCCGTATCTCAACATTATGAAATGTTTTTATTCTCCCTCTAGTAGAATCTATCGTTTTTACAAGGAGTTATTATTGAACACAGAGAAAAATGAGTAATTTGGATCATTTCTACTTATTGTCACTATTTATTTTCGGAGAGTTTAATCGTGCATTGTATTCTGCCTTTTACCATGCCTTTTGACGAGCTTTTACTATCATGTCATAATAATAAATGAACGAAAGAGTAAATACTCTATCGGTCAATGGAATTTATGTAATGCCCTACTGGTGATTGCGCGTTAAAGCTAACCAGACGGCTACCAAAAATAAGTCAATTAGCCAAAAAGACTTATTATTAAATGAATAAATTATCCATTTGTAAACCAAGAATACGCATGTTTGGATAAATAGCGTGTTTCTAAGTTAATCTAAGTTACACTCGAATGCGAGTATCCATTTTGTGGATCAAGTAAATCATATTGTTTAGCGATTACACGCACCATGCTTTGTATCCAAAGCCTTAAAAATATGATAAGTTACCGACTTTCGATAAAGTACAGATGTGATTTTGTTTCTGACCAACCAGGTATCAAAATTCAGGTTGATTTTCGACAATTGATATCTATTGAAATGGAAGTAATTTTGATAAAATGTTTTAATCATATCTGCTCATCAGTGGTTAATATATGATTTAAATAACTGTTTAGTTACTTTTTGTTAAAATTAGATTGATATTAATGTACGGAGATAGTTCACTAGGAATAACATAACATATCAGGTAATATTTAGTTGTAATCAAGGAGAGATGAAAATAAATATAATCGAATTTCTCGACTTCACATTTGATTTTGATATTTAATTCAATTAGATACTCAAATTTAATACACAATATCATAATACTGTAAATAAATTTCACTTTTATTATCTAAACACAATAAACTAACAAAAAAAATTTTCTATCACATAAGATTGTTAGTGTGTTTATTGGAATTAATGCTATCAATCGAGACATTAATGTGTTATATTTTACTAAATCTAACATGGTAAGACTGTACTTTATGGACGACCTTTGAGCAACGTCAAAATAACTTTAGAATGTTCACTAATCAAGGTTAAATGAAGGTTAGATATTAGTGTGAGGAATTAAGATTAGAATTCACAGTTGAATGTTAGGGCGAAGAATTAGAATGAACATTTTTTAATCATGAACTGACATCAGCTATAATGCCAAAATGGTATTTAGCCAAATGAGTGAATGAATTTCGCGCCAAAATCCAAGATCTGCTATCTTAAATGTGATTTATTCATCCATCAATTATAGTCTCGCTACTAACATTACTTATTCTACAATACAGTTAATGAAAAAAACAAACAACAAAATTAACCAAATAAAGAAAATAGTCTTTCTTCCTTTATAACTGTAGGATAATCACTGTTAATTCTTTCTTTCTTTAAATCTTTGTTTCCATTATATTGATAGATAATAACATCAAAAAAAAGAAAGAAATTAACTAGACTTACAAAAAATGACACAAACAACTATCGAATTTTCGCTTTACTTTCAGTAAAATACATATTTTTTTATAAAAAAAAAGATACATTATGTTTCTCTCACTTTTATAAATATGTAAGTTGAGTTCATCATTTTAAGAAAATATTTCATTCCTATTTACAATATTGATTTTTCTTGAATGATATCAATCGGAAATTATTGTATCATATTAAGTAACTATGCTTCATATGTTCCGTCTTATTTATTTATCATTTTCTTTTTTTTTAAATTACAATTTCAAGACCTAAAATTAACTGTTTTATATTTTTGTTTCCTAAAATACCAACTTCATTTGGATATTAGTCAAAATAAATGTTTTAAATACAAAATATCAATTGGAATAGTTTATCCATTGAATATTGGTTTTTCTAGCTTACAATCTCTGTTTTTTTTTTTCTAATCATGAATATCAAATAATTTTATATAAAGTAGAAAAATGTATAGATCCATCGTATTTAGACATGATATTGTTGTATATAATTTTAAGTTATTTTTGTTAACTTTAAACGTGTATAATTACCGTTCATAATGTAATGAGAATATTAGATGCTGACACAGATTCACACTTAGATGGTGGTTGGAGGTAGTCAACAGGAAACCCTGCTCAGTGGTAACGTCTCTGACTCAGAGTTTCCTGTTGACTACCTCCAACCACCATCTAAATCTTAATACATAGTGCCCGCAGTGTCGAGTCACCTAGACTGGTGGCCACATTGCAACATGATCGATAGCATTCGATCTGCACTAATAAGGACTAGATAAGCATGACATTGATCACCACCCAGTGATCAATCAATTGTGACAGATTCACACTTTATTTCATTATGCATAATAAAGAATTTATTTTCATTCTTTCAATTAAGAAAATATATTTCTTTATTTCTCTTTGAATTTATTAAGCTGTCTCAATTTTATCTGTTATTAGTTTTACTTATAACAATAATATTATGTATAATAAATTTTAACATAATTAATCAGATATATTTTTGTTTCTCCCCTTTTTTCATCCACTCATTCTCATTTGTAATGAATTTCATTCGAACAATATAAATTCAATTATTTTATTAACAGTTTCAACTAAGAACATTACTACAACAATTGCAAATAACAGTACATGTATAAATAATAATCATAAAATGCATTCAAATCAACCTGGACTTCGTTCACGTGCAAGTAAACAATTGTCTAATCGTCAAAATTCAGGTGTTATCCCCCAAAAATTACATCATCCACATCATTTACATCAGCAAAATAATCCAAATCACATCAGTAAAAAATCTGAGGTAAGATTTCACATTGTTCTTGTTCATTTAAACTTGATTTGGGTAACTTTACAAAAAAATAACTTAATTTGTATAATCAGTTATTGTCTAACTCAATAGCGTGATATATAATTAAACTTTTTTTTTCAGGGGAAAACAGTTACCAGTAACATACAGTCATGTTTTGCATACTGTATTGTAATGGTATAATATCCAGGTTGCAGTTAGAAATATTGATCAATGGAATCAGGACTAGGTTACTGATTATATAGCACAATATTCGCCAAAAGTTCTTGTTTTGTATTTGATCAAGCCAGATGTGATATTTCGATAATTATAATGTTTATTTTATAATTTCCTCTGATTTTTCAGTCGACATGAGCTTGGGTTAATAACCGTGTTTAATATTACTAAATCACCTGCAATCGGTTAATCTAAAATTATAATTTATCTTTTCATTTAATTTGTCTTAATTTTTAACAATTCAAAATATTCTAAGTCGATGACTATATCATGCTTCTTCATAAGCCGTACCAATCAATACATAAGAATTCTGCAAGTTGAAAGTAATCGGTTAACTTTATAAATCACTTTTTGTTTATACTTTACACTTTGTACGAAAAAGAAAGTGGCATAAATTAGTTTATATATTCGTGATGTACGAAGTACAAAACCCATTGTCTGTATAAATTTGTCTACACAGTAATAATAATAATAATAATAATAATAATAATAGCTTTATCATTTTAATATATGCTAACTTATGGTAAATGAATGGATTATATCGATCCAATTATATATGTTTAGTAATGACTTCAATATATTGTTTTCAAATACCATTCACTTTGTATTAACTTAATATGATTATACATGACAACCGGGTTAGAAATCAGTGCATTCATCAGTCCACGAGATATAGGGTTCATTTTTATTCATCGGTTTATTTTAAGACCTTATTTAGATTTCAGATTGTTATTTTTAAATGCAGATTCATTAAAAGTTTTTGTTTTAAAAAAATATCTAAATCTAAATACCATACTTATTATAATCATATACTCAACATTCCTCAATTTTCCATATTTCTTTCGAAATATATTTTTTATGCGTTATATCCCTATTACTACTACTACTACTACTTATTATTATAGTTGTTTTGGGCTTTGTGTTCTTCATTTTGTTTCAATTTCTATTCTCAGTATGTTTATGTGAAGTGTGACAACTTGAACAACTACATTGTTTATGCTTAATAAATGAATGTATTTTTAAAAAAAGTAATCATGATTCTCTTGAAAATTTCTCTTGATCTGAAAAAAATGTTCTGGTGGATATTTATTTGTTGCTACAGTTGATGTAAAATAGTATCCCTTAAATTTGATTTTCAAGTCTTTTTAAAGTATTACATCTTGTATATGCTTTCTTTTGTTTTATATATAGTGCTTGCATCAGTTTCTTATTTGTGGTTTTTAGTTTACTAATTCCAATACTAGTGGACGATCATCATATTTTTATTTCACATTGGGATTAGGGAAATAGTTTTTTTTTACTTTTATTCCACTGAACATTCTTCAAAAGCATTTCTAATGGATTTAATGTAAAAGCATTGATTTCGTCTACTGATAAAGAGTTGGAAAAATGTGTGGAGAATTTGTAGTTTGTATTTCTTTAGATAGAATAATCGATTCAAAAACACTGAGGAATAATATACTTTAGATTTCAACATTGCTACTACACATAACAGTTCTAAATTTCTATATATTGTAGGGCAGGCGTTGTACACCATTGCACAGTAGTGCCATGTTAATATTGTTGTATTCTAAGTACCAGAGGGTTAGATAAGGGATCAGTTGATACATTACATTGATCAGAACTTGTCTTTTTTATAGGCATAAAAAGTCAATCATCACATGTTACCGATGCATTTGATTACCTGGTTTTCCCAATAATCACGTCTTACGTATGAATTCACTTGTCTATATATTAAGTAGTAATGTTTCTCACTACAGGTTATCCATAAAACTTGTAGATTTAGTGGGTAATCATGGTTCTCATTTGATTATTTCAATGAATATAATTCTTTTTTCGTTTCATATAATATAAAGATATCGCGTCTTGAGGTAAGTGAACTTTGTGGTTTATGTATTGGCGTATATTTGCGATCATGTCTGTTTTAATCAATTGTGTGTGTAAATGTATACGTGTATGTGTGTGTTTGTTTCACTAAATGATTGATAAGGTCAGATTAGCTTTTTTTTCATCGATCCAATCCGATTTGCTAAAGTCAGTCACACCCCTCCTCTTGCTGGACCCCATAGCCCTCATTCCAATTTTCTTGTATGCTCTATAATATGGTATGCTGTACATATGTACCCTTTTTCCTCCCTTCCTTTTACTCTAATTGCTTGACTTATCTAATTAGTTTTGACTAGAATGATTTTCCATAGATATTTGATCAGATTGCTTCATAAGTTAGATCTGTAAAGTTTCCATTTTCTTATTTGCATTATCTTGTTACAGTTTTACATTTATGTATGTTTTTTTAGAATATAATGTGAAACTAACATATGCCTTTCCCTTTTTTATCTTCTCCCTACTTTTGCTGCGCTTATCTTGCCCATTTTTGTATAATGTACGATTTCGTCGATGGCGGTACCTGTCTTTTACGGATCTGGATGGGTGGGGGTTATGTTATATAATACAATTCACTTTTGATGTTACTTTCTTGTCTTCGTATTCGTACATCCTCGTTTCATTACGTTTTTGATGTATCACCATAATTTCATTTTCGGCTTGTAATTATCCACCTATATGTGTATCGTTAATTCGGGTCACTGTGGTATTATACATCTGTTCATCATCTGCCATGTGTTCATCTTCCCTTCTCAAACCTTCATCTTCTTTCACTATATATCATATGGTAAATTATACTGTTCAATGAAACTGTCACAACAAACCGATTAATAAAAATGAATGTGTTATCACTTCTGCTGTCATTCTTCTATTATTTTGAATTGAAAAATTCTGAATGTTAAAACTTGTGTTGTCCCGTAATTTTGTTTTTTTGTTGACACATGGTATCTATATAACATAAACACTGATTGTGTTTTCTTGTAAAAATCGATTGATTTGGTAATGTTTTGGATGATAATCTGACTGTTGGTGTTGTGTATCTACACGAATATTATATATATCCATTTCTAAATAAAAACGGTCTATTTTTGTGGGTTGTTGGTTGGATCCGCTTTTTGATGATAATAGTATGGAAAACGGAATAACTTATTAAAATCAATAGGAAAAGCATCATTATTACCTGTTCTAAGTAGTTCTGGTGTTAGTAATAGTATTGTCAATAATATTGTTACTAAAGTGGGCACTATCTTGCCAACATTACAAACAAATAGTGAACCGACCATTTCTTCGTCATCACATATCGTTTCATCTTCATCTGCTTATTTATTAACTTCCTCTCCTTCAACAGTTGTTTCATCAACAGATATATCATCTGAGCATGTTAGTACGCAACAGTTTCATATTAATTTATTCCAATGGCTTAAACAAACTCAATTGAATCCATCGTCTGCATCATTAATTTATTTAAGAGAACAGCTCCGACAGAATTTATCCTCTCAGCGATCGCAGGACCACCAACTACAACAATCACAACAACATCATGGAACTGAATCAACTATACCACTTCCTACAACATTAAACTTAATGACAAAAACAACATTAACTACTACATCAAATATTGTTCATCACTTCCCAAGGCAACAACAAACAAATGTATTGAATGTTTTCAGTCATTCAGATGAAACTGTACGAACTACTCAACCGTTAGTAGATAATGATTGGTTTGGGTCTAATGTTGACTTAATAGAAGTAAAAAATAATGATAATAACAATGACAATTTAACTGCTGCTGATTTATCATTTATCCAGACTATAACCTCTGAACCATTATCAACATCGCCAAAACCACCTCTAGGTCCAAGATTATTAAGGCGTAGACTACCAAAACCAAGACCAGATGAGTTTATTGTTGTTGAAGAAGGAGATGATGACGAAGAATTAATTGAGAGCAATCAAAATCCCACTTCAACATATCATTTTAACTTAGATCAGATCTCCCGCATTTATGACTCATCTATATCTGTTAACTGGGAAAAAATAGACTTTGTAAAAAATGAACCATCTCAACCTATTGCTGAATGTAATAATTGTTTAAATATAACTGAAGAGGATAATGATAATAATGATAGTCAAACAAAGCCTGAAGAAATGATTAGTTTACAATCGGTAGGATATTTTTCACTGTGTAGCATCTATGATGCATAAGTGTTATTATTATCATTATTATTTTAATGTTTTCCTCACTTACGTGCAATGTACATTCATTTAGATCGTTTCCTCTCCCATTCATTTTCGTTGTTAGTATAGTTTGTGTGTTATTAATTTTCATTCAAATAAATTGGTTTTAGCTATTAAGATGCCTGTGATATATTCGTTCTATCATTATTATTATTATCATTGTCAGTAAAATCTCAGTCCTGAATGAGTTATCAATGTTTATAGTACTCATTGTTTTATATTAGTACTACCATTAGTAGTATCCATTTGACCTTTTGCTTCACTCTTCATATTGTGGTAACAGTATACATCATAGTTTTTTTTCCTTGCTTACTTTGTTTAAATAGCTTTCAATGTTGTAATATGAACAAAAATATCGGTATTGTCTTTTATCATTATCGCAATATGGAATTATTCTGTTTTTATTTTTTTATATTTTTTACTCCTGTAGGAACTTGATCAATTAGCTGCACAATTGACTAATTTAGGCGCTGTTTCACCTAGCCCTCATCGACAAAATAATCGAAATCAGTTGAATGGTAAATCCGACACAAAATCAAATGATAAACAACCATCATCATCATCACAACAACAACAACACTACCAGCAACAAAAATCTTATGAAAATAATAATGTAAAATCATCAACATCTAATGAATTAGTTACATCAGTGGAATCAGTATGTGCGGTTGAAAAACTGAATCGATCTAGTTCACTTTCTTCAACATCATCATCATCTTCTTCTTCGTCATCTACCACTAATTCTTCTTCTATATCATCTGAATTTCACGGTAACGAGGGTTCACCAGTACATGTGGAAAATAAACATTCAACAAGCAACTCATCTACAATGAGTAGATCTCATTCTGTTGGTTCAAATCATGAATATCACACGTCAAGCACTTGTTCTTCATCCTCTGCTTCTACTATTTCTTCATGTGATTCTAATCAACGTAAAAATCATGAAAATGCGTGTCGAGTTATACTGAATGGAAAACGACATTCAGAAATAGATCCTCGTCGACTTACTGTTGTTGAGAATGTTCGTTTGTTGAATAACAATAACAACCAAATGAACCATAATACTAATGTTGATTCTAGTGAGCTTGATGACTTAGATAGAATACAAAGAGATCCAGTACAATTCATCGCTTCTAATGACGACCAGGTTGACGAATTTAACTATGGAGCTTACAACATACAGAATGATGAGGAAGATGACGAGGACACTGGAGGCGGAGGAGAGGAAGAGGAGGATGAAGATGAAGGTGATGTCATCGTTGTTGAAGAAGAAGAAGAGAATGGAGCTGATCTAGAAGAGGCTGAACAGTTAAGGGCTACTTTATCTATTGTTCGTACACGTCAAAGATCATCATGTGATGAATCGATAAGAAATGTTGATGGTGATGTTGGTAGGGCTGTCACAAATGAATCCTCATGCTATGTAGACGATGGAACGTTGTCCAATGCAGCAGTGAGATGGCATAAAGAGGGGACCTTGTAAGTTTTTTCTTTAATATTCATCTCTGTTGTACTACTGTTTCTAGTAATATTTTTCCTCCTACAACATGAATATTATCATGTTCCCTTGAAATTAATTTTATTTATTTGATCATAACCTAATGAAATAGCCATAATTAGTTAGATAATTGATTACGCTGTATAATTGATTTTAATGCATGACTAATTTCATATTTGTTTTGTATTTTTCTTCCCACATCCTATTCACTGTGTGCCTGTTTTTCTTTTTCTTTTTTGTCTTTCTGCAAATTCTTGCTTTTATATAACGCTACCGTAAATTCTTTTCATATTTTATTCATGGAATAATCCCTTTAAAAACACAAAAACATAAATTGCTCTTATATATAACTAACTTCACGCTAATTTAAAAAAATATAATAACATTCTTTTTTTAATAATTCTCATTACTTGAAGTGACAATGTGGTGCACTCAATAAATCTTATGCCTAATTCACCAATTATTCAGCCTCCACCGCTTCCTCCACGCTCTAAACGTCATTCTTTTTACTTAGAATCTCACTTTCCTAAACCTGTACATCGAACTGTTGTGGTTTCACCGCCATGTCATATTTTATTAGAGTTAGGTTCATCCAATCAATCAAGACGTTATTCTGCACCAGGTCTTTCAATTTTAAAGTAAGTTATTTTTGGCATTAGTTTTTGGTTTGTTTTAGTTAAATGCGCCTATGTTCTGCATTCCTTGAATTATTTCCCCTACTATCATCACCATCACTACCAAAATTAACAAAGTCAACAACAATTAAAACGTCTTTTTTAAAACTTTAAAGTTTCATATTTTGAAGTGTTATTTACCCCATAATGTATGCATTTGTTTGGTTCAAACTATGTGTGCGTGTGTGTATATATATGTACTCATACAGTAAACGAACACCACACAAGCTAAGAGATTGTTTTTTTTTCATCAATATTGTGTGATTACAATTATTGCTAACCATTATATTGAATTATTAACAAGTAGTTTTGCTTATTTGATCACTATAATTTTAGTATTTATGTGTAAGTTTTTTTTAAAAATGACTAGCGTACTATTTATGCATTCAGTGTTCCAATAATCGTTAGTTATTTTGAAATAATTTGTATTGCATTAATTTTTTGTGAATCATTCACCCCTAAATGTTTTGTTTAGTTTAAGGGTTTGATTTCTCGGTTCCCAGTCATTCGGTTGACGATTTGAAAACGACATTGTTTAGTTTTTGTTTAGGAAACTCAATAGTCTATCAGTGATGTAACAATAAATATGGCTGTCTTATACATAAACGTGTATTTAGTTAGCGAATTTCACAATTTTTATCGGCGGTAGATCGTCTATAAACCGATGCTATTGAGAAAGCACTTGTTTATTAATGATGTTCAATAGTATTTTAACCAAAATTGCAAAATTGTGACCGTTGGGACACAATTATTGTTACACAGTCTAGTTGTAACCACATGTGATTTTTAGCTTCAACTTTGAATTAATCTGTTAGTTTTTACTAAGAAGGCGGCTATTTAAACTAAATTGATCAGTTATTTATTGCTATTCTATTAACGTTAACGTTAAAAAATAACAGAATATTTGACTATAATAAACTTGTTATTCTTTTTATATAATAAACAAGAGGGATCAATAAGATTTAGTCATCGAATGACCATGAATTTATTCATACACAGTTCGGCATTAGGTAGGTTAATAGTTAAATATTCATCACTACATAGTATCTTTTTTAGTGATAATACTCTGTTCTATAAGTTGAACAGTTTTCTTATGATTATCATTCTGTACTGTCATGTTAACCAACTAATATAACAGATAGTTTAAGATATTCTCTCTGTCAAGTATACTACGATATGTTAGTATGATAATAAGACTAGACATATTATTTCAGATCCGGATTCACGACCTAGAGTATAGACTAAACAATACTTTATTCCACTTAATTGCGAGCAGTCATTCCCAGTGAGTTTGGAGTACAAATCAATGACAAGAGTGGAGATCGCAAATTTATTAGTCAGTAGGCTGTTTGCCCACACTCAGTGACCAGTCATATCTTACTCCCACTACTAAATATCACCAACTAAATTTTGTGACGTTGTTTAGAATGGACAGTATCCTAATGGTAGCATTACTTTACTTTGAACTACCGAATTGGAGGTTCAAATTCCAACCGATCTATTTCTATCCGGATAGACGGCTTATCTAACTAACCTGAATAAAACAATATAGAGGTATAATAAAACATTTGTAATTGACCTATTCACTTGCGAGAATACAATAACACAAAAAGGATCGTATTACGTTACATATTAACTTAATCAATTCTATAACTTTGTTTATAATGTCCGATTTTGTCGATTATATCAATGGAGTAACGGGATTTCTAACTTTTAGTACAGTTAGTTTATTTTTCATAGTGATAGAAGAACTGTTATACATTGTTGACACTCATACACACAGTGATCTAAACCAATTTTTAAGCATTTCTTCCGTTCATATAAACTTGTTTTACTGCACAAATGTTCGTATTATAAGGTATTAAAAATAAATCCCAGACTAGTCAAGCATAGATACAAACTCAACATTGGGGAAAAATGAATTCATTGTTTATTTCTTTCATACACATTTAAAGTATTTTATTATTCTGCACGTATTTTCTTCATCTATCTCTTCTCTACGTACACGTTTATTTTTCTAAGAGACGTGTTAGCTTACATCAGTTAATTTCTAGTTTTTCTTGTATATTTGGGACAGAATTCTATTGTTATTTTTAGCTAACAGTAATTAACTCATTATGAGGTCTGTAATTTTATTATTGTCATCTGCATATATATAACTGAAGAATATTTTTGCTGATAATGATCAGAATTATTCAACGTTATATAAGTTTTAATAGGTTTTTTTCAACCTAATTCAATCATTAATCAGCTCATTATGATTACTAGTTGTGAATTTTTCCATTTCGTTTTATTACGAAGGTTCAGTTTGATTAATGTTAGTGCTTACATAGTCTTACATAGAGTACCGATAGTTCAATTTAGTGGCTTGATAAGGTGTCTGATTCTATTTTACCAACTTTGAAAGAGATTATAACACTGACTAAACTGATCAGTTGGTAGTTAATGAAATTATAATGGATTTTTTTCTAATTGTCTAATCTAACTTACACCAATTTTCTCGACGATTTTATTTCTTCCTTGATTTTCCCTTCATGGCTTACTACACAGCCATTCGTTTTACATTGTGTTTATTATTTTATACTACCGTTTTCAGTGATGACTTATCATGAAAAATAGAATTTGTTTTTCATCTCACCCTTCAGTTAGCTGCTTTTGAATGCTATTATGTTATGATAGAGCAACTTGTACCGCCTTTCAGTTAGAATCACTAAATCCTTCAGCTGTTAAATTCCAGAAGTACACCAATCAGCTTCCCATTGGTACTGAAACAGTTCAATATTCACTTAAATATTTAATTTAATATTGTGTCGTGCGTTTTTTCTCAATTTATCTGTAGTTTAAATTGGTTGTATCGTTTGGAAGTATTTCTTACGGGGAACATTCTTTCATATTATATGTGTCATTAACATTGATATTTCACTGGATTAGTGATCAGTGAAAGATCTCAACAAGCTTTCATCTATTGCCTGCATAAATGCATAGATTGTATGAGGTCGTTAAAGATAATGCGTAACTATTCAAATTCAAATAGATGCAAAATGAGTTGGGTTTTTTTTGATTAACTTGTTATCCGATGAATTAATTGATTGAGTAGATCAGTGAATTCAACCGTATTTTTCTTGTATGATTACTTTATATATTAATATTTAATCTGAATGCTTTTTGTATTTTGTCTTATCCACCACAAATTTTCATGCGTTTGCCACTTCATCTATATGTGAATACAACAGACCATCAGATGAATTTGCCAAAGAAACTTTATGCAGTTTAGCATCGATTATTGAGTCTACATCTGGGACAATTGACCGATCTGGATTTAATGTTAATCCATCAACTGGGAATAATAATGTTAAAGTAAGCTCGACTATCATTATTATTTCTATTATTTTCATTATATCAATTTAACATAATCTTTAAATCACCTTAGTTATTACGATTTGATCAACATCTTTTTTCTCATTTATCTATCTACTGTACTTCTCATTATTTGTCTTTTGAAATTGTTGTTAATTTTTAAAAAAAATACATTTTCGATTGAAGCACCTTGTTATTTTAAAAGAAATAGTCTTCTTAGACCTTATGTTGCCAATTTACACAATCAAATTTGTCTGTTTATATGTCAATTTTAGTTAGAGAACCAAAAACTACCAATGATCTACTTAGTATATATAAAATATTTTTTAAAAACAAAACTAACGATAATCACAATCTGAAGTCAAATTATTGATAAGTTATTCGAAATCGTGTTGTTGAGAATGTTTTTTTTTACGATAATGTAACATCAACATATGAGGAGTATGTTCTGAGAAGTACACCTAATACAGTTGTGTTCCACTCTGTTTTCTGAAGACCAGTCAATGGGTTTTCTGAATTTTATCTCATAAGAATATTGATAATCATAGTTTTATTTAATATGATACATAAATCTACATTATGACATCTTCAGCTCATTGTAGAAAAAATTTACTTCAGGCATGCTAGGAGTACTATAAGAAAATGCAACGTTACTAAGGCCCCCTACATTTTCATATAATTCATACAACCAAGTCCCTAATAATGTAAACATCCGAGAATTGTAATAAGCGTTGTAACAAAAACGAAATTTTAAGCAATCCACCTAATTTATTTGGTATATCCATATCATATTTAGGTAATTTTATAAACGTAAATTGATAATTCTTAGTTTGTTTTAAAATATATTTGTAAGTATATTAATGGTTTTCAATAATATTTCCAGGTATATGCACGACAGTAAAAACCAAATATTTTTATTGAACATTGTAATCCACAGTTTGATTATGTCAATCAACTGTGTATAGCTAAATAAATAAGAAAATTTTATACAATAATAAAATTCATAGTATCTGTAGCCTATAAATATTAGTATTATCTTAATTAATGTGTATACCTTATCTTAATTGTTGCTGTGGAGCTATTCATTCAAGTATACGACCTGATAATTTTGTTATATATGCATGTTCAATCTTTCCTTGTTGAATTATAAAGCGATCCTTAAACACATTATTGATCCAATATTGAACGTTGAGTTTATTTATCCAAATAAGATTTCTTTTCATGATAATTGCGTTTTACTGAATTCCTGTAAAGTTAATATTTTACATAAAGGATTTCATTTCAAATATTTTTAATCCTTTTAAAATGAGTAGCATACAAAATCTTCATGTAATTTTTTTTTATCTTCGTAGCGAAATTAGTTTGCGCATATTTTCATCACAATAATCTATTCCATTTAAACCATACTTATTTTTTAAGTCTTTCATTTCTATTTAATCAATTTTAACAATTGACTGTTTCGTACTTCTTGATTCTTTGATGAACGTAAACAGAACAAATTTTGATGTTCGTGCTCTGTTTAATAAACCAACCATTTGACTTTAAAATGAAATTCACTTTTTTTCTCTCTTACTAATCAGAATTAAGTCAAGTACACAATTGAAAAAGAATCCATTTCAGAATTTTTCTCTACTCATTCATAGTAGTTTAATTGTTTCATTGTTTATGAGATTATCCTTGCTAAACATTTCTCTATAACAGATAAAAATGATCATTTTGTATAAGAATACACGTGTATGTACATATTATACATATATATGCATGGATGGGGTTATATATACAATCATCATTTTTGTATACCTAAGTGTGTTACTTTTTATTATTTATTACATATAAATTCTGAAACAACTTGGCACCCACCAAAGGCTTTGCACCATTTAAATGTAGTAGCATTGGGGTGTATAATAAAAACAGTGTAGGATTAAAAATACAATTCAGATGAGAATACAATCTCTAAGACTTTTTTGAATTAAGCAAATTCCTCTTACTTTTACGAAAAATGTAAAAGAAAACTAAAGTAGGACTGTTACTGGTTTTTATTTTGAGCTGTTTACACATTATCACATAATGTAGGTTTGATCACAGCTCACTACAATTAGCATCCGAGTGAAATAAATACAGATGTAATTCATGGATTTTATAAGGATTGGGTTTTAGCTAGTATTGAAATCTATGAGATAGGTCTCGTCGTTTTCACACTCATCAACTGACTGTTCTTTGATTCCAGCGTTAGAGTTTTTGCACAAAGACTCACATCAACTGTATTAAAAATTTGTGACTTGAAAGCAATATTGAATGAATCCATTCAGAATACACATACACCATCAGAGGTTGATCAGTTTTAGTTCAGAATATCAGCAATAGGAAACTGTACCTCATGCAAACTATTTGGTAGATCGTTTGCAAATTAAAAAAAAGCTAATTTCAAAATATTTGTGAATATCTCGCTTCTATTGGAAGTTAGCAAGGGGGGACGAGTGTGGTGTGTGCTACTTATATTGACATAAGTAGTAGATGATATTAGTCGTGCACAGCATGTCTGGCAGCAGAGAGACAAGAGGACCGATCAGTAAAGAATGGAAACAGAATGCAATTTGTATGAAAATGCAAGAACAATGAAGTCTGAGTCATTATGAGATAATTGATGAACATTTTGCAAATTACGTATTTACTGTTTGACTGTTAGATTTTATTAACAAGTCCTGTAATTTTGTGTCAAATACATTCGGTTGTCCCCACTAGTTCGTAAGAACTCCGATGTTGAGTTTGATAAATTAACATGTAACATCACTTTCTGTTCAGTAATATATAAGTGTAAATATTTATTCGCTTAAATACTTTTATTTCTTTTGTTTAGTACACTGTTTCAAATGGTTATCCAAACACATCTACAGATAAGGCGAAAGTTACAAGTTCATCTCAAAATGTTTCACATATTGGTGTCCCACATTCATCGTCATCAAAATTAATTACAAATGAAAAAGAAGGTAATATAAATATTTCATTTATCATTAATAAAGGTGAATATGTTAGAATATATCTAACCAATGACCATCGTTTGTGAATCTATAGTTTATACAGTCATTTTGCAATCAACAAAATACATTCTAATGTCACGGATTTAGGCTTATCGATATTGATTCAAGCACTTGACATTTAAAATAATACTATTAGTTATTTATTATAATATTTACTTTCAATATTTGATCCTTGTCCCTTAGTTACATGTATTTTTTAAAATTGATATTTGTTATATTCATTCTATATGATTTACGTATTGTTACTCTGCCAACACTTTACCATTGAAATGTAATTTAAATTGGTCAATTCAGTATGTAAACAACGTTGCCTTAGAGAGCTGCACTAACCTGTTTACAAATCCTTATATCGATTTTCTACTGTCCATTTATAATTTTGGATAGAGAGAAAATCACTGTGTGTTTTTATAACAAACTATATATGTCATTTAATTATCATTAAATCTATTAAAAATTTAATGTTAGAGATATAAAGATAATGGTTTGATTTTTCGACAGATTATTTTAAGATGATGTAATGAAGAGATTGCAGTTCTCAACTTTAAACCAATAGGTTCATCTCATCTACTTTGGTTTTTGTGGTAGTTATGTGGTACAATTAGTCGCCATTCAACTAAAGTATAACTCAGAGTCGAGTACTTATCAACCTGTGCTTAATAAATGAGCTATGTTATAACTCCAAATGACTATGATGTTCCGTAAACTTTTTTGTTGAATAATAATAATGATGACTTAATTGTCATGCAAAATAACGTGAAAGGTACCAAAAGTTTCAGTTTATAAACCAGTGAATATCTTTGTAGCTGTTGGCGTTTGATAATTCTATGCCTTACAACAATTTCCATAAAGCCTTGATCACGTTCATCTATTTCTTTTTGGCTATCATTGTTATTAGATTTTAGTGAATTAGACTTTGAAATTACCAGCCGTCACTCATTTTGGAATTTCTGTATGTGAATTAGTTATTAAAGATACAAATAACTTAACGATAAGCAATATGCAATAGAAAATAAATTTTCTCCACGATAAAGGTCCACTTTTGTGCTACAATAAGCAAGTCACCGAGTTATAACTCATCGAATAATATTATCTAAAACTATCAAACATCAATTCACCGCTTCCTAGTATATCTACTGTATTGAGATTGTAATCGTGTAGCCTATTTATGAGATCAGTGTCCCACATAAGTACAGAATTTTGTGAATGGATTGTTGTTAATCGCTGTTCATTTATACTTCACTTCCATTCTTCAGGATGTACAAAAATACAAGAAACTCGATCACCGTCACCACCACCACATTCTACAGATGCTACTTCTTCTGTTCTAGGCGGTCCGTATAACAAGCCATCATATCAATCAACTGATATATGTACAAATATACCGACCAACCAACATTCATTAGGACAATCCAACTTAGCTCAGAAAACGAGTCCACAAATCTCTCCTCAGTCTGTAGTAATTACAGACTCAAATAAAGCACTTCCTAGTTCAGTTTGGTCAGTTCAAACAAACAATAATCTTGGTTCTCGAGTTTCAGAGCCAAGTCCACGTGGAGGTCAAAAATCGAAAACCCAGGTGATTAAACTTGACCTCTTTTTCTTGCTTGAATACATTAAAGTTGATATATTAAAAAAAAAAAACTTTTTTTCTCACCTTGTTATCGTTTGTCCTTTTATGACCTTCAGTTATTATTCGTTCTTTAATTATTTATTGTATCAATAGACTATATATTTATTTTAGGCTAAATATTTTAGAGCTCTAAGGAGATTTTTGATTTGTACTAAGTTGTTAACTAATTTTAGTGTTATATATCTCGAACTCTATTAAACAGTTGCTGACAAATTTGACCATTTTATCAAAAACCAATATCAACAAATAAGGTGTATTAACACATACAAAATGGGACTTATAAAGTTAGCCATTTATACATAGTGAATACAGCTATGTCTGTTTCCTTTCATTAGCTCAGGTTGTCTAGATACATTACTTAATTATTGTATTTCAGGACGATTTTCGTCACAAATATATATAGGTTAGTTAGTCATAAAGATTTAGTAGTTGCCATAATTGTATTTTGTCATATATACTCATCTTTAAATTTCAACTGATCAGTGTTTGAATTGCAAAATCTAGTAATTTAGTGGATGGTATAGTATATTTCAAGATGTTTATTCTGACGCATGCATATATTTATTTGTTGATCTGTAGAAAACACGACTCATTATTATCAATTCACATGCAGTGATTTATCGTGGTAGCTGCTTTCAAAAAAAGACATTCGAAATTCACGTAGACTGATTCCTTAAAAAAATTTGAACAGTGTTACTATCATCAACTAATACGTATTATAGAAGTCATTGCTAGTAATAATTTTTTAAAATACCAATATAACTAAATAACTAAGGATATATATATATATATATATATATATATATATATATATATATATATATATATATATATATATATATATATAATCTTCTTGATACATTTTACATATACGTATTCCCATCTAGTAGTTGATTTTATAGTCATTTGAATGACATAAGTGTTATATCCAAACGAAGAATAAGTGAATGCTAGCTGCTAGAACTTATTATAAACCATTAATACATATATTTCTATTGAGTAACTATTAAGTAACTAGATTATAATATATAATCGTATTCCTTTTTTCTTATACTTTCATTTGACCTAGTGACTACTGTTATGCGACTTACCATTCATAATTTATTCCCAATCTATTAGTTACAGTCTCCTATACTCACAGCCACTTTTGTCTTGATATTGCATAATTATCATTTTTCATTTCATGATGCGGTGCTGTCCGGTTTCCTTGTATATAAACCAAGTATGTCTGAAATATACGATTAATAAAGAAGAGGCTGGCATTTGTATTCTGGACTGAACGAGCTGGGCTAGGTAAGGAGTTACTGCACAGATAACCAATAAGGACTCAAGACTGCTAGTTCTGGTTAACGAATTATTGGTTTGGCACAGGGACAAGGTCACAGAAATCAGTTTTTCATTGGTGGTTTTGTATTTGATGAGCCACAGGACATAACAAGAAGGTTAATTTAATCGAAGGACAAATTATGAGCCAATCTCAGTTTAACTACTTTGACTATACAAAACACTAAAACTGAGATTCCAAAATAAATTCACTGTTCTTACACACTTCATGTTTTGTAAGATAACTGTACACATATATGTAATTGATTTTTACGATTATGGAATGATTATATTTGATTAAACGGCATTTCGCTGAAGTATATACCTGTATTAAGGGATGATAACTTGAAATGTAGTTTGAGAAAATTTCAATTTTTATCTCGATGACTTGACAACTTATAGGATATTCCATTTCCCAAGTTTATTAATACGTACAACAATAACTCAATAGTTTAAGTGTTTGTCTTTCATACGTTCGGTAATTTGTTTTACCTCATCAAAGTTATTGTCTATGTTTCTCACGTAGTTCATATAACTCATTGTGCATGATTTCTCACCTTGTTTCTTCTTGATTGAATTTTGCATATAGATCATTTATAATTTGTATATTATTGTCATTGTGTTGAATCAATCTTTTCAATAACTCTTATTGATCAATACCATTACCTTCTTTTTTCTTCTTTAAGAAAAGAAAATCCTTTCTCTCTTTGATTTGTCTTTCTTTTCTTCTCTTCTGGATTTCCAGTTAGATATACAACTTTCACAGTCAAGTTCTAATCCTTCATCATCTAGCAACAGTAGTGGTTTAATCAAATCAATCGCTTTGCCTAATTCACTATGTGGTAATTTATTGAATTTTAATTTACCATCAATTAATACAATGACAAGTACAGTTATTACAACTGGTTCATATTTATTACCTACAAGTATTAGCAGTGGTGCTGGTTGTATATCAACTGCTTCAAATAATATTTCAACAACAAATTCTAGTTTGAACAACAATGATACACCGGAAATACAAGTTTATAAAAAACGTTTTAATTCGGAAATTTTGTGTGCATCTATGTGGGGTGTAAATTTACTGATTGGTCTTGAAACGGGTCTTTCTTTATTAGATCGTAGTGGTGAAGGTCGTGGTAAGTCATTTAATCTATAGTAAATTCTGTAATATTGAAAGATTATTAGATATTATTTTCATTTTGGGATTTCATCACTCTCGATAGAATGTGATCTTCATTGTTCTAAATGTTTTACATTAAAGTTGAGTTACTATGATTTTAATTACAGTTGCTTCGCTCTGGGCACCTAGGCAGTATCACAACCCAAAACACAAATCAAGTGACTTGTGTGGTGCATATGTATTTGGTACTCCTTTGTATCAATATTTATGTGTTAAAATAAATAACAGTTGAGACAAATTTCGAAATCTATGGTTATATCTTATTGCATATTTACATGCATTATTATGTTACACAATCATGAAATTTTACATGAATAGAAAGGTGTTGACTGTAAACTGAAATTGTCCGAAACTACTTGACGCGTACTGCTGAGCAGACCCACACTAGGACGAAATAGATGCCTAATTTGTCCTGGTTTCCAATAGTTATCTGAATAAAACCAGTTGGTGATGTAAACGATAAACGTCTTTAGGTGTGTTTAATTCAGTTTAAACTCAAATTTTGTGTTCTCTAACTTCATCTTCCTGAAGTTTTATTCCAGTGAAGATCAGTTAGATGAGCATGAGATGTGTTATTTGTGTGTAACAAAGCACGTTTGTTTCTGATTTCAAAATGAATTCGTCGTTTGATCATTTTATTTTCAATAAAGTAGAACGTAATGGCTCATTTCTTTTCTTAGGAATAATTTTTCATATGGTTGTAAAGTATACAAAAATAGTAAAGACGTGTTTTATTTAGAAATAAAGCGCAATCTGCAAGTGCAGACTCTAGACATTTCGTGAGTATATTGATAAAATCCTCAATATTTATTGGATTTTGGGAGAAAGATATGTTATTTTCGAGGATCTGATATAAATCTCTTCATTTTGTTAGTCTATTGTCGTTACTGTGCGTTTACCTATTGTTTGATGAGATATGCATAAATCGTTGGAATGGAATAATATTCACTGAATTTTGTGTATTCATTTGAAAATTTGATAGATTTTTTAAAGTAAAAACTTACAAAATACGCAACTTTGCACGATTTCCTTTATTTAAACTTATATGATGTAACTAAAAAATGTAGTTGAGTGGATTTTTTCTTCAATCATTGACGAGTTATATGTTTTGATTGTGCATTTTTATGTGAAAATATCATTACTTATAGAACTGCAGCTTAATTATAGTACGTATCAATGGAAATAGGTTTTTCATTATTCATGCTACTTATTAGCTTTGACGCTATGTTTAATCTTTTCTACTACCAATAATATTGTGAGTCTTTCTATTACTGTAACATTTATCTTGATAATTGTTCGTGATTGTGCTGATATGATATGTTGACTTGATCTGATCCGGTTTCTTTGTTGGTTATTACTGACTAACTCTCTGATTAACTTTGAAGTAGTTTATACAACTATGTAACAAGATAACTAAAAATTCATCGCTATTCAATTCAATTTATTTTTATTACAGTGTCATCTATTGTTTTTATATAATAATCAGAATGGATTTATTTCCAAAAGTACTTGGCTAACTCATTTTGTTTAATATACAATCTATAATCTCTTTAAATGTGGATAGAAATATGCTCTACATTATTATGTTCCAGGTTTTTTTTCATTTATTATAAAGAAATTCATTTGTTCTTTTTAACTCTGTTCCATTAATGACCCGTGAAAGAAAATTGACTTTCGGGTTGTATTTAATGTATACCGTTAAACTTGTGATTCCAGAACAGTATTTTTTTTTACTCAATAAAACCACATTTAAAATTCGATGTTGTTTTTTCCATCCATCTATTTTGTTTTCATTTTACTTTGTTCCCGATCAAAATTTTGTAGTTTATTCTTTAATTACAAGACGAAGATTTTCAAGGATGGCTGTTTTAGAAGGTCAGAATATTTTAGTTACTATATCTGGACGTAAAAATCGTGTACGCGTCTACTATTTATCTTGGCTTCGTAGTAAAATTATGAAAACGGAAGGAGTAAGTAAATTATAGCGTTCTTTGAATGTTTAGTATACAATAATATAAGTCTGTCACTTTGTTCTGCTGACTAGCATAAAAGAGCAGTTTGAAAAAATTTCCAAAGTGAGATCAGACTAAGTCATTGATTATTCATCTGAACCATATTGGGAGTTACAAACTTTTCTGGTCAGTGTCTGTCAGACGATATATACTTGGGGACTTTAGATAATAGCTTAAAGTCAGTCATAATGGTATAGACAAATCGACGTTTTATTATTCTCTAAGTCTTAGGTCTGAGTATTCAACTAACTTTATTTCGTAACATTTCTTTTTGAAGCATATCCTTTTGAAGGACTTTTCAATCATACACATTATTAGAAATCAAATCAAAAAAATTCCAATTCCTTGGTTATTTACACTAAAACATATTACACAAATATTAAGTTACCAGTTGATTGAAACTGAAAATGGAACTTACTATAATGAAAATAATCATCTTCAAACTCTGAAGTTATTGAATTCTTCTCCGCAATGAATGGTGTGTGACGCACCCTAACCACTTTTCCGATTAAAAGTAAAATTATTTTTAGACTATTATTAATTTTTCTTTCAATAATGAACTGTGACGAAGCGTATCAGCTGAACTTCAGGTTAACTTATGAATTTTTAAACATTGCTCAACAGATCGATTACTATAGTTTCATTTTCTTTTAACTAGTGTGACAAGAAGAATGGTTGGGTTAATGTCGGTGAAAATTTACAAGGTGCTGTACATTTTAAAATTGGTAAGTCTGATTCTCAATGTTTCATGTATATATATGACTGTATCCTATGCGTTACTGTTTAGTGAATGTTACACTCCCTTATTTTTCCTATTGAAATATAATTTATACTGGTCATCTCAGTATATATATACCGTACGGTCCCAGACGTCTTAGGTCCCTTAAAAATGCTTATATCGATCCTGGGTTTTCCATATCAAATTTTGTGTTTCTAGAGAATTTTTTTTGAAAATTTAGCCACTTTCCAAATATATCCTAAAAACTGAGACTTTACTGACCTATTGGTTCTATAAACATAGTTGCTCCGAATATTCTATATGTTCGGTGATTTTCACCTTTATGATATTATATGCACTGTTTAGCTGAATAATAGAACTTTATTTGTCATGCAAGATGATATAAGACGTGATGTAAATGTTTTGGAAATGATTGATCTATGTTGTTACCACACGCGGAGTCCAAGACATTTTAATACACAAGACTTACTATACAACAGTATGGATGCTTCTGATGATGTTAGTTTTTGCTTAACTGTTTCGGAAAAATAAAACACAACAATTATTTTTAACCAATAACAGTTTAATTTGTTTTCTTCTTTTTCACTCCTTTCGATTTTTTAAAATTTCTTTTCACAGTAAAATATGAGAAAATTAAATTCCTTGTCATCGCATTGAGAGATTCTGTAGAGATTTATGCTTGGGCACCTCGTCCATATCATAAATTTATGGCTTTCAAAGTAAGTTTTCATTATAACTAGATCGTATTAGTATTTCTGATTTAACTGAACATTATTTTGAGAATTAAACAATATTACGAGTAAATTATAACATTGAATGAATTTTGTGATCAAACAGTGAAACGCAAATATTTTATTTAAATGAGGAGGCCAGTTAATAGAGTTTTGTGTGTGAAATTTATTAGAGGAATTCTGAAAATAGTCACTTCATTGATTTTTGTTTTGGACCCTAATGCAAGAGTCACAGGAAAATGGTTGTTACTTTAGGTAATTTGGCCTATAATAAATTTAAATAGAAATACATTTATTTATTTTATATAAATAGTTGAACAGTTTCTATTCAACATACACTTAACCTTCAGCCTTCCTGTTTTGGTGTTCTTTTCCAATTATTCTTAAGTCTTTTAATCCCTCTTTCAGTTTTCTCTTCTTGTTTTGTTTTGAAGTGTGATGTTTTTGTGCTTAGCACTTTGTATTTGGTATTTGAGTTGGTCGGCCAATGATATATTTCGCTTATCAAATAAGCTTTTAAATTACGCACAAGTTTTCTTGTTAGCTGGGATCACATATTACTCATTCTGGACCCCGGTTATGTATATGCACTAGTAATGTTATTATTAGATATCCTGGATTTTAGAGTATTTAGTTTTGGAGTATTCTGAACTAAGAGAAGCTGATTAGTACTCAGGGCTCTCTAGTTCCCAGCTAGAATTTTTCTTATATTGATCAATGATGTAAACCTGTAGTAGAGTGAATTTGAATTATTAAATTCTGCAATCTACACAAACCCTCCTTTACTAATAATAATCATATGCTCACCGGTAGCTAGGTTCTAGATGCAATTCTCGCAGTTTTAGTGAAAAGCCATAACTAGTGGAGTTCAACATTATCCTGTATGATATAGTTGTCCACTGCAAGCAATCGAAGATGGTCACTCAGTATCGCTAATATATTTTGGTCAAACATGTACATCATCGGATGTCGGCTTAATGATCTAAAGGTTAAACGCTCGCAAACGAAACCGAAGGCCCTAGGTTCGGTTCCAAGTGGGGTTGTAAATGAGCACTGTTGATGAATTCCACACTAAACTGACAAAGCTATCAAGTCGTTCCTGGTTTTCAGTACTCATTAGCTAGACTCAGGTCAATTCAAACTATAAAAATTCTGCTATGTCCGCAAACCTAGCTATACTAGTTAAAACACTGTAGTGACCTAATTTTGCGTGATATTTCATCCTCCCTAGTGAACACTTTCAGTAGATTTTTTCATAGGTAATTAGATACTATGATAGACTTTTATGATAAGGTTGTGATAGAAAAGGAAACTAATTCAATTAATGTGAGATAACACTGGTGAATGTTCATTTTATATAATTGATCAACTGAACTATTTGACCATTATAATAAACATGCTTCAATGTCATTCCACTAATTTACCCTAATCGCTGTCTTGATTTCTTGTCGATCACATTCACAGAAATTGTATATTATTATTATTATTATTATTATTATTATTATTATTATTATTATTAGTTAAATATGAATGTGTTATATATTTTATAGGACTATCTGTCGTATTTTTATTTCCCCTATATTTCTTCTTCCTTTTTCACCAGAGATTCTCTGAACTCAAACATCGGCCATTATTGGTAGATTTAACTGTTGAAGAGAATACCCGTTTAAAAGTTGTATATGGTTCATCTGATGGTTTTCATGCTATTGACTTGGATTCAAATATAGTATTCGACTTATATATGCCTTCTTTGGTAGGATATCGTTTTGTAAACTTGTTTACTATACAATAATTAGATATATGTGTGCATGAGTCATCTGGCATTTACCATAAATTTGTGCTTCTGATAAAGATGCAAACATTTTTCAAATCTATGCTAGATTTCTTACATGAATAAAAGTAATAATGAGGGAGTCTAAGTTTTATTTTCGGAAATAGTGATTTTTTTTAATGTGGAGAATGGAGATTGGTGTATTTCATTAAAAAGTTATTATTAGAAAAAAGTACTATCTTGCCTATCCGAACAATGTAAGAAAAAAATAGCAGCTTATATCTATGTAGTGTGACATCATACATTAACTGAAATGACTGCGACATCATCTGGTATTTGGAAGCTAACTCAGTAGGACAACAGCGGATTATCATAGCATTCATACCTGTTTAATTATCATACAAAAATTTATCCTGGGAAAAGAGACTTAACAAAACGGTTATTTTATGAAAACTTATTCATTAGCCTAATTTCTAAAGAAATCGAATTTGATTACGTTCAAAATTGCAAATCTCTTATCTTGTTGAATGTTTTTGTAAGATAGTGATTGTTCCCCCCCCCTAAAGTATCAATTTTAAATTCCTTTTCATTTGCTTTTTCCTTGTTTTATATTTAGATTAATTCACATATTACTCCTCATTGTATAGTAGTACTTCCTAATACAGGTGGTATGCAGTTACTTTTATGCTACGACAGTAAGTTTTATTTATACCCATGTATTACTATCGATTTATTAGTTCACATTTCATTGTGCCACAATAGTAAATTTTTAGTGTTTATAGAATAAATGAAAGCAAACTGTCTGGGACTTGTTAGCCATATTCATTTGTATTCCATGAAATATCGGCGTTTTCGCTAAGACTATTTACATGGACCACTGTAAGCCATCAAATTGGTTTGTAACTTCCCAGTACTGCGACTATTTTTCTTCTGAATTCCTTACAGTGACATTTCACTGAAAGCAGTTTAACCTTGGAATTGATGTATTTTATCTGCCAACATTGGAAATTTTCATATTTTTCAGTGGTTCTTTGCTCTATCTGTCAAGAATAAAGACCATCGTCGGAACAATAATAGTTGCATTCAGTCAAAACTTGCATTTAATCCACTTTCTTATGATCAGCACCTTTCACAGAGTAACATGAACGTACTGTAAAACTGCTTTATTGCATCGATTTTCTTTTTAGCTGAAGGTGTTTATGTAGATACTAATGGAAAACTAACAAAAAATATCGTTATCCAGTGGGGTGAAGTTCCAACTTGTGTAGCCTATATATCTACCGGTCAATTACTTGGTTGGGGTTTAAAAGCTATTGAAGTTAGATCAGCTGAAACTGGACACTTAGATGGAGTATTCATGCATAAACGTGAACAGAAATTCAAATTTCTTTGTGAACGTAATGATAAGGTTAGTTGTTTTATTGTATCACTTGGAAAGAACGTATGATTTCATATTGAATTAGATATTCAAGCAAGATAATATCATATGGGTCTGTTGTACAATTCAAAAATTCTGCTTAGACCATTCCATGTATATTAGATATGATCATTAAATTGAAGAATATTTTTAATAAATCCAAAGACTTTTTTCCACAAAATGCCCTAAAATGTGTAGTCATTATTTTACACTGTAAGTGTTGCAGATGATAGTCTTTTAGATTTATTTTTCTATCTAAAAGTCCGAACTGTTTTAAATTAACTCTACCATTCTTTCGGAACAAGTTATCGTCTTGGATGTATCCGCATCAAACTAATTCTTCTAGAATGGTTTAACTGAAATCTTGGGACGCTTTCTGAACTTTACAATTATAATGATGAACTAAAACTATTAAAAGAAATGAAACTCTTTTGCTTATTAATTTATTCAGAGTGCATACTTAGCTTTACAATGGCACACTTGATTGACGAAGTAGTGAAATGACCACAGGTAACAAAACTGATAATTCCAGTCGAACAGGTTTTTAAAAACAGAATCATCGGCTGATCGAGTGAGACTAAAGCTCTGAATCCCTTTGCAAATATTCACCCGTGGAATTACTATGACTAATTCAGAACGCTTAATATAGAAGTCATCAAATTTTTAGTTGTCTGTGTAAAACAGACTCTATACGTCAATATAAAAGCGCTTACTTGGAGAGTCAGGACTAAATATATCATGGTAGACACTAACTATCCTTCAAATAAGCATGAGGTAATACTCAATTCCTTTATTTATGTCCTAAAATTCTAAATAACTATAATTTTTATTATTTAAGAAATGTGACAACATATCTAATCTATCAAGATAATTTGTTTACATTACTACAGGTATTTTTCTCGAATACACGGTCTGGGCCACCCCAAGTATCTATGATGACCCTTAGTGGTATACACTGGTAATATAATTAACTTGACTTTTCATGTCTACAGTTTTTCTTGATGATTTTTAAACTGAGCACCACCAACACCACTACTACGCATCCTGAAAACCATACAATACAGAGAAATCAATATCTTAATATTATTTAACTAATGCAAAATTACTACTATACTTTAATTTAATGTCTGACAATGCATTTCTATTTGAATGTGTTGTTGTAATGATAAATGACAGTGATTCTGAATAAGAAGAAATGATAATTTTCCAACAAATTTATCTTATTTTAGTCTACAACATTGTCCAAATAAACGTGCAAAAACATTTTCTCTCCTAATTTTATGCATAATTTACAATTTTCTTCCAATTGATCTTTATTTGCGCATTTTGTTTGGATTGTGTACATTATCGTTGCTAATATTAACCCCGCATGAATGAATATCAATTTTGAAATGTTCTACATATTTATTATTATTTACCAGTAAATAAAAACACTAAACAAACAATGTATCCTAATCTGTGCTATGTATGTGATGAAAGCTTATTCTTTATCAATCGTTTCTTTTTTTCTTATTCAGTACTATGTTATATATACACAAATAAATGACTTTAGGAAAATTTAATTTGTAGTTGTGAATTGTTTTTAGAAATTTTTACTTCTAATTGTAACAATAACCTCAATTCTTTTCTTTCTATATTATATTGAACTACTTTGATATATTCATCTTTCTAGGTGCATATATGATTATATATTCTTAACTTTATCAGTTTTGGTTAGTGCTATTCATTTCCTGTTCATAATTATCTAGAGGTTATTAGAATTTGACATATACGTTATTGTTATCAATCAATTATTCGTTTATCTACTGCTCTCAGATAAATAGTATGGATAATTTTGCTTAACGAATATTCACTTCTACTTTAAGTTTTACACATTTTTTACTATTATTTTCAATCCATGAAGGATGATGATAGGTTTGTTACACACACATAAATATTTAGCATGTTTTGCTCCTTTCAGTGTTTCTTAATTTGAACTCTTGATAACAGTTTTCATTTCTTATTATTTTTTTTAAAAACAAAGTTGTTCATGCTTATTATCCTATTTGTCTCGTTTGTATTATTGTTAACATTCAGTATTTAAATGAATTGTATGAACAAATTTTATATATGCGAGGTAGTATGAGAGCAAAGCAAATGATTCACATATTGAAGAAGTTTCTTTGTGTACTTTTTCGTTGGAAGGGATTTTGCATCAATCAACAAGAAATAAGATCTATTAGCTCAGAAGTTTTCCAAGTTTTATTGTTTATTTCTTTAAACATTTACAATTAAGTCGTTTAAAAGTATAGGCCATGAACTGAAGATCAGGTGTTTGGGGAGATTAATCTTGTTTACACTATAGACTATAGTTTAATTGCGAAACTTCCTATGTTGTTCTGGTTAATACTGCCGACCAATATTGGTGCCAATGAATGCTTCGCAATTAAAAGACCCAACTCAGAAGAAGGACAATCAAAAGGATCAGCCTGAGCTACAAGTATAGCTTCATTATACATGTTACACTCAACTCACATCCTTGAAATTTGATATCGATACCCATGTAGTAATGTACTTTCGACCTATCGCAGGCAAATCTGTTCTACGTAGCATGCATTTAAGTTATTTGCAGAAAAGTTCAGTAGACTTCAGCAAACATCACCTACACATTGCATTGTTGTGCAAACGAGTTATTCCGATGGATGTATACTACATGAATAGTACGATTACTCTCATTAACTGTAAGCAACAATTTGTACGCTTCCGATACTAAGTCTATTTTTGAGATGAAATCTTTGATGGAAGATTAATTAGCATCGCTTGCTGCAAACCTTACAATGAAGCTACATGACTAGTTAACAAAAATCTGCTTATTTAGTAATTATTACAATCGTTGTATTCGGAGAAATTAACCGTACAATAGTTAATAACACTGAAACCTAAAACGACAACGTGGATCGTCGGATTTTGAAATTGCTGAATTTTTGTGAGATTATCTTCAATAAAGAACTTGGAATTTGTGGTCCTAATCACTAATGGGAAGATTCAAACAATTGATACAAGTTAATCTAGACTCAGCAGCTAAGTCGACTACGTGGTGGCATTTGAAGTGAATGGTACTGGGTGAAAGACAACTCTGGGACGAGTCCCGAACAAAACAATGCATGTTATCCATCCCACTTCTAGACACCACTCGACTGCTTATAACGTAATGACAATATCGGAGCAATCCGCAAATATGGTAAAGAAGACTGGTCAATTACAGTCCTAAACATGAATGATATTCGAACAATACGAATGAATTTACTTAAGCACATAAACATTGGTACAAGGAGGCACCAAATATACATGCGTCACACTTTGTCATTTGGTTTGTGTGAGGGCTGGATTACTGTCCGGATGCATCAATTGCAGCAAATGGTTTTACTAGGGAGCCACTCCTCAAGCACTTAACCTACAGGTCTAGTTCACAAGATAGTGGAGTAACTTTGAGAGATAGTCCTATAGCAGCCGGTGATCAGTAGGCTAATGCACTATTTGATCTTTCAGAATCCACGTGCACCACCGGTTTGAAACCAAGTTTCTAGAACTTCCCTGTTTTCACAGTATCCACCAACTCGATTTAGGCACCGAATATCCGCTTCTCGTCCTCTTAAATTTCCGGCTGCGAGAAGGCAATGAACAGAACTTACCTAGTGGTGGCCATATGAGAGCATTTCGAGAGGGGGTGGGCTCTCCTAGCCCCACCATACTAGGGCACTTGCAGGATTGAAGTATGGGGTCTTTTAGAAAGTAGTAACTGAAAGCGTGTGATCACACTACGGATGTTTTTAAAGGTCGACAATATTTCGTGTTATATTTAATGTTAAACAAATTTATTAAGAAAAACACTAGTGCATATTAACCTTCTGTAAAATCAAATTCCAAACTATTTTAACACAGATATTGGTACAAGGAGGCACCAAGTACATATGCGCCATACAAATCTCATTCGATATGTGTGAGGGCTGTGATACTGCTCGAGTGCCCAAACCTTTTACAATTGTAAATTTCAGAACCAGTTGAAACTTAATGACATGGTTACTTGTCTTTTGCCGCAAATCTTTGACTATCAGCAAGGCAGTATTTAAGGCAGAGAAACAGTAATACTTTACATTCCGGATTGAATTTGTCAAGGATCTGCTTAGATAGTTTTGAAATCATGGTATGGTGTCAGGAAGAGCTGCAAACTACTGGTGAAGTAAGCCTCTGTGTTGTGAATGACTATTTAAATCTTTGGACACTAAGTATTTCATTACTACTTGTGACTATTTTGTAATAGGACATCATACTTCTGGTTTTGAATTCAGATTTTTTTGGGTTTTACCGTTGCGTTTAAGTGCAATATTACTAGTTCATAGTACTTTTCAATTGTCATACATTGTTAACAATGCTGCACAGCAAGCTAAATAAGCAGACAAACTGAAGTACGAACTTATTTCCCATCAAGTGACCAAACATACAATTTGTGAATTTGATTACATTTCCATTTTTACAAACTAAGGGGGTGTATATACAATCCTGAATGTCTTAAAATTCATTGATATCAATATGAACATACTGATGATGAAATTGAAAAGCTAATAGTGAGAAAACTTTCTCCACTATAGTAACAATCGTTTCACAGAGCACTAGAAATATTCATACGCTTTTTCTTCGCATACGTAATCTTTGAGATAGTTTAGAAACTTTGTAACTGATTCACCACTTGATTTTATTTATTTAAACACATAAACATTGGTACGAGGAGGCTCCAAGTATGTATGCACCACAAAAATCACTTGATTTGTGTGTGGGGGGCTAGGGTACTGCCAAGACGCCCAAACCGCGGCAGGTGGTTCTCTGAGAGGGCCACTCTTCGAGCCTTTGACGTAGAGGTCTCATCCACAAGGCACATGAGCAACGTCAGTAGATGCAGTCCCATGGTAGCCGGTAACCAACACTTAGTTCATACACCTTCTGTTCCCTTAGGACCCTGGAGCCCATATACACCATTGGTTTGGAATCAGGGTTTTCCAACTCCCCTAGGTGGATCGATCCTCCATATTCACCAACCCAGTTAAAGCACCGGACATTCGCTTTTCGCATTCTCTATTTCGTAAACAGCACATCCACGAGAAGGCAGTGAGTAGGATTTCTCTCAGTGGCTGTATACGCGTGGCCATATGAGTATTTCGAGAGTGGAAGCTGACTCTCCCCACTGTCAGTCGTACCAGGACATTTATGGGCTACTGATTTACCAGTCTTTTTATAACAAGTTAACATAACTATAGACATTTCATGACGACAATATTTTAATATTCTATGATAAAGTATTACAATTATGGTAGATTAAGGTTTTCATCACTGACGGAAGCCAGATCAGAGTGAACTTTAGGATTCTCAGACGAACGTGATCCTAAACATATTATAAATATAACTAGTTCATTACCGAACCTACACTAAGTGACTATATACAAAGCCATAAATCAATAGGAAAAGAACGAAAACCATATTACATTATACAAATAGATTTTTTAACATTTTACTAAATCCTCAAATATTTAGTACTGTCGACGAAGATGAAGGCGATTGTGGAAATTACCTTGAACACCAGTTACTAAATCCCAGTACTTTCTTCGCTCGTTTAAACGTCTCTCACAATCGGCATTAGATCTATTCTGTATTAAGGCTTTGAAGTCTGGACGTAGTATTGAAACGGTCTTCTGTCCATTATCACGGTTCGATAATTTAGCTTCATCTGTAGCAGCTAAGTGTTGTTTATAAATTGTTCTCATCTTCCGATGACCTAGAACAGTACCAGATGGTAACCGTACTTCATAAACGTCTTCATCATCTGACTAGAATTCAATAGATTAAAGTATTGATTAGGAACTCAATGAGTCGTGATGAATTAGAAAATAAATGACTTAGAAATGGTGAGATTATATACTAATGGCTATTTAGCTTGTAATAAACTTATACGGCGATTTAAAACTTGTCTCTGCAAAGAATACGAAAGAGGGTATGTATGTGAAGTGACGTTCCAAAAGTAACTACATTTGATTTTTTCCAGGCAAAAATTACCATCTAATTTGTCTCTCTCTTCTAGATACGTGAAGTCATACTAATACAAACTAATGATAACTGTTCGTACTTCCGTATCTCCAAACTGTCACTTTATTTATCTAGCGTATAGCCTGTCATATTGTGTCACAAATTTTTTTTGTTGAATATACAGGTAGATTAATTTTTGTTCCCAAGAGTAAGGTTATTACTAAATGTCTCGAAATGGAGAGGTTAAAAGAGCTAACGATGAGAAAAAATCCACCGTTGTCCCGTGTATGAGATTGATACAAAACTGAAAACAAATAAATTTTTGGTTACTAATGTACAAATCAGATTAACTAAAGATTCTAGTTCACACGAATAAGCTCCTGGGTAATTTGAGTAATTAAGTTTCGCTTTAATTCAACAATTAGGGATAAAAAACAACTTACAAGTATGAAAGATGGTGCAACGACTGACTGATCGTAAAACTGACTAAACAGCTCACCACCTGCAAGAGCAGCTTTAGGGTAATTGATCTTGCAATCGTCATTTGACTCTTCTTCTGCCTTAGCTACCAATAATGCCACTTGGACTGGGTCTTCTACTCCAAACCATACTTGTTTGTGGCCAGGTTTGTCCAACATATGACTGCGGACAGCAGATAGGGAGATCCGAGCATTGTCTGATCCTTCCACACAACTACCGTAAAACTGACGACCACATGCCAAGCAACAGCGTTCCTCCCCCACAATACGTCCTAATTCAATTAACAACCCGGCAGGATCGGTTAATCTTTCTGGAAATGGAACACTAAACTTGTGCACATCGAACATGTGATTTAGGACACGTTTGGCCAAATCACTTTGTTTGGCGCTATCAAGCGACTCATTTGGCAAATAATTCAGTGATATATAGCGGTCACAGAACAAACATGACCCAAGTGGTAATGGTTCTGTCAAACAGTCTTCTGCTGCAGGTTTAGTAGAACTGATGACTGTCTGCGTGGTTTTCCTAAAAAAAATAGGAATAAGTATATCATAGGCCTTATATTATAATGGTGATTGGATAGGTGCAAAAAACGTCCTGACAATAACGATCGACGTGGTTCAATAATTACCCTCTTTTATTAAACTCGTATTTTTTTAATCCCTTGATACTCATAAAAAAATAATACGTACCACTAGTGACTTTGAAAAAAGCGTCAGAAGAGTGCTGATATGAGTTGAATAAAACTAATATTATGTACTTTTAAGGACCTTTTACGCAAATCAAATGATTTGTGTGGTGCATATATATTTAGTGCCTCCTTGTACCAATATTTGTGTTTAAATAAATAAATATCCGAGTTACAAACGTTTCATAGATGCATGAATATGAGCAAACATTGGAGATGCGACCAATATCGAGATGAAATTGAGACAAAATTTAAAATACACTAGGAATATAAAAACATATAACGCTTAACCTCATCACGATACAATAAATGGGAGGCAGAAGTCCAAGTAATGGTTGAGTAAAATTGGGTGCATTCATGACAGAAAATTGATATATGTGAAGTGCTCACCTTAAAACGAAACTCAGCCGTTATCTCAGATGTTCGTGTTTATGTTTTCATACAGACTGTCATCTATTGCATCTGAAATTCTACCAGTGGTCAAACTTGAGAGGAACTAGTTTGTGTGTTTGAGTGATGGCTAGTACAACGAACCTTTGCAAACGTTATAATAAAACCAACTCAATAAGCAACCCGTTGGTTTGGAAGAATGTGGATAAAAGGTGGATTTAGAAATATAATGCTTACGTTTTGAACAATTGGCTGTTATGTATATGGCGCTTCGAAATCAGATGGGCAGTAAAAGATTTGTTATTTGCGAAGGATTTCTTGCAGGCGTCACAATACGTTTTCTAGGATAAAAATATGAAGCAAAATTTTCAAACCTCTATAGCCACAGGTGCTTCTGCAGCAATCAATTGTTTTTTATGTACAAACGCATCTTCAGATATCGGTAGTAGACCAGAAACAACACGCTTTAGGTTGTATATATGCCAGTCGCTCCTGACATGATTGATTCTTTCTGAGACAGACACGTCAGCCTTACATGACGAACATAAGTATGTCATGCCTTTGGTGGGTTGACTCTTCTTTGAAGGTATCTTTGGTAGCGATGGAGCGTGCAATGTGGCAGCTGAAAATGAAGGCAACAGTCTTCAGTAATAAGGATAGGTCTATCGACCTACATTAATCCTTGCAGTTTGTAATACTGTGAAGGTTCAATCTCGTTTAGAATATATCAACATAAGGTGCTGATATTACTTGTTCTGGTAGACAATTCCAGTAATTCACTACTCGGTGCAAGAAACGAAACTCCAGACGTAGACGATTTGATCACGGTTTTCGACCTTTGTTAGAATGTTCTCTCAAATGATCAGTCCTAGACGGAAGGAAAAGATAAGACATATTCATACCAATGTCATCGTCAGGTATACGATAAGCCAATATTAGATCACCCCGTATTCTGCAGTAAGATAACGGAAATAAGTTGGGGTGTCTCAGTCTGTTTTCATAAGATAGGCCAGATAGACCTTTTACCACTTTAGTACCTCGTCGTTGTACTTGTTCCAGCATATCCGCCTCGTACTTGAAACAGGGACTTGCTGCTTGAATCCCATATTCCAAATGCGGTCGCACGAAAGTGGAGTATAATAATCTAAACATTTCTTCATCCAAATACTGAAAAGACCGACGAATAGCCCATAATACACTATAGCCTTTTGCAGCGGCAGCCTTACAATCACTAGTACTGAAATAACTGCCTATTATGACTCCTAAATCTTTATGGTGTCTTACTTTGGGTAACACGAATCCCAATATTGTGTAGTGATATGAATCATCATAGTTATTTAATTGTATCACCACACTCTTGTTAGGATTTACTTCTAGTGACCATCCGTCCATCCATGCCATCGATGAGTTGAGATCATCCTGTAATACTATTCTATCTGACATACTGTTTGTGGGTCTCCAAATCATAATATCATCAACGAAGAGTAGAATGGATGACTTTGCTAAAGCTGGTAATTCATTTACATACAGTAAAAAAAGAAAAGAGGACCGAGAATTGCACTTTTTACAGATTCCAACGCTGAGAGGGCTCTATTTACCCTTGCCTTTTGTCTCCTGTCATAGTCTGTCAGTTATAACGTAGGACTAGGCATATACATGCATCAGTCCAAGTTGCCACACCTCATTAGCACAGCAAGACGAACACCGGATTCATAGAAGCAGTTAACTCAATGATGGTAATATATAAAGGAAAGATTTTATGTAAGGATATAGTAAAGAAAGAAAAAACTAGTTCGTAGAAAGAAATATGTGAAATAATGTTAATCTCATAGTTTAAGGGAAGACAAAGAGTGTATACACTTAGGCCACTGTGATCGATTCTGAGCCATATCACCCAGTCTCCAAGCGTTGGTTACCATAGTCATGGGGAAAGTCACTTATTCAGTCTATGACCTTATAATGGATTCCAAAACTTTCCAGTCTTAATTTAAGACCCGAATGGAAGACCTTACCAAAGACTACCTAAATCTATGAAAATCACATCTACAGGAATATTTCGATCTTTTACCGCAGCCCAATCTTCTCTTGCAATGAGATTTGTCAAACATGATAGGCTTTTTCGAAAACCATGATGTTCCCTGGATAAAAGATTACGCACTTCCGCATAAGTTATAACAGCTACCCGAATAATCTTTTCCATTCGTTTTACAACTGCACCAGTTGGACAAACGGGTCTATAGTTACCAACTAAATCTCTACTCCCCGCCTTATACACCGGAGTAATTATTGCGTCTTTCCAGTCTTGAACTGCTGCAAAGACATATCACACAGTACAGCTATAGGTTCAGTAATTACATCCGATAGGGTTTTCATAATCCTAGGAAGAATATCATCAGGCCCACTGGATTTATCAGGTTTAAGATGCTGAAGCAATCTTAAGACAGTATCTTTCTCAATAACTACAGGGTACATCAACAGCCGCCACGATCACAATGAATCGTTAGTCGTTCCTGATTACTGATAGAAAACACTTTCTTGTACCAAAAGTGATGGAATTCCAGCACTTCACTAAGTTCGCTTTTTTTATATATGGGAATAACTGTTTTGAACCATTTTTACAATCCCTAACCAACTGTATTTCATACGACCATTTAGTCTTACTTATTAGCGCTTTACAAGCATTCCTAGCCATACAATAACTGGATCTGTATTGTTCTAAGACAGTAGAGATGAACATAATACGGTGCTTTTTCCTACGTCTAAGAAGTTTCTTGACTTGTTTAGTTATTCATGGTGGGAAGTTATTCGATCTACATGGTACCAGGTATGGCGTAAGCGAGAACGTAACTGAACTAAACTTGCCTTTAAATATAGACCATGCTTCTTCAACTGATGAGCTGGTATCTACTGACCAATCTGTTTTAGCAGCGCACTCATAAATTCAGATGATTAAAATTTGGGAGAACACAAAGAGTGAATGCACTTGCGCCAATGCAAACGATTTTGAGCCATGTCATCCAAGGTCTCTAACCATCGGTTGCTATCATCTCGCGGTCCCCAACCAAGTAGTCTACACCTATCAACATGACTCAGTCCACTTGTCAGTGACTTCATGGACTTGTGCCATGTTTTGGTCTGGCCACCCCTAGCTTTCTTCCAACCTACTCCTATACCACTGAACATCGCATGTCGAGGCAGTCGGTGGTTGTGCATACGTAACATGTGTCCCAGTCATCTCAACTGATGAAGTTTCACCACTTCATCAATCGATTTCCCATCCTTACCTAGTACCCGTTTCCTAACAACTGCATTACTTCCTCGATGGTCCCAGGATATACGAGCAATGTTTCGAAGACACCTATGATCGAATACTAGTAACCTACGAATAACCTCTACTCTCATCGGCCATGTTTCACTGCCATAAAGTAGGACAGAACGAACTGCTGCGCAGTAAATCTGTCCTTTGGTTGGTAGACGGATATCTCGCCTACGCCATAAATGATGCAAGTTAGCAAAAGCTAGTCGAGCCTCCTGTATCCGTGCTGAGATTTCTTCACACACCAGACCACAAGGGCTGATGAGACGTCCAAGATGAGTGAAGCAGTCGACACGCTCAACTACTTTACTCCATATCATTAGTTCGGGTGTCGATGCAACCCAATCCTGAAGCAACATTTTGCATTTCGAGGGGGAGAATCGCATCCCGAACATGCTTGCATTGTTGCTTAGATTGGTCAGAAGACTCTACATCTATGTCTATCACTTCTAAGGTAGCGGTACCTGGATAATTCTGGAGTAATGTGGAAGTCATGAACTAACCAAGTTTCCGTCACAACTATAATGAGTGGCCCCAACTTTTCCACTACTGTTCCTAGTTCATAGAATTTAATTCTTATGCTATGAGCCTTCGCATATAAAACTCCTAGGGAGAATGACTTATCTACACAGGCCTTTGTAGCATGCGCTTCCAAGACCTGACTATTCGAAAACCCATTAAGTGATTCTCCTCACCATTTTGTCGAAGGGTTTCTAGTTCAGTTAGTACCGTCTTCTTTTTATTCTATCTTCAAGATTCATGTCAGGTTTTACTCAAATGTCGGTACTTAGCAGAAGAGCACGTTGCTTCTCCGACCTAGGATTACCTTAAGGGGTTTATCTGGTCGGAGTTTAACACCGTAGTCCATCCTCTCATCTATTCCTACCAACTTTTTAACCTTAACTCCTTTCGAGTTATCTGGTAAGATTCTACGGATATATTCCCCGAGCTTTTCTAAATCATGCACGTGTCTAATTTTGAGGTCAGGGTCGTTTGGCTCTAGCAAACTACTCACAATAATATTCGATGAGATTAAATTCTTCTCAGTCATGCCAGAGTGAAGTTCTGTCTCACTGGCGAGACTATAATTTATGTACGAACCAATCATATTTAGGATAGCAGACCTTGGATTTTGGTGCGAAATTCATTCACCCATTCGGCTAAATGGAATCCTGGTATTATAGCGGATGTCAGTTCGTGATGAAAACCATAAACATAATTCCTGACCCCAACCATCAACTATAAATCAGAATCCTTGTTCTTCAAACTGCTTTATAACCCTCACTTGGTCCTATTAAGCAGGTAGACACTCTCAGGGTCACTTTAGCGTCGTTCAAAGGTCGTCCACAAATTATAGTCTCACCAGGACAGCTACACCAGGACTATTTGGAACGCTAACGGTTTTATCCAGGTCTTCAATTCCAGATGGATGCATGACTATTTATTTCGATATCGAGTGCTGCTTTACTCCTCGTTAGTTTTAAAAGAGATTTTACTTTTCCGTCAATCACAGTCAGGTGTTTTACGCGTCCCGTAAGAGCACATACTAAAGTGACACATACTTCACTGTCAGTATTAGTGTTACCAATGCAACCACCACCTTTCTTCTTACACGTCAGATACAATAACCTCCTGGATCAGTAACATCTTATTTGTACAGTAAAACATACAAAGCCAATGCGAGTCGGGCTTCGAACATCTTTAGTATGGAGTGGGACTTACACGGGTACACATCTTATAGAACAACTTTTTCACACTCGTCATATTGCATTCCTCCCTTCACGGGGAATAAACAATTTGGCTGTCCACATTTATAAGCAATGCCAACGATTTTAACCATATTAAGGTCTAAAATACAACATGATCACAATATGAACACAAGTGTTAGAGTCGATGAGAAAGAAAGTACAACAAAAAATTAGCGAAATTCCAAACCTTGACTGAAATACTTCGAGTTAAAGTAGACCACGAAAGCTTCTTGATGCAAAAAGTACACAAAAGCAGAGATAATCACAAGTACTAAGTCACCGCCTTTTTTGAAAACAGCGTAACTCTATGGCTTAATGAATATGCTTAGGCTAAATGAGGAAACGCAATCTATAACAACTAGTAATATCAAGCGTTAGGCTGAGACAACTTACTAATCAAAGTTAAGCTTGTTAACGTGATATTTCCAATCCGTAACAGTACTTGACCTTGACCTTGAACAAGGCGAAGCAGATTGGCGCAAACCAGCAATTTCAGATTTGTGCGATAAGGACATAAAGCCTATGGCCTATTTTATTCCTTTTCTAATATGCTTCTATAAGTGTCCAATCTTCTCTTGAATGAGTCATTTGAAGGTGCGGACACCACTGCTTCGGGTAGCAGTTTCTAAGTATTGATGACTCGATGTGAGAACCTGTATGCCACGGGTATTTCGTTCGTTCTTGACTTTTCTACTCTCATGCTATGTCCTCTGAGATGTTCCGATCTAGTGGGAAGAAAAAGAGAGAATAATTTGGGTCCAAAATCATTTCTCAGTATTCTGTACATCAAAATGGGATCTCCTCTTAGTCTGTGATAAGACAGACTAAAGAGGTTCAGCATTCCAAGCCGTTATTTGTATGGTAAACCCCGGAGTTCTGGAATCGCACTGGTAGATGCCCGCCCTACTTATTCTAGGATACCAGAGTCACTTTTTAAACAGGGGCTTGCAGCCTGAACGAAGTTCTCAAGCATAGTTCTCACTAAGGTTGTGTATACTATGGGGAACATGGTAGTATCTAAGTTATTTCAGAGGGTCTTAAACCCCTTCGCTGCAACCTTCCGGCAATGGGCCGTTGTCTCGCTGTCGCGCTTAGATCCCTATGAGACCGGACCACGGGTACTGCCACTTCCCCCATGCTGTACTTATCAACCTCTGTATCCCAAAAGTGCATGTAGACACACATTGCTGCGTTGATAGACATCAACCACTCTTTAGACCGGTTAATCATATTATTTAAGTCTGCCTGAAGAACATATGCATCTGTGTCTCCAGTTATTACTCACCAGATTTTTACATCGTCAGCGTATAATAACATTGGAGACTTCATTATACTTGGAAGATCATTTACATACAGTATGAAAAGTAAAGGACTTAGGACGGAACCTTGAGGTACTCCACCAAGTACTGGTCTCCAGATGGAGCACTTGGAATTTATTCTTGCTTAATGTCTATGACCTACTAGGAAATCCTTAAGCCATTTTAAAAGAGGTCCGGCAATACCACGTTTTCATAACTTCAACAGCAGTCTATTAGTTGGTACCATGTCAAAAGCCTTACTGAAATCTATGTAGACAACATTTACTGAGATTCCGTTGTCTAGTGTCTTCATCTGAAATCTCCTTGTTATAAGGGGGTTAGTTGTACAAAATAAAACCTTTCTAAAACCATGTCGTTCTCTGTTTAACAACTTATTGGTTTCCATAAATGCAATTATGGTCCGTTTTACTATTCTTTACAATATTTTAACCACAACGCTGATGAGGCTTACAGGTCTGTAGTTCGGTGGAAGTTGTCTTGATCCTGTTTTATGTATGGGAATGACGATCCAGTCCATAGGTAACACACCTTGGTTAAGTGACATATTGAATATCTCAGTCAGTGCGGAAACGATATATTGTGCGATAGTTTTCAAAATTTTGGGGTGTATTTCATCCGGTCCTGTCGACTTCTCCATGTTTAAGGTGCTAAGAGACTTAAGCCGACCGTCCTGATCGAAGTTCACGGTAAGCAGGTGTTTTATTGACTCTTCATTTTTGTCTGGTTTTTTTACTAGGGGAGGTTCCTGAGTGAAAACTGCCTCAAAATAGTCAGCCATAGCCTATGCTGCTTCCTGATCTTCCCCTAACATTTCAGATTCACTTCCTTCTTTAACTAGGTTGGGAATCCAATGATACATCTTTGTTCTGTATTTTATGTACGAGAATATTCTCTTTGGCTTCTTGAGTGCTGATTGTGCCAACTGCGTTTCATATTTCTTTGAGCTTCACGAATTTTTGTTCTAAACTTGGTTCTTACCGATCTGTAGTATTCAATCGTACCTGCTGTGCCAAGGCGGATGGCAACATCCCAACATTTTTTCCTTTGTCTTAGTAAACGTCTAATATTCCGGTCTATTCAGAGTTAGCCGTGCTCCTTCTTCTTTGGGACTGTCCAGGGTATGTATGGTTGAGTTACCCGATTGTATAACTGCCTGAAAAGGGTCCATGCCTCTTGTACTGATACCCTTGAGTTAATTTTCCAGTTTTCAGCAAATGCTGCGGAGTTTAGTGCTTCTATATCTGCATTCCATGTATCCTTTAACTGATATAATTTCACATTTGTAATGTCAAGATTAACATCTCAATGTTAAAAGCTGTCTTATGCAAAATAATGATGTTTCACATCAAAGTTGTCTTATACACAAAGTGAAAATATTTACCGCTTGTGAAAGCATAGAATCAGAAAACACTAATTCTCAAAATTTTTCGTGATAATTATTCAACAACCACACGCCCTTCGAGTCTAGCGTGACTTCGTTGATCTCTCATTAATAACCATTAATAACCACTTTTCCGTTACCATATTGGAATGTGTAAACACTTCAGACGGTAAGAACAGAGTCTTCACCTTGCTGAAAGAAGACCACGATGACAAATCTGACAACTGTAATCAAACTAAGGTTGAACTACTATATAGTAGGTCTAGCTGTCTCGACCGACTGGTCTCTTCGTCATTACTTCAACCGAAACATACACACTTATTTTCTTGCAAATACAGGGCTTGTGGACAAACCACCGGGTTCACGTGAAAGAACGAAGAACCACTGCGATTCCCATGACGCGAAGTAAGAACACTATCGCTGGTACAAGTGAAGATTTATTGGTCTCAAAACACAAAAACCTTAGTCGAGAATACACTCGAAATCTATTAATAAGAATAAAATAGCATTTATAAAAACTATTGAGTTTTCACAAAATCACATGCTATCTATCATACTGAGCGTACTTCACGTTAAATTTATAGAATATCGACTTAGCATTGGAATGTATCCTGTGTAAAGACAAAATTCACTGCCGATACTGCAATACCTAGACAATATTGTGGATTTGTGTTAAGTCACTCCTGCCTATTTGTTTGGTATGTCTGCCTGCAGTGTAGAAAAAATATACCAGCTGAATGAACAAGAGTGTCATAAGATTCCATTGGAGACAACCATAAGAGTTCCCACTGGTATATCCAAAACTTGAAACAGTGGCTCGAATAAGCACATGACTCTGGAACCCAAAACTTGAGCTCATACATAAATGAAACTGCCAGCCGTTTGCCAATACTCCAGTATCTGATAAGAGTAAAGAGCAGTGGGTGAGTGTTGGGAAGACGATTGGTGAAAGCATAGCGCAGCACATGTTATGGAAGTGATTTTATTGACATCTCACTGACCATCGGCCAAGCGATGATCTCAAATCCGACTTAGACACGACAAAACGTGGGACGTGGGAGGTATCGACAAAAGATCAGCAATGTCAGAGGACCAAGGGGTAAATTACAAGAAGTCAGAATGATAGCATATCGATCATATTTTTTCTTATCAAGAGTTGCATCCATTTACAAAGCTTTCCCAACCGAAGTAACCACAGTTTTATCAATTGGTAGTTCCAAGACGAGACTTGACGGACACATACTCACCTATAGATTACCATCTTCCTCTTGGACCATCTCTGTCTGATGTACATCACATATTTTACAAAGGTTATCACTACCACATATCAGTAACGGTTTCCTATATCTCTTATTATCATCTTCGTCTCCCTCCTTGTTCTTTAATTTCCGTTTTCCTACACACTACCGACTTATTTACTTACCTATTATTCTTAAAATAACAGCATCCTCTTGACACTCAAACCACCACTTTATTCTTTTCACAATGTATATAACCAGTCTTCTACATGGTAATGTGGTAGCTGCCTGTATCCAGAAACCTTGGTGATATAAGACAAAGGCACTAAACGTACAAGACAGGCAAATCAACAGATAATTAACAAACAACCTACAATAAGAGAAACTGAGTGGCTAGACTATCATCCACCGGATGTTGCTAAATACCTGGGACCGTTCCGAAATAACAAAAAACGAAATCAGTCGATTTATACAAGATACATGGCATTGGATTTGGCAGCGAAGAATAAGGAATGGAAGAAGAAGGGTGGAGCATTTTGGACATGTTTTGACAGACAAAAGAGCACTGATAATTATTTATTGTTTGGAGTAAGACCTTGGCGGTGACCGCGGATGGGATAAATCTGACCTTGTCTAGAGGACAAACTGGGGTTGAATAAAAAAAACGAGTTTTTCTTCGGAAGTTTAGTAAATGGGTGTTATTGACAATTTATCAGCCAAAAAGAAGATATCTTTAGGTTAATCGACTATTTGTATCCCCCAAGGGTCATCTGCATATCATAATCTCACTAAAATATAGTAGATAAAAACTGTTGAACGTGAATGATGGTCTATTGTATGTAAAATTTTGATTTATATTACGAAATGACATCATTCATAATGCAAGATTTCCTTTTTTCCTTATGGAAGGATTATGTTTGCTCTCAATTGTGATTGGTTCTCCCATGTGCTTGAATTCTACCGACATTTTTCCTGGGATACTGAGTCAGGCGATACTAGTTTACTGTTGTCAGTGATAAACCTGAATTGTACCTCTGATCCACTGGTGGATCACTAAAATGCTCCAAAGTCACGAGTTATATCAAAATAGGGTTAATAGTTGGTGTTTGGGATTTAGTTTAGAACCTTCATCACGATGAAGCAAGAATCCGTAAACCCTCTGCCTTAATCTTAGCACTCTAGATCATTTATATTCCAGCGACTCCTGATTGGCCAAAGAAGTCAATATCTCGAGATCATTCTGCTGTATTGTTCAGCTTTACCCTCCCGAAATCAAAAAAGTTGTCGGCGAGACTATAATCCATGGCCTAACAAGTCAGATCTAAGATTTCGGTTCCTGGACTTTGGTACAGAATTCACCCATACATATAACAAAATTACATTTTGGAACCACAGCTGATATCAGTTCGTGAAGAAAACCCTCATTTGAATTCCTAATCCCGACTTAAACGTCTAACATCTAGTCTCGAATCCTCACATGAATTTATATCCGTATTTCGACTGTAGCAAGTGGTCATGGTTCCCAAAGCTCTTTTATATCGCCCAAAGTTTTTTTCAAAAATTATAGTCTCGTCAATTGTTCCACTTATGTGCAAAGTCATTTAACATCAATTCATGCTTTTTCATTACGACTAAATATGACGGTTGCGGAAGTGGAGCACTACTTTTATAAGACCGTTAAGATCGCACTTAATTTATGTTTATAAAAATTCTGTTCTTTTTTCTGCTGATATGACTGTTTACTATGACTGAAATAACTGCTACTTATTGCAACAGAACATGTCAGTGCAAGAAAATAAACAAGGCCGTAGGTGAAGACTTATTTATTCACGTACCTTTAATTAATATAATATTAAAAGTAATGATGAAATGTGTATGCAAATTTTTAAATTTTCAGTCAACAGATAAGCAGTAATTTACATACTGTTATACACAAATCCTTATGTTCTTTCACTTTATTTTTTACCTAATCTTATTTCTTTCCAATGACCACCTGTATAAAAAACAGTCTTCTTTAAGAGTTTGGTTTTTAACCTGTTTTTGTTCTGGTTTTCAGTTATTTGATGCCGACTAAACACTATATCTGTTTACAGCCTTTCTACCGCTAAATGTCATCCATTGTAATTACCAGGCGTTAAAATGTCAAGTGGTTTGTGACTCACTTTAACAATCATTTTTTCGCATTAGTAAACCTGCACAGTGATTTATTCCTGCATTATTATAAAGCGTGGGGTGGAGTCGAAGATTATGAATCAGAGAACTTAGGGATACCAGGTTTTTTCCAACGTGTTAGTACATATTAAGATACTATTAACGTACTATGCAGGTACCACAAGATAATGAGATTTTACCTGCGAAATTACGGGAGGATGCTAGGTAGATATTTAAACAAACTATGATCATCATTAGGTCTGCTTTGTTGGAGAGAAAAAGTTTGAGATTGTTGTCTAATGTTGAACTTCAAGTAAGGTAGTTTCTGTTATACGTTGTTTCTGTACAAGGAGTTTTGGTATCTTTTGGAGCGCTATCATTCACCTCCTACAGTTAATGGTGAAAAATTCATGGACTATGAGAATTTTCGCAAGGCATCTAAGGAGGCATCTCCCAAGGCAAAGTAAGTATCAAATACTTTTTCCGGCTTGATTGGTTTTATTTTTAATCTGCTTTTAAGCATTTACGTTTTGTTTAGGCAACAGTTTATTGTGCAAGTCTGTTTTAAAGTATACCTTTTATGGTAATGAGATATTACGTTTGTGTTATTATGATCTGTAGAAGGTTAAATTCCCTACTTTTTTCAACGTGGTGTAGGTCCTCTCTTCAGAGGAAAAAAATAACATTTTTCGAATTAGGACAGGAATTTTTATTTTCTATCTATTGGAATATTATAAATACGTTGTTTTCTCATTATTATCCGTCCAACCCAACTTGTTTAAATTTGTCACGTCAAGTCTCCTTAGGGACGATCATAATTTGTCATGTCTAAGAATCCACCAAAAATTAAAGAGTTACGAGTCTCACAGATACCGAGCTATTTAAGCTCTTATAATTTTCAATAAAATATTCGTAAAATGCCTAGAAATGTAGGAGAAAAGTAAATCTTATTTCGACAAGCAAGCTTTAAAAGCGATATAGAACCTGAGACTTTAGTTCACTTTGCCACCTTTCTAAATATCACAACACAAATTCCAAAAGAGAGGCAAGATACAAAACTTACATGACATGAATTTTATTAGATTTACTTAAAATATTTATAGCTCAAAGATCATTCATTTGGTCGTTGTATCATGCACAAGCAATGATCTTAGATATTAATGATCAAAAACTTGTCATTAACCGTAGAAAGGTTCACGTAATCGCTCTAAAATCATTTTATCGCAACCTTGTAAAACGCGAACATTCATTTAGTCCTTTCATGTAGATATGATGATTATCGGTCAACGCTAGTTATCTCTAGTGGTTACTAACCTATCAACTACACTTTTTACTTATAACTACTACCAACCGATGTCAGGAATCAGCGTTAACTTATACCTTAAATATCTGTAAATTTTGTTTGTTTTTCATGATTGCAATATTTACAGTTACATGCTAATCAAAATTTACGAATGAATATATTTTAGGCAATATTTCACAGCAGCTACATTTGTAAAGTTACTTCGTGAAGATGAAGTTTTGTCACGTATTAATATCTTGACATTTTTCAATTATGTCATGAAGAAAGTATGGTTGCAACAAACACATGTTGGGATATCTCTTTATGATGTGTGCGGTGAAGGTTATTTGAGAGAGACAGATTTGGAAAACTATATGTTGGAACTTATCCCTACTTTGTGTCAGGTAACTTGTTCATTCTATACTTTATCGTGAATGTGACTGCTTTGGTGGAAGAATTGTCTTGATACCATTTAGGAGGTGATACTATTTAGTTAGACCACATGACATACTTTAAAATGTATTGAATATTTGGAAATGAACTATGTATTGTAATCATGAATTTCGTCAAACATGTGACTTCAATATCCTTCCTAATAAATATGTTACTCTGATAAGGTGATAGATCTGACGCGACCGAATGGCCAGTCCATACTTCTTGAGGCCCTCATTCATGCGCTTTTACATTGCTAAAAAAATTAACTAATGAGACTAAGACCTGTATTGGTTAATTTTTACAAATTATGAAAAAATTTAATTTCAAGCCCTAACACAGAATTTCATATCAACCAATTTTCTTTAACAATCAGGATCTTCCTTCAGCATTCAATGTTGTTTGATTTCACCTATTAACTCATTACAGTTTTTCCTTGGTTACTCTTACCCTATAAATGCTATCAGTGCATAGTGCATGAATAACTCAACTGTAATACGTAACCTTAGCTAAATAATCTAGCCACTCAGCTCCAATGGTTCAATGCCTTTCGGATATTACGGTTACTGTTACCCGCCCAACGAAGTGGTTGGAGCCCCATGGTTATTCGGGCAGAGAGAAGAGCTCAAAGTGACAGTACGACTGAACACTGAAAATTGTGTGGATAGGGATATGATATCAGTAGTATGAACGAATTTCTCGACCCACACCTCGTAGTGCAGATGTATTATATTGGCTTACACTACTCTTTTCTTACCACTTTCGAAAGCTTTTATGCAACCAAAAGCTCTGATAAGCTGCTAATAAGTTCTGTGGACAAACATAGAGTTTATCTGTACCTAAGTATGCTTCGTGTGCACATATTCGAATGCAGGTATCGGGGATACATACATTCCAGTGACGTACATATTGGTATAGATGGGCACAGCTGCTAGTATGTTAACATATGTAGAAAGCGAAGACAAGTCCACATCTTCCACAATTACATATAGACATAGAAGTTTCCGCTCGCAAGTATACAATACATGCATATATTGAATGCTTAAGCCAGGTCCGCAAACTCCATAGTGTGCACATAAGCATAGATACGAATGCCCCACGCCCTCAAGCCCAGCAGCATTTCACTGAATGAATATTGAGTATTCAGGTTAGCATTTAAATCGTCATGGATGATGACCTCACTTCATGCTCTTACCATAAACCGGTTTATTGTCGACCACTGCACTGGTGACGGCACAGATCATGGCCTACGCTCTGATCCGCCCTTGCCAGACCTCATGGGCCTCTCCAGACTAGTCTGTACAGGCACCAAAAGAGAAGTTCTCTCCAATACTACAGCCATAAATCCAATTCAAGTCAATCTCTCTTCTCCTATAATCAATGTTTAGACAGAATGGGTGACTATTCCGATCTCTGTCTGACGGTGGTTGGTCAGTCCGGTTTTTACTGTGTCGCTTGCGTTATTTCATGGGGAAAGAGATCACTCACTGTCCAGAGAACACTACGTGGGAGTGCAAGTCTTACTTTGCCCTCCTCTCAGATGTTGCTTCCTTAAATTCTGTTTTACTCAAAAACCACTACACAGAATTTAACTTTACATAACCAAGACTCCTGGATTATGACAGTAAGTTCTCATTTTACAAACACTAAAGTTTGGTTGACTACAGTACGTCAGAATCATTTTCATTGTCACATTGTCCCTCAAACTTTTGCCAGCTTTTAAACCTTAATTTTGCCCATGTTTAATAGGACTTGACTATGTTCATTTGATAATTATGAAATTTTTTAAACCCTTGAAATGCTTCCTAAATGTTAAAAAAATTTGTATTCCTTACCCAAAAATAACTTTAGCTATCAGAGTTGGAGCCAACGTTCCAAACATTCTATGTATGCACGGCTGTACGAAAGTTCTTCTTTTTCCTTGATCCTTTACGTTCGGGTCGTGTGCGTATCACTGACATTTTAGCTAGTGGATTTCTAGACTCTATGCTTGAATTACGTGAAGTAACTACATCAGAGGCACAATTGGCCGCTAATTGGTTTAGTCATCAATCAGCTGTACGTGTTTACGGTAGCTATTTGCTCTTAGATGAAGATCGAAATGGCTTGTTAACACGCAGTGAATTATCACGGTAAGATAAATAACATTTAGCATCTCATAAAGGTTATTTTTACTGTAGGACTTTATTAATCTTTCTGATCATTCAGTTTTTAACTCTCCATTGTCATCAGTTTTTATACAGTGACATGTTCTGAACTGGACACCTTTTTCGGTTTCAACCACTTGACGAATACAGGCTAAATTGTTTAAACACAATTTAGTGATGATGTTTGTAACTGACCATTTACAATACCTTACACATTATGGTGTCTTAATCACTAATTTTATTATAGCTACAATTTTCCTCATTATTTGATGTATATGATCTCTGTTTTAATCTGAATGCTTGACTTTGTAACGGTATTTTTAAACACTCTGTTTAATAACTTGTAACAGCGACATTTGTTAGTGATAAGTTTTTGGTATGTAAATTAAATATGTTTAAAAAGTGAATAATCAATTATGCGCTTTCTCTAAAGTCCTATGTTTGCCCTGTTGACGATTGTTACCATTCAAAACTCCGTCAAAGTGCGAAAAAATTAGTGTGAGAAAATGTCTTTTCGTCTACACCTACGCCCCCACAGATGGTAACTCGAATACGATGATGGATGAGTTTTTTCACCAGTCATCTGTTCTTCTACGGAAAATGCGTTCGACAGATATTGTAGTACTAGCCGGAGACTTGAATGCTCAGGTCGGGCGTCTAGATACAGAAGATAGTCGTTTAGGTAGCCGATGGGGACTTGCTGGTTGCAGGTCAGATAACGGGGACCATCTACTGCAACTGTGTGCAGACCAAAACCTGTTTCTGGCTAGCACCAACTACTGGCACAATTGGTTGCAATTACATGACCCCATGAAAATGAAGATTAAAGTCGCTGGCGTCTTCGTGAAAATGTCCCCCTTACAAGCAGTCGATTTCTACGGACTCTACAACTTATTGAAGCACACCGATCTACGCCGAGTGACCGCGAGTTTGTTCCTAAACGAAGACTATTACATAATAAAGTTGGAAAAAGCTTGCGTAAAGACCGAGAAGTCTGGTGGTCGGAGCCCTCAGGTCACTAATGCCACCTCTAATCCAATTTCATTTTCAGGTACCTCCAGTAGAACCCTTGCACGGTGTGGGCGTATGGGAAGTTATAGCCGCCCTCATACTTCTATCAGCACTTGAGATCACTGAGGCAATTTGTGATGATGGTGGGATGCCAATCAATAACATCTTTCTCCGTCTTGGACGACGGGCAGAGTTCAAGGAGCAGCTCAACTGGTTTTCTGCTTCGGGGACATCTATCAGACTGTCCTACCCTCCATAGACGGTGACGACTGATCCACCTACCGAAGTGGAAATCCTCGAAGAACTCCAACTCTTGAGGCTGCACAAATTACCAGGCCCAGATGACTTACCCCCGGACCTTTTTATAGATGGTGGAAACTTTCTGGTTAAGGATCTGACTGAGTTGTTTACCTACTTCTGGCAATTAGTGAGTGTTTCAACATCGTGGAATGAATCGACAGTTGTCCCTATCCTTAGAAAGGGTTCATGTTTTTTCTACAACAACTATCATGAGATAAGTCTACCTCCGATTGTGTCCAAACTATTGGCTTCCGTCTTATTTCGTAGGTTGTTCAAAACCCTAGAAAGATTGACTCGTGAGGAGTAGGCTGGTTTTCGTTCTGGTCCAACATGTATTAACCATATCTTCACTCTCCGCCAAATGTTAGAACACCGTCATACTTATCAAAGGCCAACAATCGTAGTGTTTCTTGACATCAGGACTGCCTTCGATTCGTTGGACAGGACTTCTCTCTGGGATTGTCTATTGAAGAAGGGTATGCCTGAGAAGTTTATTAACATTATAAAGGCCTTGTATACAAACAGCTCAGACAGAGTGAGGGCATACAACCACCTCTTTCCATTGTTCTATTCAAACAGTGGGGTTAGACAGGGTTGCCCAATCTCACCATTCCTCTTCAACTTTACTGTTGATGATATTCTGGAACCGGCTCTGATGGGTGTAAGTAATGATGTTGTGGATCTGTTGCTTGGAGAAGGACTTTTTGACCTTGATTATGCGGATGATATTATTTTACTGTGTGATAATATCCAAGCCATTCAATCCGTACTTAATCAGTTGGCAATCAGTGTCCGTAAGTATGATATGTGCTTCACACTTTCTAAGTGCAAAATACTTTTACTAGACTGGCAGAATCCTAATCCTGCACTCACCCTGGATAGTGAGTAGCTAGAAATAGTCGAAAAGTTTGTGTATCTAAGTAGCTGCATAAGTGCTGGTGGTGGCGTGAGTGATGAGTCAGTCAGTCAGCTACAACGTGATGAGATCAATTCACGTATAGTGAAAGCCAGAGCGACTTACGTCAATCTGGGTCATCTTTGGCGCCTTCGTTATGTTAGTTTGGCTGTAAAAGGTTGGATCTACAACGCGTCGGTGAGGGCGATTTCGCTGTATGTTTGTGAAACCTTACCTCTCCGAGTTGAGGATGTTAGACGACTCTCTGTGTTCGATCATCGCTGTCTCCGAAGGATTGTTGACATCCAGTGGCAACACCATGTTAGTAGTGCAGAGGTTCGGCATCGTGTTTTTGGGTACAGAGACGATAATTCAATTGGTGTCACTATCGTGAAACATCGACTTCTGTGGCTTGGTTATGTCTTACTAATGTCGTCCCGGAGAATTTCACGTCGTGGTTGGGAAAAGTGGAGAGGTGGTCAGTGTATGACATGGTGTCGTAGTATGAAAGAAAGCTGTACAGAACTGGCTTCTGTTGGTCCTTCATGACTCTCTAGTTGGAATCCTTAACATAGTGTAATATAATGGCCTGCGATGTTACTAAACTTGTCTTAGAATAAAAGCCAGTGAAGATCCTGCTGTAATTTTGTTTTATTTTCTTCATAAAAATGAACGTAACTTCTCTGACTAAAAGGATTTTTTCTGATTGTAGTTTTGCTAATTGAACTGTTTCTCTCATTATTATTATTATTATTATTATTATTATTATTATTATTATTATTATTATTATTATTTGACTCTCACATACTAATTTCTGTTCATCGTTGTTCTTCGTTTTTGCCACATACAATTGACCTCTCTCTCTTCACAACCTCATTGTGTGGCACATATGTATTTGGTGCTCTCTTGTACCAAGGTTTATGTGTTCAAATAAATAAGTAACCATTCAAAACAAAATCCAAAACTTCTTGTCAATTTTTTTCAAAACAATTGACGTAGGAATATATTACGGTCTATTCAGTCTCATAATTATCAAGATTTGTTCATTTTATGTGTTCATTTTAATTATGAACTGACTTGGGTTTGTGAACCACTGACAATCCAGTAGCACTAAATTACTTGTTCATCTTCGCTTGGAACTCTTTATTTTTACTGAACTATAATCTCAAGATAGATTAGATGCGGGAAATTCTCTCTTTGTTACAAATAGGAAACTATGTCTCATTTTCTGTGGTTTTTATCTATTTGTGATATAGCAGCAACATTATCCTTTTTACTCTTACATAGTTTCGCTTAACGGATAAAGTCTTTCAAATCAAGTTACCACTACAAATTTAACTACTATCCAATTTAGGCAAATAAATGATGTTTAAGAGTAAGTGTGTTTAAGAAACTCAAAGTCTATTTCGAAAACTTAAATTGTAAGCGTGCTGAACTGTAATGATACAAATTTATTTTCTCTATGGGATCCAGACAATAAGTATTACTATATTTTTGAGGATCCTTTATTTTTCTCTTTTTTTTATCCCTGTTTGAGACTAGTTATACTGATTTGATTTTTGGCTCTGCCATTTCCAAACCAATAATTTAAATGATTGTTTGTCAAGTGGTCTGGTGACTTCGATTGATATCACCAACGAAGATGTTGATGCGATCTGTAAAGATTAGCATATGACTGTAAAGTTCGGTTTGTGTATTATTTTGTCGCTATCGAAGAGTATTGGTTTATCTATCATTTTTCTAAATTTGTTGTAAAGATTTGGAAATGGTACATTGACCGACGTATTTCTCGATCGTGTATTTCAAGAATGTTTAACTTATGAAGGTGAAATGGTTAGTCTATTTTTTATTTACCAAATTTGCATTCAAATATTGCTGTAATATTAATTCTATGATATTTTCGCCTTTCAGAAATAAATGCATATTTCAGTGTTATCCTACGTAGTGAATTCGTCACCATTTCTTATGATTACTTGCATTACAGCATTTCTAGTAGATAAAGGGTATGCTTATTGATGCTACTGTTCAGTGGTCAAAAGGATGGGTTACTTTCACCAATGGTAAACTCTTAAAACGTATCGAGCTAATGCCACAAAAACAACTCACTAAAATCCAGTATGCAATCAGTACTTGACTCCATCTTCTTCGTCTTGAAACCTTTCTTTTTACTTTGACTTCCTCTCAACCCTGTCATCAACCTAACCTTTTAAACTTGATCTTCTCTTTGTTGTTCATAGGTGCTAAAGATCCAAACGCATGGAAGATTATCCCTCCTTTCTCGAAGCTAACTGATGAAGCTAGAAAAAGCTAGGGTCTAACTGATCAATATTGATATTAATCCTTAAAGTCACTAACTATTGGATGAGAAGTCAAGAAGTTCAAACTTCTTTGTTGGAACCCACATCATAGTCTTTATTTATGTTTGGGTACTTTTTATTCCTTTCTTATCCTCCTTTAAATTTGCAGCTTACTGCTTTTCTATAGTTTTTTATTTTACAACTCCATTTCTACCTTCCAGACTAAATTTCTTATATTTACTGTTTCTCATTTTCTCCCATCTACCTTGGCTTGGTTAGCCAAGTGGTATCATGTACCCTCACACAAACGTGTGGCTCTGGCCTTAATTTGAGTGCCTATTATACTAAGTCTTCTATTTGTTACAATCAAATCAAACCGTTTAAAATGGGTAAACATGATCTCAGATACGTTTTTGACCAAGTATTATATCTATTTATTGTGGAATAGTAGTTTTGTAGATAAGGCGTTATGTTTCCATCCACAGAGTTTCGGGTTTACGCTTGCTCCACGTACTTTGAAAATTTGCTTGATACCACCTCTCATCACGAAAAAATGATGGATTGTAGCCCCGAGCCACATGGTTCTGTACTTGGTCGCCTAGTTGTATTAAAACCAGTTATGTATTTAGTTATTATCCTTAGTGGTTAGTTGTGAGGTTGTCAGATTGTTACAAATGAAATCCATACGCGATTGTTATAATTTGTCACAGTAGCGTTATGATTTCCTACTCAAAAGTCATTTTTTATGTCTTTACCAGGACTACAAAACTTATTTAGACTTGGTTTTGGCTATGGAAAATAAACATGAGCCGCAAGCAATTGCTTATCTTTTTCGTATTCTTGACGTTGGTGGTCAAGGTAAACTGACTTCACTAACATTACGGTATTTTTATGATGGAATCGAAGACAAACTACGTGCTTCAGATAATGATATACCAAGTTTTGAGAATGTATTAAATGAAATCTTTGATATGGTACGACCAGCGAATCCCCATTACATCACTTTAGATGACCTTATCAATTGGTAAGTCCATGCTGGTTTTTAAAAATCTGGAGTTTCATATATATATATATATATATATATATATATATATATATATATATATATATATATATATATGGCTTGCATGAACTAGGTTAATTATTTTGATTTTATATTCGTATTGAGCCTTCATTAACTCACACCCCTTAGTTCAGACAATGCCAACTGTAATTGAACTGTTGTATTTACTGAATGGTAAAACACTGAATTTAGTATGAATAAATATATTTATATGTTAATAGGAATTTAGCACTCACTAGTCATTAGTTTATAACTAGTAGGATTACTGCGACTTTATAAATTACTAGAACTATGAATAAACAATCAATGAAAATTGTATTTACCATAAATTTATTTTATGGATTTATCACGATTAGATCGGAATAGTAGTGTACTAGAGGAATATTTCGAAGTTTTTCGATTCTGTTATATTTTGTGCTTAGATTCTTGATATATCGCGTATAACTTGGGCACTCGAACGCTAGAACCCTCTGAAGTCGCAAATGAGGAAACAGAGGATAAGTGAAAGGAATGCTATTCCAAATAGTGTCTATTATTGTACAGAACTGTCAGGTATTTATAGTTTTTGATAAAAGCGAAACCATCATTATAGTCCTCTAATCCACATACAGGGGGTTATTAGAATTTGTCTGATAGGGAAGTACCACTTAGGGATTCTGGAATATTCTTCGGAAGGATGATTGTATGGAATATCTTCGTCTCTTCTCGAGCTTCTTAGGGCTCCCTCGAGTTCGCCCGTGGACCGTACTCACACCTCCACTTCTTAAAGTCTGTTGTGCAATACTTTTTTCGGTTCCACCTGAAACTTGGTTACTGCATTCCTCTTGTAGTTCATCGTTCTCGCAGGTTGTACCGCTTTGCCCTTGCATCTTTTATCTCTTCTACATTCGCACTCCTGAGAGCTTTTTCGAGATAAATCCGCGAGCAATTGAAACGTGAGTCAGCTTTGTGGGATCAATGTTCTGCCATCCCTTTGAACTTGATTTACGTGTCTTATACACGTTCCGACATTTCTTTGGATTAGGTACAGTATATTTCCGATCCGACGTTCTATAACGCCTGGTTCCCACTTTATATCACCTTGATACAATTTGACAAGTACCCTATCGCCCACTTGGAAGCTACGGGTGATCGTACGATACTCATTCGTGGGTTTATTTGTCTTTCTGGTAGGCAACATACTGTTAAAGACTGTCCGGATTTTCCTTCCGAGCATACACTTGGCTGGTGACTTTCCTTCTCGTACTGCAGGATTGCGGGTAACTATGTAAGACATTAGGAACTTACTGACCGCTTGTTCTGGGATACCCTCTCCCCCTTTAACCAGAGCTCTTCTTATCGTATCCACGAATCTTTCTGCTTGGCCATTCGACTGGGGATAGTACGGAGGTGACTGTAGGTGCGATATGCCATTTTCACTGCAAAACTGTTTAAAAGCAGATAACGTACTATGAGTGCCGTTGTCAGTCACTAAGACCTCTGGAACCCCAAAACAAGCAAACAATCTTCTTATTGTGCTCTCTGACGTCGTTTTCTGCATGTCATATACTTCCGGCCGTTTTGTGAAAGCATCGACAACAACCACGTAATTTCTGCCTTGTATTGGACCGGCAAAATCAGCGTGTATTATTTGCCAAGGCCCGTTTGGTTTTAGCCATGGTTGTGGTGAAGCTTTAGTCGGATTCTTTGCAGCCTCTAGACAGGACCAACAACACAGTTAGCTCATAGAGTGCATCTAGAGAAAAATTAAATATTGCCGAAGAAATTTGCTGTTCAGTTTCAATTGGAAATGCGAAGACAAACGCAACACTATATCTCACAGAGAATCCAGGACTAGATTTGCTGGGTCTAGACGTAGTAGAAACACTACAGCTAGCAAACCACTCCATTAACCACATATGCAGCTGCACGAGAACCAACAAATCAGCGGAAAAGAATCTGAGGAATGTTGTGTTAGCCAAGTGTTCACGGAAGAATTGGGGGAATGCAAAAACGTAAAAGCGTTACTAATTCCTAAACCGGAAGTCACCCCCGTTTTTAGACCAAAACGTCCGGTACCTTATGGAGCGCTACCTATTGTTGAACAAGAATTAGAGCGCCTACAAAGAAGTGAAATCATAGGACCAGTGAATTCTTCTGATTGGGCAACATCAATAGTGATTGTTAAGAAGCCTAATGGAAGTATCCGGCTATGTGTAGATTATTAGGCTGGATTAAACAAAGCACTTGAAGCCCATCTGTACCACTTGCCACTACCAAAAGACTTATTTGCGAAAATGAATGGGGAAAAGTGTTTTGCAAAACTGAGTCTATCAAAATCTTATCTACAGATTCCAGTAGCAGAAGAGTGTAATTATTGCTTGACAATAAACACGCATAAAGGTTTGTTCTGATATAAAAGAATTCCGTTTGCACTATGCTACAAAAAATAACGTCCCTACTACGTTAGGGTAATATTTCGTATGTTTGGTTCACTTGGCATGTTTTAGTGCGGTAAAATAAATTCATCATTTTCCAAATGTCAATTTTATCCCTGACGAATCAGCACTTGTATCCGATACTTTGTTGACTAGCTAGTCAGCTCACAGTAGTCATTATAAAATGACCCTGATCACTGGTATATGTTCAGTGAGTTAGTAAGCACTAGGTTATTTTCATTTACAATGATTATCTGCGATCCCACTTCGTTGAGTGTATTTTTTTAGACTTTTATAATACTTCCTCACAAAAAGCACTATTTGATTGATTGTTTACTTCTGTTCTTGTCTTATATATTTTTCTTCCCACATATGTTTATAATTTGGAGTTTTTGTTCATATTTATATACACAGTGGTAAGGGCGACACCGTAATAAACATATTGATTGATCTCCAAGGCTTTTGGGCCCATGAAAATCGTGAAGCTTTCACTTCCGAAATACCAGATGAAGCAGAATTGTAAATCGGATTTTGATTATTCACTGATATCCAGCATTGCAATCAGTGTTAATTTGCTCAGTGTATTGTTACTGAAAAAAACATTGATGAACTTATATACTTGTTAGACAATTGAACACTTCTAAACTATCGTAACGTGCCTATACTTAAAAATATACGGGACGTTTGCGAAGTATAAAGGTAGTTCTCTGTTTCTCACTCACTATTTTCCGTTTTTACAAAGCAGTTAAAAATCAAAATTTCATACATACAACTTCATTTCCATGCTCTAGTTAAACACTACGTCACGTTTTGTTAATTTGTTTATGAAACTATGCTGTATGATTGCTGAATATACGTTCCATAATAGTAGTATTTCACGACCTTAGGGCTGCATTTGACACTGTTGATCGTGCGGTTCTATGGCAGTGTTTGTCATGGAAAGGAGTACCAAAGAAGTACATTAACCTTGTAATGGATCTCTACTGGAACACAACTGGTCGTGTGAGAGCTCATGGCGAACTGTCATCAGAATTGATTACCTCAAGTGGTGTTCATCAGGGCTGCCCACTCTCTCCATTCTTGTTCAACCTTGTCATCGACGTACTTTTAGACATTACACTTTCCTCATCTAAATTTTCAGTAGTTGAACTTCTACCATGAGATTCACTTGTTGAATTGGAATATGCTGATGACATAGTTCTATTTAGTGAAGACTGATAAAATGCAGAATCTTCTGACCACTCTAAGCATCAATGCAAGCATATTCGGCATGCGATTCTCCCCCTCGAAATGCAAAATGTTGCTTCAGGATTGGGTTGCATCGACACCCGAACTAATGACATGGAGTAAAGTAGTTGAGCGTGTCGACTGCTTCACTCATCTTGGACGTCTCATCAGCCCTTGTGGTCTGGTGTGTAAAGAAATCTCAGCACGGATACAGGAGGCTCGACTAGCTTTTGCTAACTTGCATCATTTATGGCGTAGGCGAGATATCCGTCTACCAACCAAAGGACAGATTTACTGCGCAGCAGTTCGTTCTGTCCTACTTTATGGCAGTGAAACATGGCCGATGAGAGTAGAGGTTATTCGTAGGTTACTAGTATTCGATCATAGGTGTCTTCGAAACATTGCTCGTATATCCTGGGACCATCGAGGAAGTAATGCAGTTGTTAGGAAACGGGTACTAGGTAAGGATGGGAAATCGATTGATGAAGTGGTGAAACTTCATCAGTTGAGATGACTGGGACACGTGTTACGTATGCACAACCACCAACTGCCTCGACGTGCGATGTTCAGTGGTATAGGAGTAGGTTGGAAGAAAGCTAGGGGTGGCCAGACCAAAACATGGCACAGGTCTATGAAGTCACTGACAAGTGGACTGAGTCATGTTGATAGGTGTAGACTACCTGGTTGGGGACCGCGAGATGATAGCAACCGATGGTTAGAGATCTTGGATGACATGGCTCAAAATCGTTTGCATTGGCGCAAGTGCATTCACTCTTTGTGTTCTCCCAAATTTTAATCATCTGAATTCTTTATGTCCCTTATTTTCTTTCCAAATTTCACTGTATTATACTCCTTGAATAACATCTTCAAACCCTAATCTTTTCGATTACTGCTTATCCTCTTACTACCTCTACCACTGCGGAATTGCAGTCGACAAGTGCATCCCTGTGCTGATGTGCTGTGTCAACTCGAACTGATGTACGTACGTACGTACAAAACTCTACGTTCTTACTGACTGACTTGTCATAAACAAAAGCGACTATCGTGAAAAGCTCGTGAACATCTATCAATGGGAACATACTTAGAGATTGATTAAAAATAAAATCTAATTAAAAATAAGTGGGCTTGTAAAAGGTTTAGATTTATATATTGGTGTTTCCCTATAATTTACTTTATACCCTAAACCCAATACAACCTCACGATTCTGTGGGCTACCGAAATTCACTAGCCTGACACTACTTTAAGATCCATAGTGAACTTCACAAATACTCTGACGCATGTTTTATCTAAATATCTAAGAAGCATACTGAAGCTACCTGGAGTCCCTCCGGGGGCTACCGCCGGTCTCAAGCCCGGATAAAGCAGGAGGATTGGGTATGGGGTTAGCATCCCCATCCCGTAGAAAGCTAACTCGTCAATAAAACGCCAATCACAAAAAAATTATTCAAACCTTTTAAACTCTGCCCCGGGAGTCAGAAGGCCTTCATTTAGAAGAACTATAACGCCTCATGATGAAAGCCAAGTTCCTTCGGAAGTCACGAGGTCGATCCCCTTCTGAAAACCAGAGCAACTATTTATTTAGGCACATGGAATACTCGTACAATGTAGGCGACAGTGAGAGCCTCACAATTGATTGATCACTGGGTGGTGATCAATGTCTATGTCATGCTTGTCTAGTCCTTATTAGTGCAGATCGAATACTGTCGATCGTGTTGCAATGTGGCCACCAGTCTAGGTGACTCGACACTGCGGGCACCATGTATTGAGATTTAGATGGTGGTTGGAGGTAGTCAACAGGAAACCCTGGACCCGGGTTTCGTGCTATTTGGCACTTGTCAGCAAGGTGTACCTGTAATCTTGAGGGAACTGGTGCTCCCTGGCGGATTCGATCTCGTGTCACCCAGCTACACAGTCAGAGACGTTACCACTGAGCTATCCGAGCCGTGACTATCCTCCTGTAGGACTGACATGTAATCACAATTGATTGATCACTGGGTGGTGATCAATGTCTATGTCATGCTTGTCTAGTCCTTATTAGTGCAGATCGAATGCTATCGATCATGTTGCAATGTGGCCACCAGTCTAGGTGACTCGACACTGCGGTGACTATGTATTAAGATTTAGATGGTGGGGAAGAACAACCCAGATCCCAGCGGAGGAATAAATCAGGAAGAAGCGCTGGAAGTGGATGGGACATATATTGAGGAAATCACCCAATTGCATCACAAGACAAGCCCTCACATGGAACCCTCAAGGCCAAAGGAGGTGAGGCAGACCAAAGAACACATTACGCCGGGAAATGGAAATAGACATGAGAAAAATGAACAAGAATTGTATGGAATTAGAAAAGAAAGGTTTAGGACAGAGTGGGTTGGAAAATGCGGGTCGGCTGCCTATGCTCCATTAAGAGTAACAGGCGTAAGTAAGTAATACTGAAGCCAGTTCAACACAGACTATTTAATGTCGTAAAAGATTCATATGAATTCAGACCGAAGATCTCGGAATTATTTATCAACAAGAACAGAGCAACAGTAAGCTATGATGTATCTTTAAACACCAGAATCTCAATTGATAAATGTCGAGACTTCTTTAATAATGTATTAAAGAATCATGATACCCTGTCCATTAAATATGAATGCCATTATCAAATTCCTCGAACTATACTTCGATATAAACAAATGAATGGAGCAGCCATATGATCTCTAGTATCTCCGATTGTTGCTTATTTATAGTGTCTCGTGCTGAGTCGCTTATTTTTACCAGTACCATCAAACCACACATCTGGCTCGGATATTTAAGTGACACACTTCTCATTATTAAAAAGACTCCTTAAAAATTTCTCCAAAAAGATCGGCACGTTCTAAAAAAACATCAAATCAACTTCAAAAAAGAAAATGGATATAGTGAACTGCCATTCTTAGACTGTCTACTTAAACTGAATCCTAATGGAAATCTAACCATATACCGAAAACGGACATATTCAAGTCGGTATATTGGTTTTAACTCAACTTACTTATGCAGTGCAAAACCTTCCCTAGCCTAAATCTTTTCAGAAGAGTAACCAACATCACTTCAGAAGATAAGGCAAGAGGAAAAGAGGATATTGAAAGAGTATGACAGAGAAATATTTTGCAAACTATTGTAACCTTGCGGCTCCAACAGAACGTATTGAATTTATTCGCTTGCTGATAGCTATCAGTGTCACCTCGTGTAAAAGGTAGTATAGATTTCGCTAAAACGGCAGATTTAATGATATCGTGTGGGGTTTTAGAGATTGTTAAATGTTATATAGATCGAAAATCGGCAGGAGTAAGGAAATTGTCGGAAAAAAAGAAGTACTTGATAGCTGTTTAGCTTTGCAATATAACGTTTTAACAGTGAGCATTCAGTAACCCAAGTATAATGCAAGATTATTAGCCCTCTCGATGGCCATCTAAAGTTTAGGCTATTCAGCCACCACAAAATGATCAACACGTTCAACTCCAATCGATAAGGTATACTTTTTATCTTTTTATAATCTTTGGTGGGAAACTGCTTCATCTGATATGGTCGCACGCCAATAGGTAGGACATCTCCCTAGAAGTCCGGATATTTTCTTCACAGACCGGGAGGTTCCGGATTTGTTTTCTGGTGTATTCATGGGTGCACACCACCTCTCTTTAAAACTAATAACTTTAATACTAAGAACATGTGCAGAGATAAAAAACAAAGTCGCTAATAAAGCTGAGTAGCAAATTCTTTGAAGTTTGCTTTTGTGAAAGGGGTTTTTCTCGCTGGGCTAACGGAAAACAAGTAATGATTTGATAAGAGTGTGTAACATGCTAGATGCGCTGTATCATACAACATGAACTTCCTAATTTGACTCCTGTACCACACTCTGCAAGCTGTCATCAGAAAATTTAAAAGTGAGAATGCAAGCAAATCCTTCGTTTTTTTGACAAGTTTTCTTCATCCCGCATGCTTCCTAGACTTCGGGGACCACGATCATCATAATGGACCGTTTCGAGAGGAAGCTCACACTATCATGTGTTACTTATGAATTGCCGTCTCTGTATCGTTTTCCTTACCTTCATTACAGCCTAGAAATTGTAAAACTTAACTAAGATTTCCTACCAACAACAGGGGCTGGAATTCCAAACAGTTGGATGTGTCAGCTTTACAGGACAATCTACAGTAGGTGGATTGGGAAATTCACGCTCAACGTGATGTGGATGCTCATTGGGATTTCTTACTGCACACATTTGTATATACTAAAAGGCAGTTTGTCCCGCTAACGGTCCTCAAAATCTACGAGCGATCTACAGTCATCAAGAACCGCACTTTTTGTTTGCTAAGTCGCAAGAGGCACTGCTAGGCGGAATAAAAACGATCCAGTAAAAACGGTGCATATAGACAATTCAGATTAATAAGGAACATATACACATAAACAATAAGAGACAGGCTTAATTATCCGATAAAAACCTAACGATAAATTTGTCTCCAATCTCGAAAGTTTATTCCGTTATGCAGCCTCTCTCTGATGAGCTAAAACCTGAGTTTCCTAGCCTATACACTCAAACAACAACGACGATCACGTCAACGGTCTTCTGGCTAGACAGCACTGTCGGATATTTCGAATGATCCGTACTAAATATACTGATGAGGACATTAACCTGCAACTCAACAGGACTCCGGAAAGTGAATCTGAGCTCTTATTTGGTGAGATAGAAACTTCAGCATTTATAAAGGGACACTTCTCCTAGCCTGGATATGGTCTACTCTACTATACCGAGGGAGGCAGCTTTAATCTTGGTAACACTGCTTAACGTGATATTATCACATTTGCTAGGCCGAGGTAAATTACCGGAAAATTAGAAGCTGGCTCATATCATACCAATATTCAAAGGAGGTCGATGCGGCGAACATCTCCCTACACACTCAAAAGTTATGAAGTTTTTGATATGTAGTGGTCTACGTGACTATCTACTACCTACAAACTTCTCACCACCTTACGGTTTTAGAAAACGTCACTCGAGTACAATCAACCTACTGATCACAGTGGACAGATGGACAACCATCCTTGGTCTCAAGGAGAAGGTTGATGTCATAAATGTTGACTTCTCAAAAGCAGTGATAGGGTCAGCCTTATATATTATACCAATAAGCTCGAATGAATAGGTATCAAATTGATTGGCTAACTTTATAACTAAATAATCGACATTTTAAGGTTAGAGTTAACTTCACTTTCTCTCGGGTTATGATATGTGGTAGTGGGGTCGGTCCCCCAGGGTTCAGTACTAAAACCCCTTCTTTTCTTGATTTATAAGAACGCTCTTCCGCAGCAATTATCGTCAGATTTGTTTGCTTTTCACTGGTGTGAAGTATGCGACCAAGACAGTAGATTGGTACTTCAAGAGAATCTGATTCGATTTTAAAGTTGGGCAGACGATAACGAACCTACCTTTAACAATTCAAAGTGTAAAGTAGTTCACCTGAGACATTTTGCAGATTACAAACACAACCTATGCAACTTGCCTTTAGAGGTGCCCCAAGATGAAGAAGATTTGGGAGTGTTGGTATCCTATGATCTGAATTTTTACGATTACTTACTTACTTACTCCTGTTACTCCTCGTGAAGAAGCATAGGCCGCTCACCAGCATTCTCCATCCAACCCTGTCCTGGACAATCCTTTCCAGCTCCTTCCAGTTCCTATTCATCTTTTTAATATCTGCTTCTGTTATCCGACGTAATGTGTTCTTAGGCCTTCCTCTTTTCCGCTTCCCTTCAGGATTCCAAGTTAGGGCTTGTCTCGTGATGCAGTGTGATGATTTGCGTACAATGACTGCGACAATAATGCTTTCGCGGAAACCGTGCATTTATAAAATTGACGGACATTTTCGGCCATTTCGTCAGAAGAACTTTATAATTAATCTCCGATAGTCTTATTCGACCCTACATAGAGCATGGAAACAATAGTCTCTCCTCACTTCAAAAGGATAAGAATACTTTAAAACATATACAACGACGATCAACGAAATCAGTTCGCAGGCTCAAATTCAAGTCTTGTGAAGAGCGCTCACAATCACAGAACTGTTATCCATTAGAGTGACTTTCTAATGACCTGTAGCATCCTAAACACCTTTAGGCATCCCCTTTAACACATAACTAAGCTTAGTCGCAACACAAAATTTAGGGGTAGCAGCCAGAAACTGCAGACACAAAACGGCTGGATGGACCGTGGGCACACCTTCTAAGCCTTAGGGGTAGTTAAATTCTGGGACCCACTGCCGACTGAGCTAGCCAAAGAGATATAACAGGAGTCTTTTGAGAGAAAACCCGACATAATCATAATGTCGAAGGACAGTATTTTGCTATAATTTGCCAGTTTTCCATCTCTTATATCAGCAATACACCTATATTATTATTTGGAGACATTGGTAGTCTACAATGATATGTAAGCCCTTTAGGCGAAAGCTCTTTCCATTTTGTTCAGAACTATTTGAACCATTGGACACCAGCGACTGTCACAAAAGGTGCGGTACGTCTCTCTCAATAATAATAATAAGTCTAACTGTTCTGTATTAAAGAGCGTTTACTTTGAAGTGCTATTATGAAGATTTGATAACTAATCAGTTGGTTTGTTTTTAGGAGCACAGGTACTCAGTAATCATTCATTGTTATTCTTAAAACCGATGCTCCCGACACCGCGATGCAAACGCGTGCAAACAATAATTAAAAAAAGAAGTTGAACTTTGACGAAATGTTGGGATCTTTCCTAAGAAAGTTTGGTGTGAGTATAGTAGACGGTTCAACGAACTTTCATCATCCTTCAAAAGATGCTGAGGAATTTCTCTTTTAAGAAAAGATTTGTTGGATTTAGCATCTCAGCTATCGCTTATGTAGATCCAAGGATTCTGATCTTCCCTTTCGTTGACACCAAACATTTTGATCTCTCCATGACCTCAATCTGAGTAGTCTTTTTCCCACGAGTTTACATCAAGTTGTTTACCATGCACTATATAGTGGGATATCGTACTTTAGCTTAAATGCACGTCAAAATGGTTCAGTTTCCTCACAAGTAATACACATCACACGGATACGTATCTTAATATAGCTGAGGTTCCCGAGCTTCTAATTTTAAGGAAACTCCCGGAGTCAAATGACCTTCATCAATGTTTGAGGAAATTTTTGGGAAATCCCCAAAGTCAAATGACCCTGATCAAGTTTAAAGGGAAATTTTGGGGTTTTTGTGCCATTTCCCCAAAATTAACTATAGCGGCTTCCCCAAAATTGGGTGCGTAGTTTAGTCAGAGAATCTGCTCAGTCGTCTTTTTTTTCAACGGTCTTATACATTCAGCAATAAAAAAGCCCAACGGTTTTTAAAAATGGTGGATATTATAATTCAGTGGGGGCTACTATTCAAAACACCGTTTTCAGTGGATGGAGCATGTTTTACAAAACGGCTTTCATACTGATCACGGTTTGTTAACACTAAGACTAGGTGGACAACACAAAGGCGTAACGAAGATATGACATGGATTAGCAAAATAATTTCTTTATTGAGGTCTCGGATCGATCACCGATCGCAATGAAAACTAAAAGTCTCCACAACCCTCTACTAATAATTTTAATGTGCTCACTATCGACTGGCTTTGAGAGGCAATTCTCAGAGTTCTAGTGAGAAGCCATGACCAGTAGAGTTCAAGTGTGAGGCAGTCACTCATCGAAGACAATGTGATATGGTCACGCAATATCGTAACTTGGTTGAAGTGAGACATTAACACTACTGGATGCCGGTTCAGTTGTCTAGAGGTTAAGCGTTTCTGTGCGGGACCATAGGTGTGCACCGTTTAGGAGTCTCACACTAGGGCGAAACGGCCGTTCAGTGTTCTCAGGTTTTCAATAATCGTCTGACATTGATCGGCTCATGATCTCAATAAAAACTCAACAACCTCCAAAACCCAATACTGAGGATGTGTCATTATCAACTGTAAGTTCACTACAACTCTACAGACGTGATGCCTTATCAAGTATCATTCAAACTACAAAATAATGGCCTGAGACGTGCTAGCAGATTTTGACCACCATGAGATAACCTCGACTAGTGGTCAGAAATGGGTTCGACTTAAAATTGGTCGCAGTAACTTGGATGCAACGAATTGTTGTCTGCAGTGGTTATGATTGACTAATTATTTCCATGGTAAAATATATGATTGACTTCTGTTCTGATTTCTGGTCAGTTTAGATTTCTGCTCAAGTTATTGTGCCTGTCACATGTGTTCGATCAATGGATCATATAAACATCCGAAAAACGAAACCTTCAATCGTTATTCCCTATATTCATCCCAATCGTGAGCACTTAGATGAAAGGGCAATTTATGGCTTCATTATATATCTTGTATGTTTTCCTGCATTTGGTGAGTCATCACTTTCAATTTCCAACAAATTAACCGTTCATTTCATTGCTTGTTACTACTTTTTTTTGTACCACTATGTACCATACGCGTAGATTTATATTCTAAAAAGATATTTCGTGTCACTAGCAATCACCATCGTTTTGACCATTATAAACGTACACGAACTTGGTTCAAATAAGTGTCAATCTATTTTCTAATAATTGTTTAAGGTTCGACCACCAGTTTCTTCATATTATGGTATCAGTTTGTTGCCCCCAAATGCCCTGGTACGGCCGAAAGTGGGTAAAGTCCGCTCACCCTCTCGGAATGCTCTCACATGGCCACGTGCATACAACCACTGCCAGAGAAGTCATACTCATTGCCTTCTCGCTCCATTACTGGTGATTACGAAATTGATAACACGATAAGCGAATGTTCAGCGCTTTAACCGGGTTGGTGGAAATGGAGAGTCCACCTAGGGGAGTTGGAAAACCTTGATTCCAAACCAATGGTGCACATGGATTCTAGTATTCTGAAGGAACAAATGGCGTATGAACCAATCGTTGGTCACCGTCTACCATGGGACTTCATCTCCTTACGATGCTCCACTGCCTTGTAGACCAGACCTTCAGGTTGAAGGCTCTGGATATGGCCCCCTAAGAAAACCACCTGCTTCGGTTTGGGCACCCGAGCAGTATCACAGCCCTCACATAATTCAAATGAGATGTGTGTGGTTCATATGTATTTGGTGCATCCTTGTACCAATGTCTATGTGTTCAAATAATAATAATCAGTTCGTTAGTCTAAATGGTTTGCTTCACTACTATCACTATGATAAAATTAGATTTCGTTTGCAACTGGTCACTGAATGTGTCAAATTCATGACCTTTTCGGCCTTACACAAAATAAAGTAACAAAATCATGACCTAGTTGTATCAATTAACGTACGTCAGTCAATCTTAGATAACGTAAGATCTAGACTAGATTTATATCTGTCCAAGTTGTTATGCTAATATATGTTATATGTACCTAAATTGATTTAATTTTGAAACATCAGTTAGTTTCTTGTTTTTATTTATACCTCAGTCAGTCAGTCAGCTACAACGTAGGACCAGGCACATATGTGCATCGGTCCAGGTTGCCACACCTCATTAACACAACAACAAGATGAACGCCGGATCCATAGAAGTAGCTAATTCAATGGTGGTAATATATAAGAGAAAGATTGCATATAGAGATATAGTACAAGCAGAAAGAATTGGTTCGTAGAAAGAAAGATATGAAGCGATTTTAATCTCATAGTTTAAGGGAAGACAGGGAGTGTATACACCGACGCCATTGTGATCGATTCTGAGCCATGTCACCAAGAGTCTCCAACCATTGGTTACCATAGTCACGCGGACCCCAACCAAGTAGTCTGCATCTACCAACATGGCTCAGACTAGAAGTTAGTGACTTCAAGCACTGATGCCACGTTTTGGTTTGGCTGCCCCTAACTTTCTTCCAACCATTTCCAATACCGGATAGCATTGCACGTCGTGGTAATCGGTGTTCAGGCATACGTAACACGTGGCTCAACCATCTCAGTCGATGAAGATTCATAACCTCATCAACTGATTTACCATCCTTTCCTAATACCCTGCGTCTAACCTCACTATTACTTACCCGGTTATCCCAGCAGACGCCAGCAATATTTCTTAGGCATCTGTGGTCAAATACTAATAGCTTACGAATGTCTTCTACTCTTAATGGCCATGTTTCGCTGCCGTAAATTAAAACAGAACGGACTGCCGCGCAGTATACTCGTCCTTTTATTGATAGACGGATATCTCGCCTTCGCCACAGGTGACGTAAGTTGGCAAAAGCCAAACGAGCTTTTCGAATCCGTGCTGAGATTTCGTCCGATACCAATCCATTAGGGCTGATCAGACTTCCAAGATAAGGGAAGTTGTCAACGCGTTCAATTACATCATTCCCTATCCTTAGTTCAGGTGTTAACGCAGACCAGTCCTGAAGCAACAACTTGCATTTAGAGGGAGAGAAGCGCATTCCAAACATCCTGGCATTGTTGCTCAGTGCTACCAGAAGATTCTGCATTTTGTCAGCGTGTCCACCAAACAGGACTATGTCATCTGCGTATTCTAAGTCGATAAGTGGACCTCCTGGAAGGAGATCAATACCCGAGAACTCAGTCGACGAGAAAGTTATTTCCATCAGTAGATCTATGATGAAGTTAAACAAAAATGGGGAAAGTGGACATCCTTGACGGACACCACTTGAGGTTGCAAAACTAGATGACAGTTCGCCATAAGCTCTCACTCGACTAGTAGTGTTCGAGTAAAGAGCCTTTACAAGGTTTATGTACTTCTGGGGTACGCCTTTCAATGACAGACACTGCCACAGAATCTCGCGGTCTACCGAGTCAAATGCTGCTTTTAAGTCAAGAAAGACCACCATCGTCGGACGCCGATAAGTATGCCTGTGTTCTAGAACCTGACGAATGGTGAATATGTGGTCGATGCAGCCACGACCAGGTCTGAAGCCAGCTTGATTTTCTCGTGTTTGCAGTTCACGAGTCTTAGTTAGGCGTCTGATTATTATTGAGGCTAGTATCTTAGATATTATATTAGTTAAACTAATCCCTCTGTGGTTGTCACAGGATGATTTTGACCCTTTCTTATATATTGGGACGATAAGTGATTGTGACCAGTCAGATGGAATAACGTCTAACTCCCAGATCTTAGCTAAAATATTAGTCAACCTAACCGCTAAAATTGGACCACCATCCTTAAAGACTTCTGGAGCCAGTCCATCTGGACCAGCAGCCCTTCCTCGTTTCAGATTATCTATAGCCTTTTGAACTTCAACAAGAGTTGGGGGACCTACTTCAATGTTCCATTCACGCTGTCTGGGAATGGAGCGTAGTTGTAGAGTAGCTGAAGGCCAGCTGAACTGTTCTCTGAAATGTTCAGCTCATCGTTCTAAACGCCTGGACTGGGAGCAGATGAGTGCATCGTCTTTTTCTGATATAATCTCACTTACACTTGACTTATTAATTCCAGTTTCTTTTATTAGTCTGTAAAGTTGTCTTGTGTTCCCTATAGTCGCCGCCTTTTCCATCTCTTTTGCTTTCGTTGCCCACCACTGCTCACGGTCGTTTCTTAGACTTTTTCTTAACCTAGATCTGATTTGTTGTCGCTCTTCATCATGTTCGGAACCTGATGGTACGAGTTTGCGAGAATCCATCAGTGTGATAGACTTTGAAGAAATCCACTGGTCCTTTGAAACTCTGTGGTTTAAGTTGCTAATAGATGTCACTGCTGCTTCCACAGCTGCTTGTATGTCTTTCCAAGCAACATCTGGGTCAGCCCCGTCTTCAGAACTACCTAAGTGTGACCTCAGTTGTTCTTGGAACCTATTTTTGGTTTTCTCGTTACTCAACTCAGTTCTAATTGGTCTTTTTAATGTGGCTTTTTTGCGTCCGGTGAGGCGCAAGCAGATGCGTGCCCGTATTAGGGCGTGGTCGGAGTCCAAGCAGGTACTCCAGAATGAGCGACAATCTTCTACCGACCCTCTCCAACGATGACTGATGGCAATATGGTCTATTTGAGTCCATCGTTGGTTTGGTGTAGGGGGTCGCCATGTTAGACGATGTCTCTCCTTATGCTTAAAATTTGTGTTTGCTAAAAATAAGCGATTGTCTGAGCAAAGTTGCAGCAGACGATCACCATTATCTGTTCGTTGTGCCGGAATGCTAAAATATCCACCTAAATGCCTTTCTGTTTGGTTTAAGCTACCTATCTGAGCATTAAAGTCACCCCCTACGAGTACTATGTCTGAGCGTTTAGCTTTCTGAAGAAAGCTTTCTGTAAAATTCATCCTTCACTTCATCGGAGCTGCAGTCAGTGGGAGCGTAGGCAGAAACGACAAAAAGGCAACGACGTGTGTCCCTATCCTTCCGAGTTCTTACGGAGCCGTTTAGCCGAACAGCACATAGACGACTGTTGATGGGGATCCACTCTAGCAGTGCTTGTTCCGCCCTCATGCTTAATGCTATGCCTACACCTGCCAGTCCACGAGAACTGGCCATCGGGTCACCAGATACACGTAGGGTGTATCTCGTTGGCTCTCCGTTTTGCCGAGGTGAGGTCAAGTGAATGATCACACTGGAATCCTGTATGCGTGTTTCGGAGACACAGCATACATCGATGGAAAGAGACTCTAGGGTTTTAGCTAAGGAAGCCTGCTGACCGATTTGACATAGAGTGCGTACGTTGAAAGCTCCAATGTGTAGTTTAGAGCGAGGTTTCAGTAGACCTGGGACAGAGTTTTGAGCACTAGAATCGTTGGTTATGGTGACACTTGAGGAAGAAGCCGAAGGAGGAAGTTTAGGGTTGAAAGTCGATGTAGGAGGAATAATAGGAATTGAAGAGGAAGGTTGATTATGAATACAGTGGTCTTGGGTGCTGTTAGAGGTATGAGGGCGGTTATCACTTCCCGGTTGCCCACACTGTGGAAGGGTTCTTCTGGAGGTACCTGAAAAGGAAATTGGATTAGAGGCGGTCTCAGCGACCTGAGAGCGTGACCGCAGTGCCCAAGGGACAACTGCTTGAGGCCGGTCGCGCATGGCCTTTTTGTGGAAGGTTTTTTAATGAGTTAGCTCCGTTCTTCAAGGGACCTTACCGCCGGAGACGGTAATCCGTGAGGTGTGACATTTTTAGGGTCGACCTTTTCTAACCCCACCCCTCCTTGTGGGAAGGCAGCATCGCTGTCATGCTGGTTGTCTGAAGGAAACACCTTACTGCTGTCACACCTCTGTACAGTCAGCAGTACGACTTCGCCTTCGGACCTTGGGTTTGTTGCTTTTAGTCTTACCGCTCTTCAACCGACCTGTCTGACATGGTAGGACCTTGAGGAACGGTTGTTCCAGCCAGTATAGCTCGGTTGCTTCATCACGATAGGCAAGCCCGACCACCACGTCAAGGTAGCAACAACGGTCAGGTTTATTTATACCTAAAACCATATGTTTAATATCAGCATTGCTCATTGTTTTCACCATACACAAGCTATGCTAACCTAATTATCACAACCTATGGATGTATTATACTTTCACAGGTCATGATTTACAATTGATTCCGTAGAACAAATGGTCTGTGTTCTTCATTTTTGTGTATAATCAAGTCATGTGGTAAGCTGCGTTGACATCAGGTATATTGTGTAGGTTGGTTAGTGAGATCATGAATCCCCATCAGCTACGACGGTTTGTGTTATGAGTATATGTGTTATGAGATACCTCATTGTTATGATCGCTGAAGTACAAGTATTTTGGATGCTGCCAATCATTGTTCAGGTTAAAACACGACATCACTCTATAGAGTTATTGAATTTAGATTTAAGCTTTTTAGCCCAGAAGTAGGCTTTCTGACTTGAGTACACGTGATTGGTAATATTGAATGATATGTATCTAAGCCGATCTCAGGCATAAAAATAGATTTTTTTATATCACTCAAATAATCCATCTTTTTATTCTGTGCCTAAAATTCCTTTATCTTTTCTTCCTAATTTCTTATTTTTTAATACTGCCGTTAGTTTTACATCTATGCTACTATCCTATAATTTTGCTAGCTATCGTTAATTTAACCAGTGTACTATTATTCTGACATTTGGATTGTTTGATTCTGTAGTTTAGTATACTGATCTCAGTCGCTATGAATTTAATAACTCGTTTTTCTGAGGTTTTTTTTATTTTTTATTTATTTTGACACATAAATATTGGTACAAGATGGCACCAAATATATATGCGCCGCACAAAACAATGTGAATTTAAAGAGAAGGAAAAAAAGGTGAGGGGCGTAAAAAAAAGAGAACAATAACGGAAAGATTGGTGTAGGGTAGTGTAATAATAGTAATAATGGGGAAACGGAAAGGTACAATCAGAAGAAATCATTCAGTGAAGGAAGACACAACCACTTTTATGAAGAAAGTGAAAGACGGTTACAGCAGGATCGCCACTGGCTTCTATTCTGAGCCATATCTGATAACGTCTCTAGCCACTGTGTCGCACCATCTCTCGGACCCCAACCAGGGAGTCATGAAGGACCAACATAAGCCAGCCCTTTGCAGCTTTCTTTCATACCACGACACCATGTCATACACTGACCACCACAGTTCAGTTAGCAAAAATACAATCAGAAAAAATCCTTTTAGTCAGAGAAGTTACGTTCATTTTTACGAAGAAAATAAAACAAAATTACAGCAGGATCTTCACTGGCTTTTATTCTAAGACAAGTTTAGTAACATCGCAGGCCATTATATTGCACTATGTTAAGGATTCCAACTAGAGAGTCATGAAGGACCAACAGAAGCCTGTTCTGTACAGCTTTCTTTCATACTACGACACCATGTCATACACTGACCACCTCTCCACTTTTCCCAACCATGACGTGAAATTCGCCAGGACGACATTAGTAAGACATAACCAAGACACAGAAGTCGATGTTTCAAGATAGTGACACCAATTGAATTATCGTCTGTGTACCCGAAAACACGATGCCGAACCTCTGCACTACTAACATGGTGTTGCCACTGGATGTCAACAATCCTTCGGACAGCGATGATCGAACACAGAGAGTCGTCTAACATCCTCAACTCGGAGAGGTAAGGTTTCACAAACATACAGCGAAATTGCCCTCACCGACGCGTTGTAGATCCAACCTTTTACAGCCAAACTAACATAACGAAGGCGCCAAAGATGACCCAGATTGACATAAGCCGCTCTGGCTTTCACTATACGTGAATTGATCTCATCACTCACGCCACCACCAGCACTTATGCAGCTACCAAGATACACGAACTTTTCGACTATTTCTAGCTGCTCACCATCCAGGGTGAGTGCAGGATTAGGATTCTGCCAGTCTAGTAGAAGTATTTTGCACTTAGAAAGTGTGAAGCAATACCATACTTACGGACACTGATTGCCAACTGGTTAAGTACGGATTGAATGGCTTGGATATCATCACACAGTAAAATAATATCATCCGCATAATCAAGGTCAAAAAGTCCTCCATGCAACAGATCCACACCGCCATTACTTACATCCATCAGAGTTGTTTCCAGAATGTCATCGATAGCAAAGTTGGAGAGGAATGGTGAGATTGGGCAACCCTTTCTAACCTCACTGTTTGAATAGAACAATGGAGAGAGGTGGTTGTATGCCCTCGCTCGGCCTGAGGTGTTTGTATATAGGGCTTTTAGGATGCTGATAAACTTCTCAGGCACACCCTTCTTCAATAGACAATCCCAGAGATGATGTAACTTGTGTATTTATTTTGCTTAGATTGTAGTACCTGTTATTGCTTTTGATCGTGACGTCATAATCGCTGTTAATTGTTAGTTTATATCCATGACCCAGAAAATCATAATGTTTGTTTTGTGCTATTTTATACGATTTCAGTATTGTATGTAATTTGGGCATATATTCCACATGAATGGTTGAATTTAATTGGAATAACATACCTACCCAACAAGTAAGCTTTTTTAAAAAAAAAGATTGTTCTTTGATCTGTTAACTGAATTACAATATCACACTAAGCGCCAGTACCTAGAGGACACTAATCAATTAAATCTTCATGAACATTCTTTTTATTGCTGTTAGGTTGTAAGGCTCTGCCAAGGCGAAAAAAAGTGACTCTGTAAATATTGTCTTTTCCTAATCTTCACGTATGCCGCAAGTTTCAAGCCTAGATCCAATTATGGATGAGTTCTACCACCAATTAAAAGACATCGGATATGCGAGTTTGACATGTAGTTCTAGAATAAGCTTTGAATATGCAGATCAGGTGTCTAGGTATAGAGGAAATTCGTATAGGTGGTCAGTGGAGACGTAGGTTAAATAACAATAACTGCATCTTCCAGCTTTGTGTAGACCACATCCTTTTTCAAACCAGTACCAACTTTTGCAGGTTACCACTAATGTTCTACCTGACATCCTTCCTCTTTAAATCAAGCCTGGACTGGAATTGGTCACATTGAGATCAGTTACCAATGACATGATTGTGTACAAGACGTGCTTCCTTTGGGACCGCTGTCCTGACAGTGACTATGATCTGATTTCCATCAAGCTCATATTGAGTCCCAGTGTCTGATAAGCTTATTGTTATATCCTAGTGAAGATTACATTACAAGTAACGTCTGAGATCTATTAATGGACTAATATTATTTATATATTCTCATGGTATAAATATTCAGTAACTAGATTATGTATATCCATATTCCCCTTGTTATAAGCTTTGTTTTGACCTATAATGTATTATTGTACGATTTACTGTTCTTAAGCTATACTCAGTTTATTGACTACTGCATCCCACGTTCACAGCCACTTTTTGGCTTTATTGTGTATGAATTTTATTTCCTATTTTATGGTGCGTTGCGGTCAGTTTGTTTGACGTATAAACGCATCATGTCTGAAATAAATGATTTTATTCGATTCGCATAGTGGAAGCTAGTATTGGTGTTCTGGACTCAAGGCTACTCATACCGGTCGAACGTCATTGGTTTAGCACAGTATGAAGATTGTATAAATGGTATTTCAATTGGTGGATAAATAACGTGATAACTGGCCGGACATAAAGTCACAACGCTTATTGTCCTAAACGAATTTTAACAAGCAATTTACCTGCAGATTCTGCTATAATCAAAAATTGAACCGAATTCGGTTCACTGCTAACTACCAGTTCACCGGGAGGTGTGCATGAGTACTGGTTGCTTTGTATGATGCTATAAAAATACTGGGCTCTTTATAAGGATAGTACCGAACTGGCTAAATTGTTTGGAAAGGTTTTGGAAATTGGTCGTGAAACGAAACGATCGTCATCCTCATCTTTGTTGTGATGGATTCTGTGGATTGCTGCCTGTTCAAATTTTAAATAATAACCCACATTGTTCATCTAATTGAAATTGAAATGCTCTGTCTTAGTATAAAGACCTATTATCTTCAACATGTTTGACATTCAATCGTTAAATCATCTACCACAGTAATTAGATCAATGTTTAACTCCAACCAAACAAAATTTCAGCCAAAATCTATACAATGCGGACACTAAATACCATTTAATATAGATTTGCAATAAATCGTAGAATATTTTGTGGCCCTTAAGCTAGACAAAACGAGATACATCTTTACATCCTAGTTTCATAGCCATCCAAACATATAACTTTAACAATTTAGTGATGCTATCTTATTTTGTTCTGGTAGGTGGTAACCTTTATTCAAATCCCTGAAGGTGCATCAGTTTGTACAAAATTTTCAATTCACTTACTTAATGGCTATTAGTGACTATGCAAATTAGTGTCAGAATCCTTCTACCAGTTTTTCATCGGGTATCTAAAATTAAATCAAATGTACTTTCATGTTGATCAAGTTTGTCAAATAGATTTATTGAATATTTAATTAATATATTTTGTGAAGATTTTAAGAGTTAGGACGGAAGGATTGGCGAAACAGGAAGCGATCGTTGATCCTCGAGTTGCCAACGAAGCTCTTTTACGTAGAACGGTACCAGGAGAAGCGTGCTGTATTTGTTGCTCGAGTTAGTATACCACACCAGAGTGGTTTATATCCAAGGTCTGAAGATTGCGTTCGTAGGGGTTCGGACCAGAAACACTGCAGACGTAGGACGAAACCGCGTTGAGCCAAGGAACCAGAAGCGACCATAACAACCAAGTGCAAAACTAAATATATGCCAGGCAGAATCGAAACCCAAACATCGACTGAGTGCGTTGACAAGAGCGTGGGTGACCAGACCAGCTTTCGCCAAGGTTGACTGAAGTTGACGGTACCAAATGGGTAATGGTCGAAGGCGTGGGCTCAGGATACAAAAAAAATCAAAAAGAGAAAAACTGTAGCATGCATGTAGTATAGAAATAGTCCTACATTGTATCCGTTGTTGATTGCGCGGTTAGTCGCGAAAGCGTACGGGTAAGCGTACTCGGCGACCAGAACGTGAGACGGTAGTCTCGTTCGTATTTCGTGAGCCTGTAATCTCATTCGAAGTCAAGGGCGGCATGGTCTGCTCATCTGGACGTGAGACTGAAGTCTCGTCCGTAGATGTGATTGTTTTACTGTGCTTGTTTGTTTATCTGTATTAAAAACATCCATTACTCCTCCATCATTCTTCCGTTCACTGTGACCTTTGTACGCTCGTTCGTTCGCCCATTAATTCCACTGGTATTTCCTTCGGCACGGTCTTGGTATACTTTCGATACTACGAGATCGCCATTGAATAAATCTGGTTACAATCTTCTTTCGCCTTCTGATTTTCTGGTACGCGCTCATCTTGTAGTGGTGATCATAGTTAACCTCGACTCTACTGTACCGTGTTCGGATACATTAATGCAAACAGATTTATTCATTAATTGAGTCTAACCTAAGCAGTTATGTCAGTAATATTGTATTCATGTAACTACATTCTGAATTAGTTAAATAATTTTGCTGAAATATAATATTTAAAAATTTTTAGACACTGGTCAGTTACTGCACCAATTTCACTACTGATTATATGTATATCTGGTCTTTTTGCTTATATTTGGAATAATCGTTCACTCATGCAACCGCTTACATCGATTTATCAAATTAGAGGTATGTAGATTTCGAAATGAAAATGATTTTCAAAACATTTTTTATTGATCAATAAATTCATGTACAACTTGCGTACCAAATTCTTCCTAGGAATTTGTTGGTGGAAATTTTGTTCCACACCGCGTATTTTGAAAGTTTAAGCAGTGAAATCATTATATGTTATTCCGACATCCGTTGTTAGCTTCTTAATCAATCATCTAATGCGCGTCAAAAGCCATGAGAAGAGAATGTAACATATAATGAAATAAAAATAAGTAGGCTCTCAGTTCAACGATCTTTCTTACAGTGATCTAGTGCTAAATTTTTTATCCCTAGTCAGTCGATTGATATAAACATATAACATTCAATGTAGAGTTTTGACTTTGTGACTCGTTACAACTTATTTCATGTTTTGCTACATGTGACGTGGAGGAGTTTATCAAAAGTACGTCGGATCATATTTATGTATGACTTTAAAATCTCAGCGATAAATGAATTTACATTACACTTTCTTCATGATAAATCTTCAATTTGTTTATGTTTTAACTTAAACTCTCCCTCGTTTGCTATATTCACTCATTTCTACAGTTTTCTATTGAAGCGAGTGATACTCCTTTGTTGCTGCAACCAAATATCCTATCTAATAATACTTTTATTTCAATGTTTTTGCATTGACAAATTTTGAAAATAGAATTTTATAAGGAATCACAGACTGGTGCTTGACAATATATTTCCGATTTAATAATAAAATCGACGAAAGAAACATGAATGGAATCATCAGTATCTGGATTCATGCCCTGAAATGCCCTGGTACTGCCGAGAATGGGGAGAGTCGAAACCAATGGTGCACATGGGCTCCAGTATCCTGAAGGAACAAATGGCGTATGAACCAATCGTTGGTCACCGTCTACCATGGGACTTCATCTCCTTACGATGCTCTACTGCCTTGTGGACCAGACCTTCAGGTTGAAGGCTCTGGGTATGGCCCCTTAAGAAAACCACCTGCTTCGGTTTGGGCACCCGAGCAGTATCACAGCCCTCACATAATTCAAATGAGATGTGTGTGGTTCATATGTATTTGGTGCATCCTTGTACCAATGTCTATGTGTTCAAATAATAATAACAATCTGGATTGATTAAAGGGACAGTAAAATCAACCCAATATATCATCCATTGAGAAAAACCATGGTTAGTAATAGGGTCAGAAGTTATGTAAATGATGATATGCAAACGATGACAGAGTAAGGGTTAATAACAACCAGTCAAGATCAAGGTCAACAGAACAGCGTGTTAGTCGTGTGGGCGAAAAATTCAGATAGCTCACAGTCAGGTTCATGTTGATGGTGTTGTCCAGAAGAACGAAAAAAAACTTTGGGACGAAAGAGAACTCTGCAAAAATCTCCCACTTGAACTGTAAATCCTTAACTCAAGATTTATTATATTTTAACAATCCTGTTATTGTTTCAGATTCACCTTCAATGCATGCTCAAAATCCAACTGATAGTTATGTCACAGATCAACAGTCTAATTCAAACGTATCAAAACCAGTGAAATTATTGAGACCATTATCGATAGTCCCCCCTGTGTATGATTTGGATCATATTTGGGTGACAAGCGAGTTGTATTTAAAGACAAATAAAGTTACCACCTCAAGCATTATTGACCATGATAATATGAAGCGTTAACAAAACAGAAAGGATAAGATCTTGTTTTTGTAAATTATTAGGTGCTGATTGTTGTAAATATTTTGAATCTTCATTATTGACGTTCCCTGCAAATCATATCCGTATAAAGTTTTCCGACAATGTAAATATACCTTCTTTTTTAAGGCCAAGGACGTCACGTTCTTTTTGATTCTGTTTTTCAGCTGATGGTCAGTTTTTTAACAGTTAAACTTCAACAAATTAATTGTCATCACTGATTTTCATGCTAAACAACATACTTAGGAAACTTATATAAATATTCGTGAATATTAGAACGGATATTTTGACAAAAATTGGGCGCTCAGTATAGAGAAGTCATTATATATGGAAATTATATTTGAAATAATCTCAGCGATTGAGATTTAAATAATTTCAACGTTTCGTCCAGCTAACTTGTCTGGACTTCTTCAGGGTAGAATAATCAAAATCATCAAAGAAATATATAGCTTTTTAACAATCAAAACTATACTGTGTTAAACCTTATTTGGATGTTGATTTTTGTAAAATAGGATAACATGAGTCAGTTTATGTGGTAATCATGTGGAAAATTCAACATGGAAATAATTAACTGAATGACAAATTGCATGTGTGTGAGTGTGTAGGTATGTCTGTATGTGTGAGATTAATTATTGATATTTGGTGTTAATATGTTATGTATAAAGGGATAAATGAAAGTGCATGTTCAAGGTTGAAAAATGGTTTGTGAATCATCTATGTGCTTGTCAAATTAAGGAATCAACAAATACGTAATTGTATTGCTAAAAACTCATTGAATTCAGTCCAAATAACGATGCGTGTGAAATAAACAAGTTGAATAAAGAGAGGGTTTAAATTACTTGTCAACCAAAATTTGCCAGGTGGTTGCTAGTTGAATACCATCCTTTCGGTTCAAGCTGTTCTTGTTCATCAATATATATACAGCACTTCCGCTGTCGATCTTTCTTTATGATTGTTCAAACCTTTCTGAAGTATTTTGGTCCCTTCAAAATTAATCTTGTGTCCTGTTTCTAACGCATGTAACTCTATCGCAGACTTATTCTTAAGTTTCTTCAAAGCAATTGAGGATTTAGGAACATTTTCCAAACATTGTTTGTGTTCCGTCAACCTTACATTCAATTGTCTGGATGTTTCTCTCACATAAGCTGCATTACAATCATGACAGTTGATTTAATTTACAATATTTTGTTCTTCCTTTGGTAACCTGACCTTAACTTTCACTAATGTCGATCTTAAGGTATTACTCGCCTTTAAATACACTCTTATATCATGTTTGTTTAGAATCCGCTTGATTTCTTCCGATGTTTCCATACGGTATGGGACGACTACGGTGTACTTCCAAACTTTTCGTATACATTCTAGTTTAATTTTTCTCTCATTTTTAACAATCTTCTTTAAAAACTCTTGGGTAGTTTTTATCCCTAAGAGTAGAAAATACTTTGTTCGATTCAGTTCGTTAGTCTTCCTTATCTGTAACAAGCTTAGTACTTCTGTTCATTAAATTTTTTACAACATTAACTTTCGTGCACTGCACATGAGCCGAATCATAATCTAAGTAACTCTCGGAATGTGTCGATTTCCTAAAATTATTGAAAAATTAGTATACTTATTGGAGGTTGGGAACTTTTTACTACAATCCTTTTTTCAAAGCGATTTCTTCATAAGTACATCAATATTTTTTCTAGTTAAGCGTTTATGGGGTAACAAGCTTCGTCATTTATATACTTAGGATAAATTATAGTCGATTCATACCTTATATAAGATAACCCATTTTCTAATTTTTAACCATTAACATATTGAACTGATGCGGTCGTACTAAATAGCCCATGAACAAGAATTTGATGATATACTTCACTATTAAACAGAAATTGTAGATTCATCTGCATGTAATATTGTTATTACAGATAAAACTTCAAATTCCTTAGAGTGCTACTTCAGAAATAATGTTTTATGCAGTAGAAGATTAAAAAAGTTGATTTTTATGTGGTGTCTGCTTAAGATACTGACACACAAATTGCGTGTACACGAAATCAGCTAAGCTACTAAACTAGAAAGCCTTGTTAAAACCGAGTCATGGAATATATATATATATATATATATATATATATATATATATATATATATATATATATATATATATATATATACTCGTTCATATATATGTATATTAGTCCCGCACATAGTAAAATCACATTTTTCAATCAATAGTATGTCTCAGTCCTAAAAAAATAAGGTTAAGCTTTGACCACTCGTATACTCTTATGGTTTGAAGTGTGTCTGGCCTAACACACCATATCACATCTGAAGCCTTACGTATATGAATGGATTCAAAGAACGTGAATAGAATGGGCTCTGGTCATTAATGCCTAATCGGTGAAGAAAAATATTGTCATTAAATCATGTCCATTTTTAAATTTATGTATTTAAACACAAAAATTGGTACGAGGAGTCACCAAATATATATGCGCCACACTTTGTCATTCGTGTGAGGGCTGGGATACTGCTCATACACCCTAACTGAGGCAGGTGGCCTTCTTAGGGGGCCAGTCCGAGCCTTTGACCTATAGGTCTTGTTCACAACGCAGTGGAGCGACATTAGGAGATTCAGTCCCATAGTAGTCGGTGGTCAACAATAGGTTCACACGCCATTTGTTCTATCAGGTTCCTGTAACCCATGTACACCATTAATTTGGAATCAGGACTTTCCAAATCTCCTGGGTGAGTTGATTCTCCATATCCACCAACTCGGTTAAAACGCCGGACATCCTCTCAATTTCGTAAACAACACCCCAGCCGCGACAAAGCAACGAGTAGGACTTCCCTGGCAGTGACTTTATACGCATGTTCATTTGAGAGCATTTCAAGAGAGAGCTGACTCCTCACTCTCGGCTGTACCAGAACATTTATTACAGTCACTTTGATTGTTATTATTATTATTATTAGCTTTATTCAATATTACATTTTTGGTACAATATAGAATTTTCAGCGTAAAGTATTTTAACAAGTTTCCGTTCCTTTCTTCTTGGTCGGTCCTGACGATAAATATTGAGTGATCGCCAGTTAGATGTTAACAGTCCAGTAAATGAACATCTGAATAATGTGCACTCTTTTCGTTGTATATTTCCAGCAACCACATTGTCTCTTATTAAGTTTTTTGTAACTTTGACAACGAAAGGTTGTACATTTTTCAGAAACGCAGCAGAATAGGTTATGCGATTAATAGACATAACGATACATTAAAACAAACAAAAATAGATAACTTGTTGAAATATCTAGAAGGCAGAAACAGGTAGCCCAAATGCTCAAGCAGGCCGTCGTTATAACCTTTACTATAACTTTAGGCCTCGTTGAAATATTGAAGTAAGGTAAAAGTCGCTCATACATACACATGTCACAATTTAAATATGTTGATTGACTCACAGAATCTCTGTCATTCAGCAACAATGTAGGACCAGGCACATATATGCATCGGTCCAAGTTGCCACACCTCATTAGCATAGCAAGATGAACACTGGATCCATAGAAGTAGTTAATCCAGTGGTAGCAATATATAAAAGAAAGATTGCATATAGAGACATAGTACAGGAAGAGAGAATTAGTTCGTAGGAAGAAAGATGTGAATCGATTTTAATCTCATAATTTAAGGGAAAATAGTATATACATCTACACCATTGTTGTTGCTACCTTGACGTGGTGGTCTGGCTTGCCCATCGTGATGAACTAGTCGAGCTACGCTGGCTGGAAAAGTCGTTATTCAAGGTTCTGACATGCTAGATAGGTCGGTTGAAGAACGGTAAGACTAGAATCAGCAAACCCAAGGTCTGAAGGCGAAGTACTGCTGACTGTACAGAGGTGTGACGGCAGTAAGGTGTTTCGTTCAGACAACCAGCATAACAGCGATTCTACCTTCCGATAAGGAATGGTGGGGTTAGAAAAGGTCAACTCTAAAAATGCACAACTCACCTTATCCTACGGATATCCGTCTCCGGCGGTAAGGTCTCAACAAATATGGAGCTTACACAAAAAGGTCGTGTGTGACCGACCTCAAGCAGTTGTCCCTTGGGTACTGAGGTTAAGCCCTCAGGTCACTAATGCCACCTCTAATCCAATTTCATTTTCAGGTACCTTCAGTGGAACCCTTACACGGTGTGAGCGTATGGGAAGTTATAGCCACCCTCATACCTATAACAAGCACTCAAGACCACTGTGTTCATAATCAACCTCTTTCTTCAATTACTATTATTCCTTTTACACCGACTTTCAACTCTAAACTTCCTCTTTTGGCTTCCTCCTCAAGTGTCACCATAACCAACGATTCTAGCGCGCAAAACACTGTCCCAGGTCTACTGAAACCTCTCTCTAAACTACACATTGGAGCCTGCAACGTACGCACCCTATGTCAAATAGGCCAGCAGGTCTCCTTGGCTAAAACCCTAGAATCTCGTACTGTTGATGTATGTTATTTCTCCAAAACACGCATACAGGATCCTAGTGTGGTCATTCACTTGACCTCACCTTGCCAAAATAGAAAACCCAAGAAATACACGCTCTGTGAATCTGGCGACCCGATTCCTAGTTCTCTTGGACTGGCAGGTGTAGGATAGCACTAAGTACAAGGGCGGAACGAGCACTGACAGAATCTGACCAACTGTTTATTTTTTAGTCATCTTCGACGTGTTCATCTTTGAATTATCTTGACTTTTATGAGGAAAGTCTAACCTTGATTCTAGTTACATTGACGGTACTATCATATTTCAGTTCTTTAGGTTTCTAAAAAAACTGATTCTTATGTGACATATATTCTCTTAAGAACCTACTTAGAGGACAACACTTCTGTTTGAGTGCTACCAAGCTGATATGATGGGTAAGTATTTGGTTTAACAATCAGTTCTTGATTGATGTGTAAGTGATCTATGAACTAATATCATGCAGTCGCCTATGACATCTTATCGCGTTATTTCCTTGTGTCAGCATTTTGTTTATAAGCGCATCATTTTATTTCATGAAAATATTCTTTTGGGTAGTGATCTTGTCTTTTATTTCAAAACACTCAAGCCCCTTCGTCAATAACACAGTCTGGCGAGCAGCCATCACTCGTCGACATCATAGCATTGCATATCACCTGTCAATCAGCTTCATGTTCTTTCATTCCGATAGTAGAGAATTCGTTCATCTTATCAATAAAATCCTCCATAACTTATATGTTCCCCATATTTATAATAGGTTCTACTAATACTTACTATCAATAGAGGTCAGAAGTGTGGATGGGAGTTCTGCTACCCATTGCTACATAGTATACTTTCATACCAACTAAACATCAGTTTATATCTCCTAACACTTACTACAAAACACCATTTGATCAGCATAACAAGTGACAATAAATGTCAATAAAATAATTTTATTACAATACTTAAAGTTTCAGACCTATATGTTTGAAATGAACCTGTGTTCACATTCATGCGTATTGATTCTAAAGATGTGATACTACAACGAACATAAGTAATTTCTAGTGACAAATTTTCGTTTAGGTACTCTTAATTAAGGTTATTAACTTACATTACTCAGAAGAAGGCAAAAATTGAATATCTAATTTATTTTTAATCACTTAAAATGATTATCAACATCCTTTATTAGTTCATTCAAAATGTTTAAAGAAAACCAAACAAAGTTATTAAGAATAGTTGTTGAACTCATTCCCATACTATGTAGTTGTGATACTGACGTTATGGTCGATATATTTCAAGGCCATCATCGTATCTTATGAGATCTGATAATACATTAAAATTTTTAATTATAAGTTTGTTGTTTACTCAACATAAAGCAATTTTAATACCAATCAAAATTAGGTTCCGATCATAATGGTTATTAAATAACTTTCACTAAATTATGAAAATACAATCTACAGTAATTTTGATTAGCATATTTCAATATTTTTAATTTTATGTGTAAACTATGGTACCGGATTTCCAAGGCCGGAACCAGTAACATTAAGTAATTCGTCTAGGAGGATCTAATCAAATTATTCCCGATACGAATCATAATAGTAGATATAATGTGTTGTTTTTTCTGCATGAGAAATCTAGATAAGTAAAAATGATATATTTGTAATATTCAAATAAGTAAAAAAATATAGTTTTCTGACGTTTCGTGACTCCGTGTAAGCCACTTTTTCAGGGAAGAAATAACCAAATTAAATTAACCCAAGTTTAAATAGAACAAAGCAAGAATACCGGATGCGACCAACCAAAAGCAGGTCTAACTAAGTCAATGTCACGTCATTCCGGTCAACGTGATTTATATGAGGCATGTTCGTACTTTGTGTGTGTGTGTGTATGGGATAAAAAAATGTGACATTTTTGGGAAAGGATAGAGTTTAATTTGTACGTACGGTAATAGTATGATATGTGAATGGAATCAGACATTGTAACTTAGATAGTCCAAGTCGGATGAATGGTGAAGCCTTCTCTTCTATTGAGGGGAGTGGAATTAGTTGTAGTTGAAAAAGCCTTTTTGTATTATTTTGATGTTTTTGATATCGATATGATGGCTGTTGAAAATGGCGTGAACTGCTATTGCCGATTTAATTTGCAGTCTTTCCAGTTCCACAAGATTATTAGATATACCTAAGGTGTTCTTTGGCTCGAGTCAAGATTTCACGATATGACTCTCCAATACAAAAGGCATCAAAGTCAACAAATCTGAATTTGTAGACTCAATTCTGAGTTGACACAATGAAGACATTTTCCTTTACGCGAACTAAAGTATTTTGAAGTGTGTTTGTTGTTTTGTAATTTTCTTTAGTTCTGTGTTGTTTTAAGACTGGAGTTCTTCTGTTGTGTCATGGCGGTATGATAAAACTACAGTACTAGTCCATGACGTTTCATTCGGTTTATTATTTAGCAGTAACACGTCTCGTTTTATTGCGCTTTTAGTAATCTTCATAGGAAAATTATTAAGTTGTAAGATGTTAATTGTATGCCTTCGTTCTTTTTGTTTGTCCTTTTCAGATGTAATAATTTTGTTTACTCTTCTGATTTTTAGAGAATAAAAAACTCATATTTTCTAGCAGAAACTAATATTTACCTTTACAGTTCTACTTATTATTGACTTTGAAAACTATGATGCTGAATATCTTTATTTTCAAAGAACAGGAAAAACACAATCTAGTTGAAACTTACATCCCAATAGTTGAAATAGCTTCCTATTGTCAAATGAAAAAAAGTTTGTTAGTTAAGAAAATTCACTACATACATATAATTAACATCTTCAAATGGGTAAAAAATTATTTTTGTTTTGGTGTTGATAAATAGTTTTAATCATTCTGAATAAGCCACTGATATTGATCATTTGTAATAGTACAATTAATAAATACTAATAGAAAATTATTAGTGAAGTCGGGGATGAGGGCAGATGCTCACTTGCAGTGTTGGTTGTTTTTTACGTGAATACATTATTGATTTATTTATTTTAACACATAGATATCGGTACAAGGAGGCACCAAATACATATGAGCCACACAAATCTCATTTGAATTATGTGAGGGCTGTGATACTACCCGAGTGCACAAACCGAAGCAGGTGGTTTTCTTAGGTTGCCACACCCGGAGCCTTCGACACAAAGGTCTAATCCACAAGGCAGTGGAGCATCGTAAGGAGATGCAGTCCCATGGTAGACGGTGACCAACGATTGGTTCATACGCCATTTGTTCCTTCTGAATACTATAGTCCATGTGCAACATTGGTTTGGAATCAAGGTTTTCCAACTCCCCTAGGTGGACTCTCCATTTCCACCAATCCGGTTAAAGCGCCGGACATTCGCTTTTCGTGTTGTCAATTTCGTAATCACCAGTAATGGAGCGAGAAGGCAATGAGTATGACTTCTCTGGCAGTGGTTGTATGCACGTGGCCATGTGAGAGCATTCCGAGAGGGTGAGCGGACTCTTCCCACTCTCAGCCGTACCAGGTCATTTGGGGGCACGTGAATGCATCAAATGAACGGTACACATAAATAATTATACCACCTTTATAACTGAATTCTTTAGTAGTCTTGGATCCGTGTTGTTATTAGTCTTTACCAAGCAACAAAAATGATCTCATTTACGATTTGCTCTAGACAGTTACTTTCTTTAAAACACAAAATCCCAACTTTTATTCACTAGCTTACTAATTTAGTGAGACTCTACGAAAAATATCACTTCTTAGATAACTCATCTATAACTATGAATCTAGAAAATGAAGCAAATAACTTACTCAACCAAGTAGTATGGCGGACTGGTAAAAGTAATTACAAAATGTAATTTGAAATTGAAATTCCGTTCAGTTTACCAGATACTGAGAATTAATTGTAAGTAATACATGTCAAGTATTGTGTTTTTTTTTCAAGTTCACTAGTGATACATCAACTATCTTAAGTGAAGAATAATTCCTGATCATGGCTATTAATTCATATCTAAGCTAAAATATTTACAGATCTTAATAAAATCAGATGATGTAATCGGTTATTGAAAACATACTGTTAATATTTCTTTTAGAAGATTTGCTATATATTTTCTAAGTAGTGGGGTTTAATGTGTAGAATGAATAACATTCACAAAGTTAGGAACGACGTTCAGTGCTAAATGGAGCGAAGAAAATAACATATAGGCCCTCTAATACTACGTACTGGTACCTCCATTTATATGGAGGTTATGATATACATTATTTGTGCTAGAAAGATGGTCGTAAATTTCTGACTAGAAGGTACAAGGCTTGAATACTGTGGGTAAAGAATATACTTTTTAAAAAGCAGTACTTTTCACTTGTTATTGATTGGCTTAATTTGTTTTGAGGCAAACTGGTAACTATGATTACGACATACTTGTGTTTATTAAAAATGAACTTCCCAATTCCGTATAGAGGCTATTCACCATTGCAATCTTATACTACATAATCTTTGCATTATTCGTATTTCTTATATGCAACAGTTGACAAATGAGCTGTCTTAAATGTCTCCTATTTTTATCTCATTTACATGTCTAGTGATTCAGTTGACATTTAAGTCATATTCGAATTTATTCTTAGTGGGACAATTTGAAAATAACTACACCTAATTGGAAAAACTCAGTCTGATTTATTGATGATTGACAGTAATAAAAATCATTATGTTTTCCAATTTAAGTATTTATTTCACAATATCATTTTTTGCAATCTTAGTTTAAATATAGTGATTGTTATAAGCATTTCATTGACTGTATAATACTACTCATGAATAAGTCTATGAATCCCTAAAACCTCTTTTATCATTAATTTATAAAATTACACCAAGTTGCAGTTCCCAAGATTCAGATATTTTTGACCATATAACAATATAACCTTCGAGATTAGGTGATAATGATTATAAAAATTGTATTTGAGATAATCGCTTGTCTAAATACATTCAAATGTTGCTTTTGAATCGAGTAAAACTATGAAATGTGACGGACCAAATGAACTCTTTGAATAGGTAAACAATGTTTATATATGTAGTTCATTTTAAAAGACATAACAATGCACTTTCATGCGATTCAGTATGACTACGTGTGTCTATATGAATAATTTCGTCAAATATATTGTTGTCAGTTTAGAGGTTGTGGAGATTGTTAATTTTTTTTTGGGGATTGAGATCATGAACCGATTGATGTTAGGCCACCATTGAAAACCTGGGAGCATTGGACGGCCGTTTCTTCCTATCATGGGACTCCTCAGAAGTGCGCATCCACTATCCCACATGCGGGATTCGAAGATGTTCGCGCAACTTCGTGGATTGGTTGAGGTTAGACATTAACACCATTGGATGCCGGCTCAGTGGTCCAGTAGGTTAAGCGTTCATGCGCGAAACTGAAGGCCCTGGGTTCGAATCTCGCGAGCAGGATCGTGGATGTGCACTGCTGAGGAGTCCCACGATAGGAAGTAGCGGCCGTCCAGTGCTTCTAGGTTTTAAGTGGTGGTCTAACATCAATCGGCTCATGATCTCAATAAAAAAAAACATGCTGGTACTTTGATAATAAACAAGAAAAAATTATGTCGATATCCAATTGGTTCCCTAAATTCTTAATCATAGTAATATGCTGGTACATACGTTTTATATTCCGGATTTTGTTGGCTTTCTGGTTAGCGTTTTTTTTATCGAGTTAGTTTTCTACGGGATGGGGACGCTAACCCCATGCCCAACCCTCCCCCTTTATCCGGGCTTGGGACCGGCAGTAGCCCCTGGAGGGAATCCAGGCGGAGTTGGCATTCCACATCAAATGACTTTAATTATCTCTGTCCACAGAATTAACTGTTGAACATGTTTAGACATGCATTCGGCATAAATTGTTTTAAGTCTGATGCATCGTTGTTAGTTAACATTTTTGTTATTGAATAGTTAATCCACTAATATAGAAGCTAAGTACCATTAATTATCTTAATTTATTACTAATTAAAGTCTGTTACTTCGGGAATTGATTTTTCTAGATAGATGGGCCGACTGAAACAACTTTATAAACCTACGATTAGAACCATCCAATGAGAATGAGGCATTATCCACAGAACTTAACCAATCAAATTGCAGCAAAAAACGGTAGGTATTAGTGAAACAGTGACTACATAATTGATCTGGGTCACATACTAAAAAAGCTAGTCGAATCAATCACATGAGTAGTTTTTGAAAAAAAATAAAAAGGGGTTTTGTGGAGATTTTTTAGAAATTTTAATGATTGAAATCAGTCGTTTGAAGCTAGACTTCGTGGATTGGTTATAGTTAGACATTAACACCGTTGGATGCTGGCTCAGTGGTCTAATGGTTAGGCGTTCGCACGCGAGACTGATAGGTCCTGGGTTCGAACCTCGCGGGGTGGGATCGTGGATGCGCATTGCTGAGGAGTTCCAATAAGAGGACGAAACGGCGGTCCAGTGCTTGCAGATTTTCCGTGGTAGTCTAGCTTCAATTGACTCATGATTTCAACTATTGAAAAATAAAAAGGCTTGAAATTTATGAATTTTATTCCCTACCATCCCATCCCGTACAAAACTTGTCAACCCGTATTACCTATGTGCATACTAAACTTTTAAAATTTCATTCGCTAGGAAAATGCCAATCTTATTGGTTCAACTACCATTGCAGTTGAAGTAAGCGCCTAGCCAATTAGATAATCAGATTTCTAGGGGGCAATGTATCATTTCCATAAACGATTAACCGTCCAACAAACTCTTCTGTTAAAAATTCATCACCTACAAACATCACAGATTCTTAGCCTTGCTAACGGAATTAGATTTAATGAATGGGGTCAGAAGAATTACAGATTGATTCTAAAGTCGAAAAATCACCATCTTAATTAACCTGAAAGAAGATTTTCTACTGAACGTTTAGATCTACGCTTTCGATTAGTCGGAGAGGAATAAGGGGAATTTAAGGAAGTGAGGTAAGAATCAAACAATTTCATACTTTAAAATAAAATTATTGCGCACTTCACATCTCTCCTTATGATAATAGAAGAAAAAAGACAAAACAGAAGAATTTCACAGATTGGTGCTGTGACCACAAGATAAAATTTGATGAAAGCATTATAGAAAGACAAGATAGGAATTTGATTCACACAAACTTGGTTAAGACATCAGACTCAAATCTTTACAAATTAAAAGACCATGCAAACATCTTTTTGGGTGAGTGGTATAAACAAAGATGTATGACACTGCTTCGCTATGGTGGGTTACGGAGTGCTACATTTACATCCAAAAATATCGAAGCTTCACAATGACGATTATCTGAAGAAATATTGTTGCTACACTACCTAACCAATATACATTCAATTGTCAACATTAAACCATATATAATGAGAAGAGAAATGGAATTGTGACATATCTGAAACATTGAAGCCATTGGTTTGAGTGAATAGGCTAAAAAATCATGGTAATGTAAATAGAAATAATATATTTGTAATATCCCAGTGAGTAGAAAAATAGATTTTCCGACGTCGTGACTCAGTATAAGCCACTTCTTGTGGCAATATATTTTACCACTAAATAAATTTCAATTTCTTTGTAACATATTCATGAAGCTAACCTGAATGATCCAGCATCTGAAAGATTTCTATGTAACATATCGTGATTATTTCGTTTCTCTCCTAATCGTATGGTACGTAAAAGTGTATAACTTATAAATGGAATATCTGAAGTATCAAATGATCTGTTTCATTTACAAATATTATAAATTAATCATTTAAAAGGATTCAAACTATAAAACGTTTATGAGAGAATTTTAATTCACTTACTTTATAATCCACAAAGGGATTCTAAATTATATGTGAATATAAAGTATATTATTTATCGAATTCTGAAGTACAGAAATGAGTATTTATGTACCAGAATAGGGATTTGTGGAAGTTGTAATATTTTCAGTAGTTGAATTCATGGGTCGATCTAAGCTAGACTACCATTAAAAATCTGGAAGCCCTGGATGTTCGTCTCGTCCTAGTATGGGACTATTCAGTAGTGCACATCCACGAAAAACCGTGAAAGTGCAGTCCGATTCGTGTCGAAAGGAGACAGTTTTGCGTTTTAGACAATGGATGAACAGTTGCGCAAGATCATGGATAAACTGAAGTTAGATATTAATAACGTTAAATGCCAACTCAGCCGTCTGGACGTTAAGCAATGATGACGATAAAAATCAGTTCTATGAGAGTCTGATATCAATCATAGCGAAGTGCTTAGAAACGACTATCCTGATGGGAGATACAGACTACAAAGTCGGGAGGGACAACACCGGATATGAAGATATCATGAGAAAACATGGAATGAGCCGGAGAAGAGAATGAGAATGTCAAGAGATTTGAAAATTGAAGTGCATTCAACAAATTGGTTATAGGTGGCACAATATTCCCACGCAAGCGCATATACAAAGCTACAACTGGAGAAACAGTATTACAAAGGTTCAATACAACTCTTTTTGAGATACAAACAAACTCACCCAATTCAAGATAACTCACAACAAGAGGTTCCAAGCCTTACAAGATCTACTGAAAAAAGAAGAAACTAATATGGAGGAGAATTGGAAAGGGATGAAAGAAGCACAAACTTCAACGTGTCAGGAGGTTCTGGACCTCAACAAGCATCATCATAAGGGATGGATCTCTATGGAAAGTGCGAAAAAGATTCAAGAAAGGAAGAACAGAAGACAACAATTAACAACAAAACAGAACGGATAAAGTGAAGGCACAAGCTGAATACACTGAAGCAAACAGGCAAGTGAAGAAAAGCATTGGAGATGACAAGAAGCAACAGGGGGAAGAGCTGCAAGAGAAGGAAATATGAAACAACTTTATGATTCAACGAAGAAACTAGCAGGGAGATATAGTAAATGAGAGAGACCGGTCAAGGACAATGAAGGCAAGTGAATCACTGCGACTCAAGAACAGCGGAATAGGTGGGTAGATTACTTCGAGCAACTGTTGAATAGACTAGCTCCATTGAATTCACTGGATATCGAAGCAGAACACACAGACCTTCCTATAGATGTCACTCAACCAACAATCGAAGACATCAGGGTGGTGTTCAGACGAGTAAGGATTGGGAAAACAGCAACACCTGACATTATACCAGCCGAAACACTGATGCGAGACATAGAAGTAACTGTAGATATGCTCCACGTTGTATTCATACAGAATTGGGATGAAGAACAAGTATCGACAAACGGGCGTTTTGCGACTTAGTGTAAGCCACTTCTTCAGAGAGTAAATAACCGAATTAAAATTAATCCAAGTTTATGCAGTACTTTCTTTTTGATTGATCACATAATATTTTTGTTGTTCCGTTGTATTATTTAAACTTGGAATAATTTTAATTCGGTTATTTATTGTTTGAAGAATTGTCGTACACTGAGTCACAAAACGTCAGAAAATTTAATATTTCTACTCATTGGGATATTACAAATATATTAATTTATTTATAACAATCTACCCAATGCTCAATTTATTCGAAATTATGAAATCAAACCTTGGTAATGATATCTGTAAATATTGAAGTTTATAAGACTTCAAAAGTATCGAAATTCTGCAGTGTAACATGAGTCTCTAAAACTAGTTCGGAACTTAAAAAGTTTAAACTAAGACAGTTGTTTGTAATATAAAAAATGTCAACCTATTTGATTAAAACGATCTTAGTAACAAATAAGATAAAATCAAGAATAAACAATAGACGATTTACTCACATGGGTTCATCATGTTTTTGAGTATAACTAGTTAATAAATAAGAGGGGACGACATAAAAATGAAAGAAAGGTTCACACAAATACATGACGCATAAATTAAATGATTCTATAATCCCTGAAACTACGTAATTATACACAGTAGACGAGCCACTCACGTTTCAATAGGATGTGTATTGTTTATTCTGTATAAATAATATGAAGAAATTTATTTAAACCATCTGAAGGATCTTTACAGGAACATTATTAGTTGAGTGAAAGCACATAGTAAACTATAGTCCGAACTGATAAAATCGAACAGTGTTCGTCAAGGCTCTCCGCTTCCCCCAATCCTATTCGAATTTGTCATGGACATTCATTCAAAGACAACACTGTTTTGGTCTCAGCATTCAAGGGTCGCTTTCTTTCTACGAAACTCATTTATTAGTTCTGAATATACATATGACATAGATTTAGTAATATTTACAACAGTTCAAGAACAGACAATAAATGATTCACTCACTTCTTCACAAGGTGCTTATCAATCTCGCTGTATAAGGAAAAAAAGATAGATTATTTTGGAATAATTAGATTAAATCATTTTAGACAAGCAAACCTCACGAATCGTTTGTGCCACTTTCTGTCGAAGATAGTTTTGTTTTTATTTTTTTGGGGGGGGGTATACTGCCTATATATACCTTTGAACTCTAGGTATAAAATATAGTTTACTTTTAAATTCACTTGGTGTTGTTTGTTTGAATCTTCCCATTATTATTTAAGACTGATCTATTAATCAGCAACAAGTACATAAATGAATTAAAACTTCACCCCATCGCACAAGCTAGTGGCTATCAGGACTGAGTAGCTAAATGTGTAATGTGATGGTGTTTAAAACGAACGGTACTGGATTGGAGTCTCTGAGTAAACATCAACTCTGGAATGCAGATACATCCAGTTGACGATTCCCAAATAGTATGAGACGCCCGTCGTGTATCCCACTAATAGGCACCATCTATGTTTGCCTCAATTCTTTTTTTTTTAAACACTGCTATCTCTTTTAATCAGATTTTATGATTTCCGCTATTATGCAGCGAATTTCTTTTTGTGGTTTTATCAACTATTACTATATGTCTCTACGATAAAATAAATAAATAGAGTTCATGAGCCTTTTTGACATCTATATACCACCATCAATTTATTGTATTTATTGAGTACGTACATCAGTTCGAGTTGCCAAACCATATTAGCTCAGAAATGCAATTGTCGATTCAAATCACATAGTGGCAAAGGTAGCAAAAGTATAAGCAGTAATCGGAAAGATTAGGGTTTGAAGATGCTATTCAAGGAGCGTAATCCAGTGAAATAAATTTGGAAAGAGAAAAAAGGGAGACGAAGAATTCTGAAAATTGGAATTTGGGAGAACACAAAGAGTGAACGCACTTGCGCCAATGCAAACGATTGTAAGCCATGTCATTTACGGTCTCTAACCAAACAGTCCACTTATCAGTGACTTCATGGATTTGTGCCATGTTTTGGTCTGGCCGCCCATAGCTTTCCTCCAACTTACTCTTACACCATAAAACATCGCACGTTGGAGCATTCGGTGGTTGGGCATACGTAACACGTGTCCCAGCCATCTCAATTGATGAAGTTTCACTACTTCATCAATTAATTTGCCATCCCTTCGTAGTACCCGTTTCCTAACAACTAGATTACTTACTCGGTGGCTCCAGGGTATATGAGCAATGCTTCAAAGATACCTATGATCGAATACTAGTAACCTACGAATATCCTCTACTCTTATCGGCCATGTTTCACTACCATAAAGCAGGATGGAACATTGATATGTTGATTTCTCACTTGTTATTCAGCAATTTCTGGAGACTGTTAAAATTAGGGAAATAAAATAAATTAAATAGTACAGCATATTGTATAAAATGTTTCTTGATTTAAATTTGAACGAATGGTTACATTATTACTGTACTATCGAGTTTATTACTGACACTCAAGTATAAGCCGGCTCAGTGGTCTAGTGGTTAAGTGCTCGCGTGCAAGATCAGTAGGTCCCGGGTTCGAGTCCTGCGAAGAGGAGTCGTAATTGCGCACTGTTGAGGAGTCCAACAGTAGGACAAAACGGCCGTCCAGTGCTTCCAGGTTTCCCATGGTGACTCATGATGTGAACTATTGAAACTATATTTGTTGAACTATTAATGGATAACATGAAAAATAACTTGGATGTTTCATCACTTAGCATTTTATTTCGAGCTTATTCAAGAAAATAGATAAAATTTCAATTTATCGATTATTATTAGGGTTCAAAGAACATGGTATACTAAATGATTGTTTATTCATTATGAAATATTGAATTATGAATTTGTTATAATGCTTTTATCCTTAGACGTTGAAAAAAACTTCAATTCAAATTGATGACAGTACTATTTTCAGTAGAATATTGACATGGTTGTTTTCAATCGAATAAAAATCCTTTTAAATACTTTTGGTTCTTACAAATAAAAAATGACACTTAAAACTTTACACATATAAGCAAATGTAAACAATTAACTAAACGAGATAGAGTATAGTTAGTTGTATTTTTCTAATTAGTTATGGTATCTGGATATGCCATAAACAACTAGACCGTTTTAAATAATCTATACAACTATGTATTGGTCTATTTCTTCTAATTTTCGACTGTCTATGATAAAGTTACTTTGTGATTATCTATCAGATTGACTAATTTCATTCATGACTATATCTTACGGTTAAATGTATAGTCAGTGGGTCTTTTCACATCTGATTTCCATATACATAAACAAACTTATTCTTCTAATATTTTCACAACATTTTATAATAACGACCTATATTCATATCTACATTATAAGAAATTTCGAATTAAACATTTTGGCATGATTAGACAGCTGTCTAGTGCACAGTTGTTTTCTGAACCCTATTTATATTCGATGAATCTCAACTTTGATTATTTTCCTGAAGAATCTCGGACTAGACTGCCAAGGGAAACATTTAAGTTATTTTTTTATTTTAACCACTGAGATTTTAACAAATATGGGTCACTTTTATTGCAAGATACTGTTACGTATTTTAATATAATCCATTGTTCATTTGCTCAGAAATACCCCGAGTGGCACAAGTAGCTTCTATGCGTTGCATCCATTGTTGCATAATCTGTGTTCATATCTTCGTTTCATATTACATCATATGTTTCTGATTTGTAGTATGATTTATATGGTGATTATTCTGTTATGTACATTGTGATGAATACTATTAAGTTATTATGACTAACATTCAAATTAAATCGACGGATGAAAGTGTCGTCTTACTAGTCATTTTGTTAACTAGACGTTTTCATCATAAACAGACTGTTTATAGTTTCACTATCTTTCGAATAAAATCGATGACTAAAGGTTTTCATTACTAAAGAAATGCATCAAATCATTTGATTAGTGATTCTAGTGTTACGATATATTTTGTTGGGATTGTATCATCAATTCCATCGATTAAATTTATGGTCAATAATAATATTAAGGGGAATTTTATTGTTAATACTAATTGAACGATCTCACTCGGAGCATTTTCAATGTCACCAGCTTTGGACACTGTATTTATGGTATCGACAAATGGAAACACTACTGAATTAATTCCCATAAATTCCAGCACTTTATACATTAGCTTACTTATCTTTTAGTTAGAATAGTTATCTGAATAAACTCACTCGTCTTCGGTGATTTGTTTGTTACTAAATGTATTAGTATGTTAAGAAACAAAAGAGCGAAATAGATTCATACTTTCAATAAATCAGATAGCTTGAGAAATATGATCCATACTTAATGGATACTACTTGACATTTTATGTATTTTGAAAGGGATAGAAATTTAGAAGTTATCTTAGTAAAAGCTGGGCTCTTTTTATCAATATGTGATTGATAAGCGAACTAAATTGACTTGATGTTTTATTGCTTAGATTTATTGTCATTTACGAAATTGTCAATGTTGTGTTAGAAGTTTCTGAGCAATATCAGTCCTTCAGCCATTACTAAAAGAGTCATTGACCTCAAAACGTTCTGTTTCTAATATTCGATTTGAAAACAAAAAAAGTATTAAGGTTGTCGAAACCTGACCAACCACTGGCGTAAATTAATACCCTGAAATTGGTAGAACCCCGTTTTCCATCATCTTTCTAGAAACTTCTTTTGCAGTAAATCACCAATTTTATTGTTTAGCTGGAAACAGAACAATGGAATATATGGTCCTCTGGATGAATCAGACAAATAATAAATAAGAGATGTTGACAGGAACACTGCATAGGCCGAGATTTCTCGAGAAATAAGAATTAGCTATATGTTGAAAATGTGGCTTGATTTTCAGAAAGACGTTTATTAATATTTGTGAATGAGTAGTACATATATTTTTGATTTGCTTAGTCAATAAAAGCTTCCAAATTCCTCTTGGTTTTCTATTTTAATTAGTTGATATGTATGCACTTATAGTAAGCGTATATATCAGTATAAGAATTAGATGACCTCGGATCATTACAATGTGACCCCAGACAATCTAGTATCGGATGAAAATAACGGTACATAAAGCAGAAAACCATGTATAGAATATTTCATAAAGTGATTATTTGTATAAATTGAAGTTTGGAATCGTAACTGAACGAAACATAATTGTTTTTTATACACAGCTTGTTGACTTGAAAATCCATGGTATCCTGAGTTGTTAACGAATTCGAAAAAAAGTGAGAACGATTTTTTTCAAAAGATGGTTGCATACATACACTTTTATCAGAACAAAAGAACATGAAAATATTACATTTGTTAACAACATTTTGTTGAAGACAAATCGTACAACTTCTAAGCTGTTTATTGTAAGGTATTTATGATCATTGACATCGTAGCTAAGTAACTAGGTAGCCTGCTTGAATATCTGGGCTACCTGTTCTTGCCATTTACATATTTCAACAAGTTATCTCTTTTATTTATTTCAACAAATCATTATGTCAATTAATTACATAACCTATTCAGGTGTATTTGCGAAAAGTTCACAACTTTTCGCTGTACAAGTTAGGAAAGAGCACAGTCAGAGATATTGTGGTTACTGGCAACATATATTGAAAAGAATGTACAATTCCTGAACTGGTAACATCTAATATTTATCGTCAGGATCGATCAAGAAATAAGAAATGGAAACTTGTTGAAATATGTTATGTTAAGATATCAATATTGTACCAAAAATATAATACTGAATATAGCTAATAATAATAAAACTGAACAAATGACAGACTAATTATTTATATGATGGATGATATTCAACTTTCATTTAAAACAATGTAATATTTAATTTAAATGATTTAAGAAAATCATTGTATTTTACAAAACTATTTGTTTGAATGAAATTGTCCAAAAAAATATATACAAATTTCAAAACTAACTTACATTCCCTTTAATTTTAAATATTTACTAAATAGTTAAAGTAGAATTTAAATAAAACATTAAAGATTCTTTGAATTTCAATGAAATTTGTTTTCTTCTTCAAGGGAATTAAAATGCTCAAACAGATCAAAAATACTTTCAATATAATAAACATCATATACATATTTTTTCAATTAATTAAGTTTTATACTTGATAATATTGTGATGTGGTTTACTTATATCCACATAAGTAGTATGTAACGGTAGTTAGACATATAAGTGTATTTCAGTAGAAGATCGAAAAGGTAAGAACAGGAACGAAGAGCATGAACAATGAAATCTAAGACAATGGACTGATATTTGCAAAAGGAACAGTGAAGTTTGAGACAATGGATTGATGTTTTGTAAATTAACTATTTACTATATGATTCTCAGATTTTATTGAGATGCTTTGTAATTTCGTGTCAAATGCATTCTATCGTCTCCACTGGTGTTTTGTTCACTACAATATGACAAAAAGTTGGACTATTGAACAAGAATGTTTCATGTTTTTATTGGTGATATAATCAATTATAATATTTAAATATTAAGGAATTCACAATCAATGAAAAGTACATTTTACTATGACTACTTAATTGATGAGTTTATAAATAACAATATTAACTGTTCAAAATAAACTTAGTCTGTTTCAATTTATTTTGCATTGGTTACTTAAATTTACCGGTTGATGTTTAGGACTTCAATTGATCAGTTTCTTATTAGCATATATGCATTCTGTAAGGATTGTCTCGATATTTCTTTCATTCACAAGCATTATAAGCTGAGATGATGGTGGCTAGCAGTGACATTCAGAATGCACGTTACGTTCTATTTGGGACTCGTCAGTTGGATGTACATGTATCCTAGAGTTTTTCATTCCGGATTCAACTATTAGTCACGATCATCTCAGATTATAATGCTTTGACTGAAGGCAATATTGAGGCGATCCTCATAAGATACACATATACCAATAAGAGACTGATCAATTGCAGTCCTAAACATCAATCGAAAGATTCAAACAAACAGTACCAAGTGAATGTAAACTCCAATCTATTGCACAATCTAGATCCTGTAACTAAGTGTATAACGTCATGGCGTTTGAAGCGAACGATACTGGATTCGAGTCCCTGAGTGAACATCAACTCTGAGGTACAGGTACATTCAATTTACGAGTCACAAATAAGATGAACCGTGCGTTGGGCATCCCACTGCTAACCACTATTCATCTTTGCTTATTTTAGATTCTGTTTTGAAAATCATAATATTTATCGATATTTGATATACACTAACCTCAAATGCATCCACTTACTTTATAATATTAAGTTCACTATGTAAATCAATTTTGATAAGAATTAACAAAATTATTCAATAAAATAATAATGTAAAAATCATTTTCACTAAGAAATCGTATTAACCTTAATGAGGAAAATATTCAATAGCCAACTTGTTTAAATAGTAAATATTATAAATTGAAACCATTTTGATAAATATTCCTAAAGAATAAAAATTAGTAGGGGTTTTGTGGAGATTTTAGAAGTTTTACTGGGGAGTTCCATACTAGGACGAAACGGCCATCCAATGCTTTCAGGTTTTCCATGGTGGTCTAGCTTCACTTGATTCATGATTTCAATTAGTGGAATAAAAATCATTTAAAAGTTGAACCGAAATAATCGTCTATCACTAACTTGAAACTTTCCATGATAAATTTATAAAAAATTAAAACCAAAAAAACCTGAATGTTTATACTTTTGTTTCAAATTAACTAAAATTTATTGATTATTTTGACTTGAAGTGTCACCATAAACTTTGTGTTTTAATGTTTAGAGTAAGTCAAGCGTCACAAGGCAAGTCCTCACTTAGAACTCTCAAGGCCAAAGGAAAAGAGGAAGATCAAAGAACACATTACACCAAGAAATGGAGATAGATAGGAGAAAAAATGAACAACATTTAAATAGAACTAGAAAGGAAGACCAAGGATAGAGTGGGTTGGAAAATGCTGGTCAGCGGCCTATGCTCTATCGGGAGTAACAGGCGTAAGTAAGTAAGTAAGTAAATCAAGCAAGGATTGAACAAACAAATATGTTCCATAACAATGATTACCGATCATTCTATTGTAATGTAAGTCAGGCAGATACACTATCGACAAATCTCAAAATTAAATGGAAAAACTATTCGGTGCTCCAATCATTACAATAGTCAGTCAAATAATTCTATTACAGATATATTGTTACCGTCCTGTTTATCGGTTTTTCAACCTTAATAATTTATACAGCTTTTATTTCTAACGGAATCCCTGTATACATGGAAAGGAGTAAATTGATTAAGTTGAATGCACAGGTAATACAATCTACACCTAATGTTCGTAAAAATTAAAATTCATCTTAATTAGATCTGACGTTTACTCAACAAACAGGATCCAAATGGGATAGTCATTACTATTGGTGAGATTTTAACCTTCGATAGTGCTAAAGTAATTGCTTGTAAAATTCACAGAATAACATGATACTGACACGTTTCAGTGAAACTTAATTAAAAAATCCAACCATGGTTTTGACTGGAAACCAACATGTTCAGGCACTAACATTTAATCTCACTGACATTAATATGAAAACTGAACAGTACATACTACTCAATCAAGTTTGTTACCAAACATCACACACATTAACCAATTGTACTGGTTATTCACAGAATAGTTGGATTTGTTGTAAATACTACCAATTCATTTATGCGTAGCTAACCAACCATTTCAACAATTAGGCATTCTATGCTATTAATCATATTTTTGATTATGTACTTTCCAAACAATAACTAATCTTACCGTTTTTGGTTGTTCACAGTATGATTAATCAACACTATTTAATCATCATAGATAATTTTACTTTATTATACTACTGATTTCACTCTGAACTCAGAATCAAATGAAAATTTGTTTTCAATATGAGGTTGGATTTATATAGAGCCTAACAGCAATGATGAAAATGACAGAAGATATTAATAAATGAAAATAACTTAGAATTTATTTTGACTGTAGAAAGTTGAGAAATTATATTATTTAAAACGATTTTCTCAATAAAATGTTCAACACATAAGAATATTCACTCTAATTGATCTTCAGGTCTAGAACAAAACAAAACAAAACAAAAAGTATTAATTAATAGTTTAACAATGAAATAAAAATTATTGATTGTTTATAGGCGAAATGATGAAATCTTTTGACATTTGTAAACAAATAGAAATTGTCGAATTCATGAGTCGATTAAAGCTAGACCAACATGGAAAATCTGGAAGCACTGGACGGCTGTTTCATCCTAATGTAATTCTCTTCAGCAGTGCGCATCTACGATCTCGCACATGGGGCTCGAACCCAAGACCTTCACTTCAGCGCGCGAACGCCCAACCTCCAGACCAATGAGCCGGCACCTTAAAATTTAGATAAACAGTTTAAAATAAATAAGTCCTGAATAACAATATGAATCTTTATATTCATGATGGATTCAATGATAGTTTAGTTCAGCTTATTATTGTTATATTTCAGAACTGTTATTAAAATAGAACTAAACATTCTTATGGTAATTGAACGAAAATTTTTCACTTGACTTTATAATAAACAACAGGCATCATTAATTTAATTAAAATGTACAAAATCTATCTACAATTGAACGATAATTTGGTAGTGATCAAATTATGTTTGTTTAGTTCTTTTTAGTACTAATCAAATTTGATAAACTATGATTGATTACATTGTTGATAGTCTTAAGACCATCTTGTTAGCACATGCCTATGTTATTTTCTTACAATTAAGAAGTAGAAAGATTGATAAATTAACAATCAGAAACACTTGGTGAAGTTTTTAACCACCTGTTTTTAGTCGCTTTCTGACAATAAAGACACAAACATATTACTGTAAAAGCCTACTTTATATGAACCAAAGTGGAGATATTCTGAGTCTTGTTATTTACAAATAAAGTTGAATAGAGAAGATTACTTTGATGTTCATTAATGCTGATGCATAAGAGATGAGCGCATCTTATTTCACAGTTATTTAATCTAAACAGTTGCCGAAAAATAAGTGGTTGATAGTTACAAATTGTTGAGATTACGAATGGTGTTATAGTCAGAATATAAAATGTCTTCGAACACAATTATCTTGGACAAAGTACCAGCCAATGAATTACTTAGCTACATAATATATCTTCCATGTCTCTTCCGACTGGTAACATTATTTCAGCACTAAGCATAACATCAATCAGTGTTGACTAAATAACAATAAACAAGTTGATATCACTGTAGCAGCAGTGTACGAAAAATGATAATAGCAATACGTCTGTAGCAATATGATCTACTTGAAGCCTATATAACCTCCATTGGTTTCGATAAGTATTGAACATTGAGATACCAAACACTAGTAAATTTCTCGTAGCTATCTAAACCTGTGTAAACTACATGAGAACTTCGTATAAATTATGCACATTCCTAAAAACTGTTGACCTGAATATTTGCAAAGTTTGAAATCTCTGAAAGATTAAGTGGCGACACGCAAGATAATTCATGTTTTACAGAGAAGTCAATTTAAATGGCACACATGAAAAAGGTAGGCTTCAAATAATAACTACCTTTGAGCACTTTCAATATTTTAAGTGTTAATATCTCAGTGAATGATTAAAAACTGGTAGTTCCATGGTATCTACTTCATATATTCATGGTCAGAGTACAATCACCAGCCAATTTTAGATTGTGTTTAACATGAAAAGATAAATCTTGAATTCAAGTAAAATATATTCTAGGCTTAGAAAACTTAATAATCATAAATCAAATTAAAATACTAAAGTGATAAGATTCAACGTCAATATGTCATTTTGGGTACCAGGATACAATTAACCACAAATATCTGCTAGTTACTTATATTAAACACAAAAAAGATTTCATTTTATACAAAAAACCGATTCTGATTAAAACAAAAATCTTAATCAAAACTATAGAATTAGAATTAATAATGATTGGTAATCGAATGGTAAAAAACTTACAAATTTGTAGTAGCAGTAAACCCTAAGTTAAATCAAAACATAATAATCTTATCATGAAGAAAATGTGTGGAAATGTCATTCAAATGTATAGACAGTAAAATTACATTCACAGATTATTCAATGAACTTCTTATAATAAATCATCGAAAATACCACATACATTAGTAATTTAATAATTGAATTCATGAGTTGATTAAAGCTAGACCACTATGGAAAACCTGGAAACATTGGAAGATTGTTCCTTCATAGTATGGGACTTCTGTAATCATTGATTGTATCAGCTTCTTCAAACCTTTGAGTCATTGATATATTACAGCTTTACAAATCTTAAATAGAATCACTATAACTGTTGACATATTTCCTCCTTGTCTATTCTTTAATAAAACAAGAGGTAATTAAATGTAAACCAGTATAATATTAGCATCTTCTTAATGATGAATCTCATTTATTCATCAAAAGAATCGTAAATTGATCAGGTAGACTTGTTCAGTTTAGATCTTTCATGAAAATTGTGAATTTCATTTAAGAAGGAATTATCAATGTATGCTACTCATCATACGATGAACAGCAATGACTAGAAATTCTGAGATTCAACCTGTTTTTAGTTGTTGCTGTTGTTGTTGTTGTTGAAATACTAATGGAACATCGAAAAAAGTTTCCCAAAATACAACACACATACAATATTCTAATTAAAATTCACATATGACTATTAATCACCAGTTTGAAAAATCATTAATATCTACTTTATAAATCCATATTTTCCAGTATAAATCATTCAGCTGAGCTACTTACCTTGTGAAATGATCAAACCTATAGTACATAATATACCAATAATGTAAATATTCATGTTGTTGAATTTTAACTTTCAATTTGACTAATAAGTAATTCAAGAAATAAATAACTTTCATATAATTTTTTAGAAATGATTGTTTACACTGAATAACATTAAGTGTATTGTTCTCTTTTGTTTTTTTTTGTAATCAAATATATGCTATAAATATATGTAACTGTAATATGATTACTAACAAATGAAAAGAAAAAGTATAGTACTATGAATATTAACAAAAGTTACATATTTACATTAATGAGTGAGAAAAGAAAAGTATTAGATAAACAAAAGAAATAAGATAAACAAAACATAACACAAAAAACATAAATGTTTAGAAATAGGATGATAAAATTATAAAAATGGTAATTGATAAATAATTTCAATAATTCTGTTCACATTCTAACTAAGTCCAGTGGTTAATTGCTCGCGCGCGAAACCAGTAGGTCCTGGGTTCGAATCTCGCAGGAGGAGAGCTTGTGGATGCACACTGCTGAGGAGTCTCACAAAAGGACGAAACGGCCGTACAGTGCTTCCAGGTTTTCCATGGTGGTCTAGCTTTAATCGACTCATGAATTCAACTATTAAATTACTAATGTATGTGGTATTTTCGATGACTTATTAAAAGAAGTTCATCGAATAATCTGTGAATGTAATTTCACTGTCTATATATTTGAATGACATTTCCAAACATTTTCTTCATGATAAGATTATTATGTTTTGATTTAACTTAGGGTTCACGGCTTTGCCTTTGCATTCGCTCTCATGCACAACATTCGCCACTCTGCTTCAAATCCGCTCGATATGCTTGTAGATTATAATTGCCTTCTAATTTCAAACACCGTTGGGGTTTTTATAATAACTTTTCTCAAAGTGATCGAATAACGAAACTAAGCCATTACAGCTTCCGCGTGCATTGTTTTTTTATTAAACACCTCTGTTGAGATAAGACCAATAATTTCCCCATTTTCATTCATTATTTGCAAGTCTGTGTCTGCTGGTATGCTAACTAAATATTTGTGGTTCAAGAGGCCACAAATATTATGTTTTATGACACTAATTTCCCCACTATTAACTAAAGAATTTTTACCAGCCAGGATCTTAGTGTATTTATGGCCTGTAGGATTTCCCTTGAAATGTTAGCAAACTTTTATTGGGTTAACAAATCTGTTTATATTCGGAAAAACTGTATAATTTCTACATGACATGATAATTTCAATCGGTGCTAACTAAACGCATATTTCTAGGAACCACTCCTGATGTCATAGGGCTAGTGGATAGTAAGTCTATTTGAACATTGATAGCGTTAAGAAGAGAATAGTCAATCAATCACGTCTTCTATATTGAGATTACATTAAATACCACTAATTGGAACAGTACATGCTAAATCTTAAACTTTTTGTCTGGTAGTGTTTGTGTCGATTAGAGAGATTCTTGATAAAGGTGTGAATCCGTAATCTGGTGTACAGTTGACGTTTCATGAAGAATTTGTGTTTGTTGGGATTTCAGAATACAAAGTGGATTGGTTAATAAGTTTCTGTTGCGACCATATTTCGTCGTTTGGAACTGATTTCACCTTTTTGACTACTTTCAGATGCGGAAAGAATAATGTTTCACCTAAAACGACAAGTAGAATGAAGAAGTAACTTTTTAAAATCCCTTCTTCTCATGACTGAACATTAGAATATTTTTACAGTTGAATTCACCAGTCGATCTAAGCAAGACCACCATTGAAAACCTGGAAGCACTGATGATATGAAGTGTCAATCAAAAGTAGCCTAATGAGAAGGCTAGTCCATAGCAAACTTACGCCAGAATTTCTTCGTTATTCGCTAGGTGGAATAAACTCCTAGCAAGCCTCTGTTGTAGTAAAATTATAACCCGGTTCAAGAGTCTTCTCGAAAGTTACTTTTTGTCACCTATTAAATGTCAGTGTAATTATTAATGATTTATAAAAAAAATAAGATTCAGCATCTATTTAATTAACCGTCAATGAAGGTATAAGCTTTTAACTTTTCATGTAAATATCCAAAATCCGCTTATGTTCTCATTTTATTATTATTATTGTTATTATGATTGATCCTCTGATAAACCTAAGATATTCTACTTTTCCTCTTCCAGATTTCTTGATTAAAATATACTTACTCAAATAAATTAACTTTCCAGATTCATTTTATTTTCACAACGTAAATATGCACCCTATAAAATTGATATTTTACAATTGTTCTTTACTTTTAACTGAGAGTTTCATTGCATCATTCTAAATTGTTATTGCTCTGACTTTTATTCCACTATCAATTCATACAGTGATGATAATTTGTTTTAAATTCTATGTGTAATATATATAAAACTGTCTATCCTCATTCTCTTTGACAAATATAGTTATTACACATACTTTTTGAAAATAAATTAATATTCTTCTAAATATTACAGAACCTGTTAAAATATTGTGAATATTACGTAAACATTGTTGAAACTCTTGTGTATAGTTGTATTTGTGAGGAAATCCAAAATTGTTTATTTACAACACTTATCCATCAATACCTTTTTTATGAATAATAATAATAACTTGTCAAAAAGAGAAGATGCCGTTAACATGCTTGTAACTTATTTCCATCGTTAAGGGATAGATGAATTCAGCCCAATCAAATAGTAATAATCAGGCACAATGAATCAATATGTCAACCACCGAAATACTTTGTTTACTAGAATAAACGGCGAGACTTTAATTTATGGACGAGCCAAGAAGAAGCGTTTGGAGGATTTCAAGATCACGACGCCAATTTTAGTACCTGATGCTCACGCACGATCGGTTTGCAGCGGATTTTAGAGAAGACGTGATTACTGTGAAGCTCCTTTATTTGTGACTGCGGCAATGAAATGACTTCAGTACCGTGTTCAGACTATCGTGATGACATTGTCTTTCGATGTTCTTTACGTTGTAGAAAGAAGTCTGTTCGAACGGGCACTTTCTTCGCTCGATCTCTATAGAGACTGAGACAAATCACGATAATTGTCGCTAATTGGATAATAAAAGCACTAGTAACACTGAGTGCAGCATTTGCAAACGTTACTGAGACTTCAGCTATCCAATGGTATGAGTGTTGCAGGGATATATGTGCAATTAAAATGACACGTTTACACGAGTCGTACTGAGGAGTTGGGAGTATTGTTGAAATAGATGAAACAGTAGTACGGAAGCGGAAATATAACAGAGGACCTAATATAAGGAAAGACTGGATAAGTATCACTTCCGTCACAGGTACTTGGAATTTATCACCGATCAGCGCAAAAGACACATTTTAAAAGGGTTAGAAACCGGCAAGCAACCACAGTAATATCAATTATACAGGAATGTGTGCAACCGTGCACTACGATATATACAGATGATTGGAGAGCGTATATATGCCTACATAGACTTGGGTATGTGCATCATGTTGTTGTGCACAAGCGCTATTTTGTCGACCCTACAACCTGTGTTCACATTAGAAATATTGGAGCCATATGGTCCAGGTTAAAGGATATTTTAAGACCCGATCACGGTTGCATAGGTCTACTGTTATGAAGCCATATGGATGAGTTCCTATACCATATGTAATGTGATTTCAAAACCTCTGAAACTCTTTCAAATCTTAATAAGTTTTTGAATCGTGTAAAAGAACAATATCCACTTCAATTCTTTAGTTTTTTATAATATATTTTTACTTCAGACTGCCTGTCTTCTGATTGGCTAATAATTTTCAAGGTCACTTAAGATTCGTTCAAAGATCATCGATAAATCAGTCTCGCTGAGTAAGCTAATACAGTAAATGAGAAAACATACTATGGAAGTGATAAATCGAGGAAAGATAATTATTAGAGAAAATGAATATATGAATAATAATGATGTCTTGATAATGTCTTCACTGTATTTGAATTTATTTCAGTTAAAGTATTCGACTGGAGTACCGTTTTCACTGTTCTCGATTAGTTTTGTCGTTGATACTCTTGAGTACCTTTTTTTTCAACTGTATCTTTTAGTTCTTTAGGTCCTAGCAATCTACAGCTCTTCACATTTTAGTCATTGATAATTTTCTTTGTTTTTGAGCATCATCGCATCTTGAAAGAGAACCTTTTTAAATGACCGGACAGTGTAAAAAAAGCAGTTGCCAACGTCTGGGTCGTCGTTATCCTGTTGAAAGCGGTATGCAGTGCGACGAGTGCAAAGGCTGGTACCACGAAGTTTGAACGAACTTAACGCCTGCTGCTTTCAAACGGTTCAGTGAGAAGGGTTGTGTGTGGCTTTGTCAACAGTGCTGCTCGGATGCAAACAGCTTGCTAACCGAGCCCATTTCACTGATTGATGCTGCAAAGAAGTGCTTCAGCAAGCATAGTCGGAACACGTCAAACAGCACTCGATCTGTCGACACGCAAATCGACGTGAAGGAAACTAAGGTTAGTCCGATGACAGATGACTCACGCCCGTCGAAGAAGGAAAAGCAGTCTCCAAAGTGGCCTGCCTTAAACAAAAGCTCAAGAACAGTAGGGTCTTCTGCTGCCCGTCTCCCAGATGGGGTCCGACAAGAAACACCCAGAAGCCGCAATCGCAAGGCTCGATCGATTTCAAGCGGTAAACATAACCCGACCTCTCAAGTCGTCGACAACTCCCCAAAATCCAACACTAGGTTTGACGCAACTGTTATTGCTTCTACCAGCACCGTTTACGAATGGGTACAGGTTGTAAGGAAGAAAAGTAGGGATATAAAAAAGAATCCTGCCCCCGTAAAAGTAGTTGAAAAATCGAAAGTTGATCATAGCGGCAGATCAGCTATTTTTCATAGAATCAAGGAGAGCGATAGCTCTGAACCTAAAGCTCGTTTTGAGCATGACATTATACTGATAAGGCAGCTGCTTAATCAACTCATGCCTCAAAATATGACCGGGGTCACCTTGCTAAAGGTGTACAGACTAAGGAGTCTAGCGGACTCGAAACCAAATCATTCCAGACTGCTTTAAGTTATATTCAACTCTTCGAACGAACGTGACCTAATTTTACAGAATGGAC